CGTTTTTTCTTGTTTTTGTTTGTTGTTGTTGTTTTTTTGGGGGGCTGCTCAAACTTATTTTGTTACAGACATGATGACAATGCCACTGCAGTGACTGAGAGCCCAATCTAAACTCATCCAAGAGTTGATTTTTTTTCTAAATTCACCTAATGAAAACAGAAATTTCCATTTCCTTATAGTAACAGTGTGTTACATAAAAAGGAGTCCGTTTTCTTAAAGTTACAATTGGAGTGCAGTTGGCATGATGACGATCATGACACAAATGCAACGCTTACGGGACAAAACTTGTCAACAAACAATTTGCTGTGGACTATTCACATCAAATGACAGAATGAAGATCCATGCTCCTGCAGATAATTTACATATCGTGAGTCGCAATAAAAGTGGCAAATAAAAGTGGCAAAATACTGCCCTAAACATTCTGAATCAAGAAGTACCTACATTGTTGGCCTGATGAGAATACCACACTCACTGTACAGAAGCTTACCCGTTGGTACATTTGCCAAGAAATGAAGGACGTTTCCATTTTTGTGGAGCTTAATGCAAAGCTTAGTCCAAGCTTCACAGTTAGTTCACAGCTATCGATGCAGCTGTCCTGATGCAGCAATATATCCAGCCAGTTGGAGTCAGTTTCCTTGGCACTGTTGGCGAAGTGAGTGGCATGGCAGTTTCTCTGTTGTCATTGCTTAAGCAAGTAACATGATACCCTGGCAATCCCCTTCACAAAAACCATGCTTCTGTTATTCTTCGGACGCATACATTCCCCACCAAGGCAACAAACAGAGAAATCAGAACTGAAGAGATTCTCTGTCAGCTGAGGTGAAGCCCTCTGAAGTGTTGAGGTGAAGCCCTCTGAACAACCTCTGCCTACCACTATCAGCATGACCAGAAAAGATGATGCATGACGGCATAAATCCTCTATGGCTGTCTGTATGCTGCATTTCTGAGTTGTCCGTTTTGGCTGACGGGGTTTCTTCTTGTCGATTGTGTTGTCAATCCAGTTGCAAATTTCCAACATGTCATGCTTCGAGGAGCATTTCAGGTATGGCCATTACACACAATGAAGGACCAAAGTAACACATGAACTCCACGATCCGTACTGTTGTTCTGATGTGGGTAGTCGGTTGGTGCCAATATCGACCACTCCTCCAAAACAAGGGGCCTCTCAGATACTGTCATGGAACGAGATGACACGAATCGCAACACTGAAGAGATGGCCTGTTTGTTGTATCTATGCAAAGAATGGAAGTTCATCAATAGCTTCAGTGGATGCGCAACTAAAATGAGTACCCAGTGTGAACTTCCAACATTAGTTGGCATAATCCAAATGTCGCTGGACATCGCTTCTCTCTTATTTACCCATCTCGCAAAACTGTGTGTCTTCATCCTAGTTGCAGCTACTAAGCAAAGTGAACTTGGACAATACAGTACGCACAGATGGTTCGGAACTCGTCGATGACTTGATCATCAAGCCAAATCTCATCACTCAGTGGCTTCACGAGTTCCATAAATGTCCCATCACTCTTTAATGTACTGGCCCTAGCCATGGCTTTTCAGCATCCTTGGCTTGACTTGCTGAGTTTCTGTTCCATGTCATGTCATCCCATCGCATTTATTTTGCAATTCCCTGTCCTTGGCAAATTCCTCCTTTTCCCATGTACCTGAGTTGATGTCATTGTAAGACCCACATTGAATTGAGGCGAGGGCAGATTTCCACGGTTCCGATAGGTGTGGTTATAGGACCTTCTTGAATATGGCGCTTGTTCGGAGTCGGTGCCTGCAGCGTCTGTTTTTGGACAGTGGTTGAGATCCAAGGTTTGCCGTTTGGTACTCGTGGTTTAAGAGGAAACTGTTGGGTTTATGCCGGGTGCATCACTTTTGGGTGGGGACACATTTTTGGGCAATACTTGTTCATGGCATTTTTTCGTCTTCCGTGCTTTATGACTGTTGTCGATGCTCTTGACACTTCCCTTTTTCCCATTCCCGGTCAGATTTGGTGGACAAACCTTTTGTGTGTGATAACTCATGTAATTCATTTTATCAAGAGTGTATGATAAAATGCTTTATATTCAGCAAGTACATATTTGTATACATGTACATGTTGCACTTTGCCCTAGTTTCATACATGTATGTATACATACAAGAATACAGGCCAGCATTCTGGCATGCTGCCAAGTCTTTGACCTAATTAACCCAGTTCTCCAGCCATGCACAGCTGCACTCCATTACCATATTTGGTATGCCAGTGAGAGATTTGAATATGCAAATGTAAAGACCAACTTTGAACCAATGAAAAAGTTTGTTTCGTCTTATGTTGCTTGGCTGTGAAGTGGTGGCCCGATTTGGTAAGTGGGCCGGGCTGTGCTCACTTTTGTCACAGTCATTGAGACAGCAGGATCAGATTTCATTTGGTGCATTCAGTTTTCCCCCTCCACCATCCCCTTAACCCCGCCATGTCTTGTTTGCTCGTTTACTACCTGAAATAATTACGAATTAGGCAAGTTTTTGTCAAGTTCAGACAGCCATTTCCCCCTTTCTCATTGTAAAGAGACATTTGTTCACTTACAATTCTTGTTGATGCTCTTAATATTGTACAGTTGCAAAATCGCTCGCTTGTCTCCTGGAACTAGGTTTCTGACTGAATTTTACATCGATGGAAATGCAACTTTTTAATGTTGATGTCTTATTGATGGACATGGATATGGCCTACATGTACATGTATAACGACTTGTTTTGGTTTACAGGTACATTGCATGTACCTTGTAGCTTCGGCTCTGTACCCAGCTGAAGTCTTGGGTCAGTGTTTTGTACCTTGTAGCTTCAGCTCTGTACCCAGCTGAAGTCTTGGGTCTGTGTTTTGTACCTTGTAGCTTCGGCTCTGTACCCAGCTGAAGTCTTGGGTCAGTGTTTTGTACCTTGTAGCTTCAGCTCTGTACCCAGCTAAAGTCTTGGGTCTGTGTTTTGTAGCTTCAGCTCTGTAACCAGCTAAAGTCTTGGGTCTGTGTACTCTGTGGTGCCAGTGGTTAGTGTATTTTGATCACTCAGTAGTGTTCAAAATCATGGCAGTGTGTCCCATACTGTACGAATTGATGTGACCGGTTTGCCCAGTCATCGGTATCCGGCAGAGTTATGAAAATGAAATAATTGGAATGAATTAAAAGTTTTATTATTATTAATCATTTCTGCTAATGAAACCAAGGATTCCTCAAAAGTGCCCTACCGGTAGGCACTGTAGCTCGCAAGCCTAAAGAAACCTGTGGAGAGAAGACAATGAGAAGAAGTTACAGTTTTAGAGGTGGGAGGAAAAGCCCAGAAGAATATTCTGGGGAAAACCCACGGAATCAGGCAGGGACTGAAAACCCAATCCACATATTGGCCCAGGCGGGATTCGAACCCGGGGCACAGCGATGGAAGGCGAGGAAAGTACCGCTACGCCAACCTGACTCCCCTTTCAAGTGACTGTGGCATAAATTCAAACCTTCGAGTAAATCCATGTGTTTTTATAAAGTATAAAGATACATTAATAAACATAAAAACGGATTAAAATAGACAATCTGATTTAAATTCTTAAAAAAATCCTTGTTGCATCATTTCTGTATTTAAAGTGACAGAACTTGCCAAAATGGAAATAAAAATAATATCTGCAAATTGATTGAGTGATCGCAAAATTGGGATGTTTCTACCAAAAAAAATGGCCAAATGTTTGTCCATAATAATATTTCTAAAAACGTGAATGGTTGGTGCTAAAGTATAGAGTCTTTCAGAGCCCTAAAAATGGCAAAATGTCTGGGGGAAGAATGATTGTTTGGAAACATATCATTGTATACATGTACATCTACATGTATCTTGCCAAGCGAGACGGTTACACCATCATGCCGTGTATTCTGTCTACATTATTGATGTAGCCAAGCATGTATAAACTATAAACACTTTCACATTTAGGCTTGATAATGGATGTAGCTTGCTATTGGACCAGTGTCAAAAGACCAAGTCTACATTTTCCCTAAAGGCATAAATTTATAATCAATTTTTGCAGTATGATGATTATGGCATGCAGGTGTAGGAACACTTTTCATATGTACACTACATGCGCACATTACTACTTAATAAACCCATAAAAAGGTAGGCATTGTAAATTTTATAAGTGAAAGCATATTTTTTTTCAGGCCATTTCGGCAGAAATGAAAATTAAAAGTGCAGGAATGCTTAGCAGCACTTAATCACACCACCTACATGTATTGATCTGCAACTAATTTTGTTTTTCTCTTGTGTCGCACAAACCACAGATTTGTCTATTAAAGGGAAAATACAACATTTGCAAACATCAAAAAATAAAACTACCAAATCATTTTGAAATACCTTGCTGGACTGTTAGTGAATGACAGTGTAAAGCATCCTGTAAAATCATGGCACCTGGTATACTGTCATTTTCAAGAAAAGTGGTATTTTTGTATCAATTTCCAACGCTGATCGGCCGATCAGCGTTGGAAAAAACTGGCTTTTTTTCAAATACTGGCCACAATTGACCATCGCACTTGTTTGCAATCGATTACAAACCTTTGAACGGGTACGAGACAGCTAGACTGGTTCCCTGACCTTACAATTCCCCAATGTATGTAAACTGCTCTGTTTCTTCTTATTTGGAGTCAGGGAACCAGACTACAGGAAAATGATTGTTTTTCTTGGTTTTTATAGCGTTTTCGAACCCAAAACCTCAAAAAGGTCATTGAACTATATTTGCTATATATTTCCAACCCCCCAATTCCATCCATTTCTGAAAATTACAGCAAAAGCAAATGATGTATATTCCCTTTAACAGCCCAAGCTCAATAATCCTTGCACTGGGATCAACAGCTGGCTGGTTGCCCGTGACAGAGCTGGAGCTGTGCCATTACCTCCTAGCCCCTGGGAATTTTCCCGTGTCATCGTCATGGACATCGGCAGCCTTTTTGGCCGGGACCCGCTCGCCGTGAAATTTGCTGGTAGGTTTACTGAGTCAATACCCGCTGTTTACATTATTATATTTCCTCATTATGCCTTTCATTTCACACAATGGTCCATGTCGACAGCTATTAAAGTTATCAAACCTGTCCACAAATGTTATTAGTCTGTGATAAAAGCGCCAGCTATACATAGCATTCTTCAGCTCTGAAAGATCGCTTGTTACAAATATCGAGCGCCGACATTCGTACTATTGCTGGAGGTTTTTTTTTGTGGCAGTCACAATTGTCATGGTGCTGGTTCTCCTTTTTGTCAGCGTGTTGACTGGCTCAGCTGCCATTGCATGCACTTGGTAAGGCTTGTGTGAATCCGTTGTTTTTCATATTTGATTATGATGTATACATGTAAGGCACATAACATTTGCATGTTAGTATTCAATATGTGAATTGATAGTAGGCCTATCAATGCAGAATATGGTTTTTAATACCATTTCTGAGAACATTTTTTAGATGGGGTTTCAGCATGAACACATTTTAAAAAATAGTTTGCTAAATTCTGACAACTTTTCAGTAAAATTTTGCACATGCGTCACTTGTTTGGGGGTGGGGAGGGTGGGCTTAACAAGGAGAGCCATTTACGTTGAGGTTGACTACGTGGATTGTAGTAATACTCTACCTGAATATTATATCCTCGATGTACCGGTTTTCGAGGGTGGAAGGATTTATTACAAGCAAGAGAAAAACACCGACATAGCCTTCGGTTTCCAAATTTTTTGGGCTGGCGGCGTGGTATTAAATTGAGCGTGTGCGTCGCTACGAGGTCAAACCTCGAAAAGTTGATCCCTCGACAACAGATTCACGGATGATACATTTAAAGGTAGAGCATATCATTTGCAGCTATCCAAAAAGTAACTGACACATTATTGTTGAAAAGCATACTTCTTTTTAAGATAGTAATGGCAGTAAACTCCCTGTGAAATTATTTCTTTCTTTCGTGCTTTCATTTTGAAGAAAAGACTAAAGGAAGGTCGTTTCCAAAGACTTGTAAAAAGACACATTTTTGGAAATTTCCGTAATTCATTTTTAATTCAGTGAAGCCGTGAATGGATGTGCGCAAGCAAGCAAAATACCATTTTTTCTTGAAAATGTCAGCACACCAGCAGCCACAATTTTACAGGATGCTTATAGACTGTCATTCCCTTTCAATCCAGTAAGATATTTTGTGATAATTTGATCATTTCGTTTTTTGATGTTTGCAAATGTTGTATCTTCCCTTTAAAAAAAAAATCAAAAAAATCAAAACTGTTTACAATTATCAATTTTAATGCTTGTCTTTGAATATCGCAACAACAAAACAGCGATCCTACTACCACATGTTCAGTAGAGAAAGTACGTACATGTAGTTTGAGCACAGTACCTATAGTGAATTTATTTAAAGAAAGAATAGGGCTTTTTTGTGCAGGTGCTTTTTACAGCAGTAATGGTATTTAACGCTTCATGCATCCAAATTACATTATGCATCATTAAATGTATTTAGAAATTACCATTCCTATGGAAAGCCAATAATATGCAGCAAATTGTGTCGCCATAATGGAGTTTAATTGGATCATTTTGATTGAAATTCTGCTTTAACAAAGAACACATGTTCCGTGTCCAAAACAAGATGCCATGTAAATGTACAAAGCATTTCTGTTTTTGACTGTAGTATTATTAGAGGCAAATGTTAGAATTTCAAAGAAATGATGCAGTATTATGTCCATGAACAGTTGCGTGGCTTTGGAGTATATACCGGTGTCGCATAAAAAGCCGACTCCTATGAAAATCGGACCCCTATTTCCCTATTATTGGTTGATCCCTCGCACGTGACAGGTCAGTCTCCCGAAACGATCCTAAAAATAGCATAGTACTGTAATCACGCGTGCGCAGTACTACCAATGAGTCCACATTTCATGGAGTCGGATATTCACGCTACACCGGTATATGTACATTGTATGATTTTTGGAAGTTAGGCAAAGCTGAGAGCTTAACCCATTTAATCCTGTTTTTGTGTGTACATGTAGATTTAGATGGTATTTTTTTGTCGCTGGCATGTGTTTTATTTTTGGTTTGAGAATTTGCGTACTTTTTGATGTTTGTAATTTTTGATGGTTACTTTCATTAGTCCTAACTCTCCATATCCGCCAAGAAAACACATGGATTTCCTTGATTTTGTTGAATATAAAGGACTGCAGAGCTAAGCCCCCATATTCATGTACATGAAGGTTGGCGCCGGCGTCAGGTCAACCTGTGATTTTGCTTGGGCCGGGACGGAACTATCCTTGGTCAAGGTTTTCATCGATATTGCAGGTATCTGGCTACTGAAAAAAACTAGCCCTGTGCTCTGCACTGTACAAAAATGCACGTACGTTCTTCATCAAGTGATTTGTATACTTGTAGCAGTTTGCGGTTACTGTTCGCAATTCGTACAGTGCATAGGGCACAGCTTGTGTTTATGTTTTTAGCGGCCAGATGTACTACCGTCACACACACTATCGACAATCGCCTTGACCAAGGTTAGTTCTGTCGCTGCGCACGCAAATCCCAGGTTGACCTAAGGTCAGCAAAATAGCCCATCGTGAATAATGTATCATTGTGTATGTATGAAAGATCTTATTTTAACATTCTACAGACAAGTTGCGGCATCCTTACACCCCTAAATTCCTCCTTCCTCAATCCTACAAAATCTTGCAAACGCCTTGGCGGATTTCAAAGGATCTTGGAGTAAAAGGGCTAATGTTAGATTTTTTGTGTGCATTATTTATTTTGGCTGACTAGTGCACACATAATAGATTGCTTTTGAGAAGTTGTGTGTTTTGCTTGATATGTTTGAATTGAGTATATATTTGATTTTTAAATCTGTATTTTTTTTGTTTCTCTCTCTCTTTCTCCCCTCTTGTCTTGTCATTCATACTCATTTTCCACTTAAAACTGTTTTCTTTTTGTGACCTTTGACCTCTCTGTTCCTGATTCTCTTTCATCCCTACTTTGTCCTCTTTTTCCAAATGTCACCTTTACCATATCCCCCCATGTCTACAATTTATTTTCCATAAATCTTTTTTCATATCCATCTGTGCTACATCTCAATCTGTCTATCTTCCCTGTTATACATGTATCTTGCCTTTTTCTGGTTCTTCATTTTTCTCTCTCCCTTTATGTTTTTTTTCTGTTTTTTTTTCTGTTTTTTTTTTCCACATTTGATTTCTTGGATTTCCGACACTTCAAACCACAATAATCATTTTCCATGGCTGTATTCCAAACCCCTTCGGATTCAACATTAACCGCATCCCTCCCCCCACGCTAATCACTTTCTCATGCTAAACCCCATGGGTGACCTTTGACCCATCCTTCATCACCATCCTGACCCTGCATCCATTCCTCATACCTCACCACGTCACCCCACTCACCCCCACCCCAACTCCTATCTGTAGGATGCTGCTGAGTGCTACCCTAACCGCAGTTATTGCCTGCGCATTATACGACAACCCCCTGTGCAACATCAACAATGACGACGACCTCAGCAATTTGCATCAACTGAACTGACGGGGCCGCTTCTATTGATCGCCCTACGTCCCTTTCGTGTACACGTGTTGACGGCAAGCTACACGTACAGACAATTTCTGTTGTCTTTGACTGCTGCACGTGTAGGAGACTCATTTTTCAGTGGTCGTACGGTGTTAACGACACTCGGCTGCTGTTGTCCCACCTGTGTGTCTCTCTGTGTCGGTATTTCTGCATGAATTAAGTTTAATGAGATGTGTTTGCCATGCATAGACACAGTAGCTGAGACGCATCACTAATTCTGGCCTTGTCGAGGCCCCTTGGAGAGAGTGAATTCTAATGAGCCGTTGTGTTGATAGTCAGCATGGAGGCCAGAGTTGAACAGGGTACTAATTTGTTTGACTTACATGTATTGTTCTGGTTTTTTTATTCATTAATGTTTTTCTTTAACATAGAAATGGCTACACCTTTCCAGGCATGCTTAGTGCAAACTAACCATGAACATTTATTTAATATTTTTAAAACACAAAAATCTTATTTGTGCTAGAGTTCTGGTCATTCAAGGTTATTGTTGCCACAAAAAAATGTAAATACGGTACCAGTGATTTAACCGGTAGATCAATTTTTACTTGCTACAATTAAACACACCAACATGATACCTAAGCAATTGTTGTACACAACTGCCGGTATGTTATGAGAACCCCAAAAAATACAATTAATGCGTATTCTTAATATAAATTACAAAACTTAAAAATAAAAATAATTTTAAAAAGAGTAAAATTTCTACATAATTTGCACTAAATTATGTACAGAGTTTATTTTCTGAAGTACGTAGATCTACGCATGTAGAAGTTGAATAAATTCAACAGCAATTTGTCATTTCTTTTACATCAAGACTGATGCGAGTGCGACACAGTTGAACTTTGTACACATCGCCAACCGAAGAGTTACTCTTAACAAATTTATTGAATCAGAACACTCAAATTTTCCTTTTATTATTAGTTTATCTTGGACTGGAAATATACAATTATGCCGTGTGGAACACATCCCTATGAAAAAAAGATGAGGCTGTAAGGTACATTGTTGCCATGGAAATGGTTGTCTTGGCAACCTGATGCCCATGGCTTAATGAAATAAGAGCTTTTCTTATGATGTTAGTATTATGAGGAATTATTAAAATGTGACGAGTAATATGTAAATTTACTTTCTGTAGATCTACTAGCAAGTGCATTTCAGAAACTCTATTACGCAGACACTTAGCGGCTGAAGTATCTTAGGTCAGATTACTTGGCTACGGCTGAAAGAAACACACGCGACTATGGGAAGTGGCTTCAACTACATTCATGTAATGCAAGCCACAGCCACACAGATTGGATGCAGCCTTTACTGCCCCATAATGCAGAGAATGTATCCATTTTGTTATTTTGGAAATTCTTAGCAATTTATGTAGTTATTATTTTTTTTTACACATATCCGGGCTTTTGAAATAAGACAGCTCTGCAATGGTCAACGTTCATCTGCTTCAACAAAAGTGCAGTACCTGTCATTGAGAAGATAATGCTCGACCTTTTTTGTATTTGTTATTCCGGTGTTCATCTCATCGGACCCACTGATGGCGACCATTGTAATAACTAGTCTCCACAAAGTGATGTCAAGTACATGTACACTTGTGCAAAAGAAAACATCTGCAGTTGTCATCCAATGTGTGTCAAATTGACACAGTATGAGTATGCAGGCACGGATCCAGAGGGGGGGTTTTGGGGGTCCAAACCCCCCAGCTCTGTCAAAAGATTTTTTTTCCATACAAATTCCAAAAAAATAAGTTGAACCCCCCCCCCCCCCCTGCTGTGACACCCCAAAAAAGTTATACTGGTATAATGTTTGCCTGTTCAAATTACGGTACACCATTCTGTACTCTAAGTGTTAATAATCATCAAATTTGAACAGCGCCCCCTATTGAAATATGGTGAGAGCCCGGAGAAAAAAACCTGTGTACATTTTCAGAATTTTTTGCTGATGAAAACCCCCCCTGCGAAAATTCCTGGATCCGCCCTTGGTATTTCTTGCAGCTCTCTTTAGCCGCTTCTGGAAAAAAAAGTTGGCTGTGGCTAGAAATTACACATATGTCTATGGAAGAGGCTGTAGCCACTTCTCAAAGACTTGTGTGTCAGTGTTGTAGTCAGGTACATATCCATGAGTATGTGTACGAGTACATTGTACTGTGCCATGAGTATGAGTACAAGGCCATTTTTCCGATGATTACGACTATGAGTAAGAAATGTATTCGAGTACGAGTACAACTACAAGTACAAGCACTTTCTACAAGTCGCAAATTTCAATGTGTCCCATGTTTTCAAGGGCTTTTGCTGTAAAACTAGGCAGTAAACAAAGGCAGAAGCCTTCCAGATGGTGAAAAACTAGATTACATTTTTATGAGTATGAGTACCAAAAAAGTTGTACTCGGGTACAAGTACTACAACACTGGCGTGTTTCACTCTGTTACTGGCATACTTTCCCTAGTTACTGCTGGGCATAGAAGCTATTGGTAGGCTAATTGACATTGTATAAATAAAAGGCATTGTTGCACCTATTTCACGACCATAAAATAACACTCAATGCAGACTGGCTATCCAGCACCCGATTTCATGAAGCGCTGCGACGCGTCGCAACTCGAGTTACGACGTGTAACACATCGCAACTCACGATGCGTCGTATCTTCCATTTCACGAAAGTTGCGATGTGTTGAACGCGTCGTAAGTTCCTTGACAACGGCTTAAAACACGTCGCAAGTTAAGACGTGTCTTGTGGTCGTCGCAAAATAAGAAGAGTCATTTCTAAGCCAGTTTTATGCCATAAACATAACATTAACGAGATTATAATACCGAGGCAATGTGTGTAAAGTTGTAAATAGAAAATTCATTGAATAATTATGAATTAGACCGGAATATTAGAATTGAAATTTCAAAGTAGCTATACAGTCCAATGAGAGTTTGTTTTCCTTCAAAATTGCATCGCACGGCCGCCATTTTGTTTTACGTTTTAACAAATTTCGAGCTGAGATCCGACGACTCTTTGTTGAATATCAGACGACTATTTACTGTACGCTGACTAAATACATAAAACAGTCACCGAGTTGTGCTATAAATACACCTACGACGCGTCGCACTTACAACGTGTTTTGTGAAATGGATCGAAGGACGCGTCGCAGCTGCGACGCATCGTAGAGATACGACCCGTCGCATCGCTGCAAAGCAGCGTAAGTTACGAAGAGTTTGATGAAATCGGGTGCAGAGCCGTGCCAAATCTAGTCAAGCCACATAGATTTGGTTTAAAACAGGTGAATTTTATGTATCGATTTTCCACTGTATTTGACATAGTCGCTCTTTTTTACACATCAAACTTTAATGTTCTAAATGCAAATCTTTAAATATTTTGGTTTGGAGCCACACTCAAATAGTGGGCATTGTAATAGAGCCCTATAGAGCCATACATTATATAAATAGAAAAGTACAGAATTCCACAGAAAGTGTGTAGACTCTTGAGGGAAGAATGTAAAATTTCACAACTGGTGACATGAGGATGAACTCCAAGGTGTTCCGTACAACCCAGGAAAACTTTGTAAAACACTAAGTCAAATCTCAAGTCACCAACTGTAAAATTTCGCATTCTCCCCTGATTGCAGCTGGGGTCATCCCCTGTTTTTGAATCATTCAAGATGATTCACATCCATTTCTTCATTTTGTCCTATTTTTGTTGTTCACCCAGCAAAACTCTTCGGCAAGAAGTTTGCCCGCACCAACAAGTTCATCCACACCAACAAGCTATGGATGCAGACCATCCCCACGCGGGACTGCGACGTCCTGATGACGTTCCCAGCCAAGACGGACGACGACACGCTGATGTGGCTGCTGTCGCGGCTGCGGGCCAGAACGCCCGAGCTGGGCGTGCACGTGCGTCACCACGGCAACACAGGAGTCTATGGCTTTTACCTGACCGCTAGATATTCCAAGTGAGTGATATACAATCCTGGTACCTTCTTGGCATGAACGTAAATTCAAATGAGAAGTTTGTGATGTCATGGTATACAAATATTGACTGCTCCGAGTGGTGTAGTAAAACTGGTCTCTCGAGGTGATCCATGAAGCATTGAGTTTTCCTGAGGGAAATGCTCTAATGACCACCAAGGGAGGCTAGTTTACTAAATCACGCGAATTAAAGCAGTCAATAGTTGTTTTATAACACTTCACCCATATATTTTGCTTGATTTTAAGAGATAACTGATTAAATTCAATATTCCATGGATCACCGAGGGAAACAAGTCTTATCGAGTTAAAGCAGTCAATATTTGTTTTATTACACCTCACCCATACATTCTTCATGATTTTAAGAGAGAACTAATTGAATGAACATCCCATGGATCACCAAGGGTGATATTTACACCAATATCTGATTAATTTAACCAAAATCCAATTAAAATGTTCATCTAATTCATTATGACATTAATTGACAATGTACATGCACTTTCCCAAACTACCCCTTCGTGAAATGTGTGAACTCGGCCCTGCAGCGCGTTGGAACAGTACCCGCATTGCACAATGCGCACACTCATTTGCATTATTTGTGCACATATACGTGTACATACGGGTTGGTACGTTGGTTGCTATATGTATAATACTTTTTCAACCATTGTATATTAGTCTGGCTGTGCACAGCAAGATAGTAAAAATAGCGAAATGCCACAAGACTCGCTCTTTCGGCCAATCAAGATACAGAATATGTAAGTGTGGTGTTATAATAAGTACTTTTCCAGATTCAAACAAAAGTCGGGCAAATCTCGGCCAAACTGTTTTGTGATGTGAAATTGCTTTGGCAGTTGCTGTAACTGTGAACTGTCCCATGCAATGTGAAGTGAACTGCATATAAAATACACTGCCGCTGTGGACCGCGCTCTAAAAAGATAGGGTTTTAAAATTACCTGTTTTTGAAAAAAAAAAACACATTTTTTAGCTGGACCAAAGGGCCTGCACACTTTAACTGACTGAGTTTCTGACTGACTGCTGTCTTCTACTGAGATTTTTCCGTCAAGCTCACTAGACAAGCCTGGTCATGTATTAATTGAGCTCGTTGTTTGTCCTTTTTCTTTTTTAGTCTGTTGAAAGGTGCTGAAGATCTGGGCCTGAGGAAGCCCATTAAGGAAGAGTACGGAGGGGGTTTGAAGGAATTCACATGTGCTGAAGAGGGCATCTTTGAAGGAGTGGACAACAAAAAGGAGTTCTTTTCATCTCAGGTATGGGCTCAGTGGTGGGAGTGAGGGGGCTGAAACCCCCTCAACCCGCTTTAATTAGCCTCCCCCATAGCCTCCTCTTCTTTGGCCTGTTAAACCTCCTCCCCTCCCCCATGTCAAACGGTGCTCGGTCTTGTCAGCTTGAACAGTACCCCCAAACGTCATGGTGTTACCTCCCCCCCCCCCCCCCCCCCCGACCCTTTTACAAATCAGGCAGTCCATGAACAAGAAAATGCCTGGCTAATTACAAGATTCCAGTCCCCCTCCCACCCCTGGTCTGAATTCAGGATATGCCCATGTGGCTCTTTATAGCAGACTAGAGAAAAATACATGCTCAATTGCCTTAATCCTAACAACCTAATCTTTGCCAGGTGGTGAATTTGGCGAATAATTTTATCGGAGTGGTGAATGAGAATCATGTGTCTGCAGCCCATAAACTGTTTTTCATTTGCCGCACTGCTTTTGCATGATTTATGTGCATCTACTCTGTGCAGTAAATAAAATGCGCCATGATTCTTAGAGAATTAAACTTTCTAGTTAACCCACCAATAATCATCGAAACTGTGGTTAATAGACAGAATTACCTGTAAATATGCCTGTCTCTTTGTGAAAATGAAAATTCCAGTTGAGCTACTTTTACAATCTACTGTGCAATGTGTTTTACCATAGGGAGAGGGCGCATGTCCGTCCCTTCGTGAAAACAGAAATCTCACTTATTCTACTTTTATGCCCTTTCGTTCAATGCAGTTTGTGCACAGCATGTTATCGTCTCTTCGTGAAAATGCAAAATGAATTATAGAGATGTCAGCCCCTTACAACATTAATGTTGTAAAGATATTACGCAAATGTTGCTTCTTAAAGCAAGTCAAAATGATTGACTACAATGTTTCAAAGCAAAAAAGCAGAAAAAATTGAAACTGAAAAAAAATGTTTTTTTTGACAGCCATCCCTTTGCGAAAATGGTGATAAGTTGTGAGAGTCCCTCATTTTTAGTTGTGAGCATTTGGGTTGATGTTGATTTTTTTTTCTTCTCAACACAGCAACGCCAGGCCATTGTTCACCACATGCTGCTGAATCTGAGGGCCATCGAGGGGGATAAGCTGGGCAAAATCAAGTTTCTAGAAGCCCAAGCAATTGGTAAGATGTGAAAAACATATTGAACACTTTTAACCCTAATCACCATACACTAACCAAACTGAACATCTGGTTTTGCAGTTTTGAGTAGGCCCACGACAATTATTAAATAAGTGGATTTGTGAGTCGGTTGTTGCATCACTTTTTCGGTTGATTCATTGAAAACTTGTGAAAAGAAAGCCTTCTTTTTCTAAATAATTTAAAGTTACTGAGTCATTGTTAATAAAAACCATAATCAAAAAGGGAACGATTGATCGATTGAAGAAAACATTGCGTACTGGCAAAAAAAAAAATTATTCAGAATCCAATTTTTTTTTCATTTTCCTTGCAGCATGTGAGAGGTTTTTCTAGTTCGCATCACATATATGAAATGCACATTTAGATTGCTGTCCACTGATCTATATTTGTTTTGTGTTGCAGTTCCCAAGCTGTTGTCTAAGGGAATAGTCACGCAGGTTCTGCCGTTGCACAACAGCGAGGCCTTAGCCAGTCTCAAAACAAACTGGGTCCAAGCGGTGTTCCGTCTACAACCAATAGGTACAGAACTTATTGTCTAGTTTCCTCAAATCTGATAAAAGTGGGGAGCGATTCACAATACCGCTAAACTGTCGCTACAGGGCTTAAATCCAGAGAAACAGATTGGTCTAAACACAGTGTCCTCTTACTTGCCTCTCATAAGTAGGTCACATGGTGCCAACTATAATTGACCTATCGCCGTTTACGAGTTAGCCACGCCCCTTAGACAACCATAATGGAGTTTTTGTATACTTAAGACGCACTGTTGGAAATTTCCATTAGTAGTTCGTTTTTTATTCGGCGAAGCACGCGCAAGCGTTGGCACGACGCACACACGCGCGCTGGTGCTATAATTTGTCGGATCGGTGCGCGACATCGCGTAGCTGCAATCAGCTCAGTGAGAACGTGTATCGGTTGCTGAATTTAGGCCCAATTCAAAACATGATTCAGCAACTTTTGATTTGAAATCGAGATCCTAGAATGCTGCTTTTCTCGAAATATACAGCTGAAGCTGAGCTGAAACATCATCAGGTTAGTTGTTCAGCACATTTCTTTAGATTTTGAGCACTTTTGTTGCTTCAAACGAACCGACTATACCTTTAACTCTTTCGCATTTGATCCACTTTTTAATTTTTTTTCCAGATGACATATGCGCCTATTTTGGAGTGAAGATTGCCATGTACTTTGCCTGGCTGGGTCAGTACACTAAGGCTCTCATCTTTCCAGCCTTGCTGGGTGCTGTCCTGACATTCTATACAGAGAGCAATCAGGTAGTGTGATACATGTTGTTGATTTATTCCATAGAAACGTACACATGTTCCAGACATGTGTTGCAGAGTCGCGTTGAACCACGTAGTATTGGGAGTGACTCAGGTCAAACCAGTTATAATTAACAATGGTTGACTGCTGTGATATGGGATGCGCCCCAAGGGTGTTCAAAACGTCATATCCCACATCAAAGCCGTCAACAATTGTTTTGTTGTACCTCTGTCTTGAATTCTTTGGATTTTGATGTAAAAATCACGAAAACAAACAGCAGTAAACACAGCAATCATGACAAATACTGTATTTCTTTTACTATATATTTTGTTTGACAATGTTTATGAATTTTATGCAAATGTAATTTTTATGCTAATGAATTTTTTTGTAAACTGACTGTAATTCAGCCTATGGCTGCGAAAGTCTTTAAATAAACCATTAATGATAATAATAATAATAATCGAACGTCAACTCACATGCATGTCGCATGCTTCAAACAGCTGATCGTCTGCTAGTTCGCTGCTCTCACTCATGTGTGAAAACATGGTGAAAATAGCGTGGGTTCACGATGCAAGCGTTTCACACCGTACGTACAAATATCCCACGGGGAGGGTGCCATGACTTTTTATAAACTTAAAACATGTGATTGTTCTAGGCCAATGAAAATACAGTATTCAAGACAGAGGTATAACAACTTTATTTCACAGACAGACAGGTGAACTTCATGTATTGGTTTTTCCATTGACTGAACCCTGGAGTCTATCCTAACAAATGCAACAGTCAATCTTTCCACGTAATTGCTCCCTTTTGTTTCAAACATTTTAATCAAATCTTAAGATTATTTTTTTTTTAATGTACATTGTTATCCCTCTGTCTGGAATACTGTACAAATTTTCGATATAACAAATCCTCGGGGAGCGTAGCACCTGAAGACGAAGTGCCCCTTGGGTGTTCAAAACGTCACGTCCCGCATCACATCAGTCATCAATTGTTAACTGGTTGCAGTGTGCCTTATTGATACTGCCAATTGTATTGGCATCATTCCCAAGTGAACATGCACTCAGAAGGGAGTGCCTATTTGTGTATAGAAAACATTGAGGATCATGAGGCCAGTCATTTTCTGCCTTTTCTCTGACTCTATATCAGTGTCAAATTTTGAGGCAGTGTTTAGACAATCCTCAAACTGTGCATTTAATAGTTAATATACTTTTGATGTCATTATGCAACCTCTGCTGTATCTTTCGTATTGCATCCCAAGTTATACTCTGTTCCTCCATATTTCATAAACTCTTCCCCCTCCTGCTCTATCACACCAGGAGAGCGAAGACTTCAACTTTGTCATCTTCACCATGTTCAACATCATCTGGGCCACCTTGTACCTGGAATCATGGAAGAGGAAAGGGGCGGAGCTAGCCTACCACTGGGGGACGCTGGACTCCAAGCACGAGCTCATTGAAGATCCAAGGCCACTCTATACGGTAAGTTGTGTTGAATGTCAGCAATTGCTAAAACACATAAGCTGTCATTTGTGACACAAATTCTGCTTTACCTACAGTGTATCACAGCTAGAAATAGAATTAATAGTCATTAGTTGACATTTATACTCAGAAGTTGTTGTGTTTTTTGGTGTTTTTGTTTTTACGCTTGATTTCAACTGGAATCGTTTCTGTTAATAACTTTGCTTTTTATTCACGAGACTTATATCAGCAAGAACAGCATGTTTTTTCTTGGTTTTTCCAGCATGTATGAACACAAATCTTTAAACATGTCCGTGAAACAATATTTTTTGAATAAAATACTTAGCCTCAAATCTATCCAGTTTTGAAAATGACAGCAAAAGCAAATGTTGATTATTACCTTTCAGATAGGCGAACTGTGGTTAACCATGTTTCTCGCTTGAACCTGCTATATGCAGTACCATTTGTTATGTACAATTTTGATGACAAATTACGAATCCCTTCTTTATGTCCTATCCAGGGTGACCCTCAAATCAGCCCCATCTCCGGCCGACTGGAGCCCCACTTCCCAGCCTGGAAGCGAAACCTCTTCCGTTACTTTGTGACCTTACCCATCATCCTCCTGTGTCTGGCCATAACCTTTGGCATCATCCTGACCCTGTTTGAGCTCCAGGAGTTTGTCAATCGGCAGATCGAGAAGGAACGCTTTTCAGGGTGAGAGACTCAATAATGCAACTGTCTGTACAGCACTAGAAGTTATAACTGAGGAACCATGCTTGGGCCCATTTTGCATTTGTTGTTATAGTAAAGGTGCATGAACATTTTGAAAGCCCCATGGGCTCCATGCAGAAGTACCCCCTCAACGGTAACAAAGGGAGAGTTGGGAGAGACCACTTGGAGAGACATTTGAATGCATTGCTGACGACACCTGACACTTATGCGAAGACGCCTGACGCTCACGGGAAGATGCTATGACTTTGTGCACATTCAGGATAAAATAAGTCATGCACGCTTTGTGTTATTTGCGCGTAACCAGTATGCACACACGGTGCGTCCTGTCCACGGAGCTCTCAAACGTGGTCAAAAAGCGCCCTCTCATGGAGCCTATAAGTTGAAGGAGCATTGGCCGAGTTCGGGCGGTCTGCTCTTGACACGGGTATATTGTTCTTGCAAAACCCTGACAGATAGGTGCTGTGTGATCCTGTTCCGAGTGCAGTGTTCATGGGTCGTGTTCCCACCATTCGAGCATGAGAACAATATACCAGTGTCAAGAACGGACCACCCGAACTTGGCCATTGAGTGCATGCTATATTAAATTGTTCAATTTTGCAAAATTAGACACGCAAGGATGTACTCCCATGTACTTCTATGTGATACGTTTTTCTTGTCATTAGACTAAGGATTCTTATACTAAATCATTAATACCATAAAGAAATACATGTTTGAGAAGTTGATGATTGGGAGACTTGAGAAGTTGGTTCTGTAGTAAAATGAGCTATTTAAAAAGAGTACTTTGATGCACTCAAGTATTCAAATGAAAACCAGTATAACAACATTCTTGTTGATTTTCTTTGTCATTATTTTCTTTATTTAAAATTGTTTGCTTTCCACAGCTGGGTGGGTGTATTACCCAAGATCTTACTAGCCCTTGTCATCTACGTGTTGGAGGAGTTTTATAAGAAAATCGCCCACTGGTTAAACGACAAAGAAAACTACCGGCTGCAGGCCACGTTTGAGAACCATCTCATCATCAAATTGGTCGTGGTAGGTGCAGTGGTTTTATTCAGTATTGTAATTGAGTCGGGTGTGCATCGGAACCAGGTACCCAAGTACTCGATCGCTGATGTCAGGAACCGGTTCCAGATTATGGACTCGAGTACCCGTAACCAACTACATATCACTTTAAGTTCTTGGACAATGAAAAGGAAAGGTATGGAATGTCATTTGTGAGGAACTTTCAAAGTGGAAACCACAATCCTGGCCAAAATGTTTGGGACACTTGGAAATAACCTTACCCTCACACACCGCGCAATGAGAGACATCATTGGCCGGGGGGCATTGGGGGCCCAGCGAGATTTGGCCAGGATTGTAGGCTAACTGGAAAAACAAAACGAATTGCCGTTTATGACTGTTGCCAAAATGCAACTTGAAGCTACATGCAGGCCCATTTAGCTCACTGTACACACATTTATCTTGCTGTTTGAACACACCAATGTGGTAGTATTATCATGTGGACCCTTATGGACAATCTGTACAGCAACTTCCGAGATTTAGATTTTCTGGTTGGTTTCTTTTACGGGTACCCGAATCCCATGCTATCCGTAAATGCACATCTCCATAATCGAGATCTTTTTCTTTTGAAACCTTTCAAGACCTTTCAAGACCTCATAATTTTATCTTACATAACACAAAACTACATTCAGGTATCTTCATTCGATGTCATATCTGAGAAGCAATAATCTATTTCTTGTTTTGTTTGTTTCGCAGGTTCAGTTTATCAACAATTTCCTGGCCTTATTCTACATTGCTTTTTACCTTCAAGACATGAAGAGGCTGAAACAGGTTTGTATCCCAATTCTTCTATTTCTTCCTTTTTTCATCCTTTCCATTTATCCCTTAGACGGTTTACCCATTTCTATTGGTCGAGAGCCCGTCACGTGGGTGGTTTTTAATCGCCGGTAAAACACCGCTGCATTCTGCGCCACATCGCCGGTATGCGCCGAGCGTGCACCAATCTCCACATGATGAAATTTGTAGCACTACGCGTGCAAGGCACATACCATAAACATGGCCAGAGGGGTGTTTCACAAAACATGGAGTAAAATTGTTGAACAAAATCTTTGGAATTTTGTTAATTTTTGACTTAGTTTGATTTTTGACCGAAAAAGGTGTTTATGAATGGGACAAATATGTGCTTCAGTTCAGGCCATTATCCGCGACCAAGCTCCTAGGCCGGTTTTGGCCAAGCACATATTTATTCCTATATTCAACAGAACCTTTGATTGTCATCACTCCCATCAATTGTAAATTAATTTCAAGTAATGTTTTGCGTACCATTTTTCCTCAATATATGCTTTTGGGTTTTTGCCCAAGACCATGTCCATGATTTCAGCCTTTGCTGAACTCATGATTAAATCTACCAGATCCCACATTTTTCCGAAGGCCTTTCCCTGTAGATATTTCATCTTTGGAACCACATAAAACCACGAAAGGCGAGGCTAGGAAAACTGAGGATTCTTAAACAAGTGTGACACAAACGTAGGGTTGAGAAATCCCAAGATACATGTAGGTAAACTGGGGCAGGAAGTATTTGAGACAAACAGTTTGTATAAGAAAAAAAGGTGTATTTTACAATGTGTTCAGTCAAAACAAGGGCAGATTTAGGAGGGAGTGGTTAGGGTTACTACCCCCTTCCCCTCCTGGTATTACATATTCTTGAAAAGAAAATGCAAATTTATTTTCTTTGCAAATTCTGGATCTGCCATTACAAAGATAGAAACAACTCTTTATGTGAATTCTTTGACTCCAGACTCTTGCCACCACCATCATCACCAAGCAAGTGATCGGCAACATCAAGGAGTCCCTCCTGCCTTACGTCCTGGAGAAGTTGAAGGTGTACCAGATGACCTACAAGCTGGTGCAGGGCAGTGTGGACATGGAGGACGGAGCTGATGATGAGCCGAAGACAGAGAAACCCAAGACAGACAAGGAGGATAGTGGCACCGATGACGTTGAAAACTTAGGTTGGTAGGCAAAGAGCAAGTTCAATTGGCTGGAATAGTCGTGACGTCATTCGGAGGTCAACTCGGTGCAACCATGATTACTAGCTAGTTCAAGTGCACTCCAACGGCCCAGTGAATACCGTGCTATGGATGTTGTGAATCCGTTTTATAATTGGCTTGATTCTCCTCTTTGAAGCGAAAATAAGCACAACTGTGGTTGTACCTGGTGTGGTGACAATCTGATGAAAGGCAGTGGACCATTTTCAGGTACTAATTTGTGAAAAATGTTCTACAAAAGTAGGATGTAAAATTGCTGTCGGTGATCGTGTGTGTTGAACGTACGTGAAATTTGTCGTTATGGCATGCTCATGAACTCAAATCAAATCACATTTATTTCCTCTTCATGACAAAAATGAAAATGTAATATAAGTACTTAAACATATAAAGGCCACTAGAGGTGGCAAAACCTTAAAAGCATAGCTTGTATCAGGCATGCCATTACACAAAACAGACGAATAATAACAGGAAAAAAAACAATTAAAAACAAAGACCAATTACACACATGTATAATTCTAAGCAGTTAGCAAAGTTGTGAAAAAGTTATAAAAATAATATTAATAATTAATAATGGGCTACGAGTAGGATCGTCGTGGACACAGAGTCCAATTATGGCAGAGGCATATAACATATAAAATATATTACATTACATAAGGTACAATTTAAGTTATTATAAGACCTTAAACATCTGAGAGACAATGGTACATTGTTCCATATTTTAGGTTTGGTGTATTTAATGTTATATTGAAAGGCAGATGTTCTATGTTGCGGTATGTGGAAATGTAAGTTAGTAGACACACGAGTATTATAGTTATGCAAATTGCAGTTTAGTACAAACATGTTTGAATAGGAAATGGGCAGTAAATTGTTTTTAAACTTGTACATAAATAGAGCTTGTTGGTATTTATTTAGGTTTGTTATGCTTAAATATTTTAGTTCACGCAAGAGAGGTTGACTATGGGCCCTATATGGTGAATTTGTAATAATTCGAACAACTCTTTTGTCGATGAAGTGAGCCCGACCTGGGGAGGAGGTCATGTCACACTCATTCAGCATATTGAGGACCATTAGATGATTAGTCTTTCATTTGTGATGTAAACTAAGCATGTCTCTTGTCAGGCAATTATCAAAACATCCTCACAAAATTTCTCAGCCCAGCATCCAACTTCATGAAGCACTGCAATGCTTTGCAACTTGAACTGTGACGCGTTACAGTTTGCATCTTGCGACGTGCCATACGATTCCATTTCATAAAATTTTGCGAGCTATTGTATATCATTCATGTTATATTTGTTTCCATAAGTTTTTATTCAAAGTTTGCAATTAAAATTGTAGATTTCCTTTCTCTATTTTGAATCCTGGAAAAACCCTCCCCGCCCCCCACCTCATCACTTTTGTATATTTGTATATTTTACAGAACTTAATTGAGTTATTGTTTTTATGCATCCTGCGAAATTTATAAGTAAAAGGCTAACAAACATCTGTTGTTTCGTTGTTTGCTCACCAGACGCTGCACCCGATGATGAGCAGAAGGAACTGTACCACAGCAAGGAGCCCAATGAGAAGTTCACATTGACACAGGCGGAGGTTGAGAGCTCCATGAAGACATACGATGTAAGAGGTTATTGGAGGCTTTGCACGGTGGCGAGTGCAACTTGCACTTTGTGAAGTGACTAACTCTTAAAGAGGAGGGAGGTTCTGAAATATAAAAGTGATGTTGATATTTCACTTTGTATGCTCTGATCGTTATCAGAAGAGCGTTTCTGTTTTTTCTCATTTAAAGTTAGTCACTTAAAAGTTCTCACGTCTTGCTGTTTTGACCAAAAAAAACATGGTGAAAGGAGGTCAGTTACTTACCATCATTTTAGCTAGGTTCCCGTAGGGGTTTTAATTTTTGCCATTACTGGAACATTGCAAGGCCTGGTCTTTGCATGAATCTGCATCTAGGTTATAATTGGAGTAAACATATAGAGTGGCCGTCTTGTCATGTTGTGTGCCTCAATCAAACTTTTCATAAGATGAAATTTGCGTTGGGGTGATCTAACTTCAATATTGGGTTTTGTCCTTCACCGACGTATTTTTATAAACGCTGAATACTCAGTAATGTCTCAAGTGACTCGAAACCCACGTCCTGCTTTCTAGTGCAGACGTCTTTAACCACTTGACCACCAAGTTTGCCAGGGTTGGCTGGCTGGTTCGAATCTGATATAGCAGCGGGTATCACAACAAAACTATTCACAAGATGAAATTTTTGTGGGGTGATGTAACTGCAATATTGGATTTTGCCCTATAACCATAATCTTTTCTGGCAACTTAGACAGGTTTTCTAAAGTGAGTTACATATCTCATCCTCTCCTCTTCATTTTATGGCCTTCCCCCCCCTCCCCCCCCCTCCCATCCCCACCCCCCCCCCCTTCCCAGGACACCTTTGAAGACTACTTAGAGATGTTCATCCAGTTTGGCTACGTCATCCTCTTCTCCTCTGCGTTTCCGCTGGCCGCGGTCTGCGCACTCATCAACAACGTCATTGAGATACGCAGCGATGCCTTCAAGCTGTGCTCCAGCATGCAGCGGCCGTTCAGCCAACGGGTAGAGAACATTGGCACCTGGCAGGTTTGTAATTAGTCACACCTGTTTAGGACTGGCATTCCAGAGTTTTGTCGAGCCAAATTATTCCAAAGTACATAAAAGTTTGATGTTTTTTAAACAAGTAGTGACAACGTGAAAGAGAAACTGTTAAGAATTACTCTAGAGTTTAGTCATTGGAAAACTGATAAAGTTCACCCATCTGAAACTAAAAATCTGTTTGGGTTGACTTGAGTCACTTCTACTACTATTTCATTTGGGGGGCATTCTGAAGTGCCGTACTGCAACTGGTGTCGGCATCGTTCAGAAGCATACAAAATATCAAAGAGCTACGCTCGTCATAAGTAACATAAATAGGCACCATTCACAATGCCAAATGCCACCGAGAGGTTATCACAGAGAGGCTTATTGTAAGAAAAGTTCACATCCATGCACATAACAGACTTTTTGTTATCTTTTAACTGTAAAAGTAGAGGACATACTGAATGAAGTTCGCCTTAAAACAAAAAGTTGACTTCTTTAAATTTTGACCTCGTCCCACTTACTGCAACATGGCAATTTGGGCTTCAAGCTCATTTTGTTGCGACAGGTCCAATTCCAGATTTGAAGGCATTAAAAAATATAATATTGGGTACTGATAATTTTTTTTTTTTTTGTAAAACCTGAACTTGTTCAAATTGAAATTGTGTTCCTGGCTTTGTGTGTTTATTAGGATGCAATGGAAGTGATGGGAGTTATTGGTGTCTTGGTCAATTGCGCCTTGCTGGGTACGACGGGTCAGATATCCAGGGCATTCCCTGGCTTGGCGGTAGCTGGCGTCATTCTGGTGGTCATGTTCCTTGAGGTAAGTCAATTGTGCATTCTGTGGCATAGATGGACGCTGCTCATGAGCAGTAGATGGATCTCCATGGTAGATCTACACATTGCGTATGGCATGTAAAGAATGCACGACTAACATTATTTTGAATATGCGCACACCTGCAGTGTCTCATCGTGAGTGCCAGGCACTCCCAGTGGTCGCACCCCAACTCTCTATTTGTGACTGTTGAGGGGGTAATTCTGCTTATTTCGTACACGTGTGTATATATGCAATTACATGAAAGCGGATGAGTCCACTTTCAAGTAATGCGGACACAGTCTTAGATGCGTCAATCTGATGTTACCTGTGCATTGCCGTTGCAACTGGTTCACGTTTGTACTCAACGGTGCTGATTGGTTCATGTGTTGCATACACAGACCATCAGAGATGATGATTCAATGTCTTATGACTTCATGTGCATACTTGAGTCGATTCTGATTCAATAACAAAACATTAATAGATCGCTCTCAAATGATGATGTAACTTCCTACAGATTGCCAAGTGCATCTGCATTTTGGGCGTCAAATTTTTTGTGACGCGCATCGGCTGCGCCGTATTTCGAAGAAATTTCGATCAACCTGTGGGCGTGTTTAGAACATTTTGCACACTGCACGCACACGCACATGATGGCGTTGAATATGTAATTGTAATTTTCCTACGAAGTTGGCGTCCTATGAGAGAGATCTATAGGGGAATAAATGTGTATTTGGCCGGTTTTAAACAAGATGTTTAAGACCGGTTGGAGTCTGGATGCTGATATTCTGCTCTGGTATTTATCAGCATCCAGACTCCAACAGGTCTTAAACATAGTGTTTAATACCGTCCAAGCACATATTTATTCCCATTGTTCAACAATTTACTTCATGTTTTTCGAAACACCCCTCTAGCTCTATTATGGTATATCCCTCTTGTAAACAACTCCTTGGTGCGCGTACCGAACGCAGCTGTGCCGAACGCAGCTGTGCCGGTGTATTGTGAATTTAAGACTATAAAATTCTAACTCACTGGTAGTATTGCGCATGCCTACGTGATGATTGTGAATGTGCAACAATAAAACGGTAAAAGACGCCGGATTTCATAGGAGTCCAAATTTCATGTGAAACTGGAAAAGTGTTTGAGACCAGCCAGCCATGTCTTTATCAACCTTTTAAAACCGGCCACGTGACGGGCTTAGGTATTTATGATTTCAAAATAATAATAATAATAATGTGGTGCTTATATAGCGCTTTATACCAGAGGTCTCAAAGCGCTTCACAATTGTATTGTGAAGTTCGTGGTCCATCCTCTTCACGTTTATGTATTGTGAAGATGCATTGCTGTTATCAGACAAACCTTTTGGCTTTAACCCATGAGCACTTGAATTACATTGGATATCATTGTATTTATTCCCTGATTCCCTGGTAAATCCCTAAGACTTTACAGTGAAGGAACAGTTTTAGCAGGTACAGGTACTAATGGATTCAGAAATGTCCTGACAGAACAGACCACTGATGATGAATAAAGTTATTAATGAAAATTTGATGGATTTACACAATTTTTTTTCCCTTCGTCTCTAGCACTTCATTCTTGCGATCAAGTTTGCGATCGCCTACGCCATTCCAGACATTCCACACTGGGTCTCCATGGAGATGGCCAAACTAGAATACCACCGAAGGGAAGCACTCAAGGTAATTAGAGGCATTCACAATACAATGGGTCACTAAGTGTTGGCCTTGACCGAGACCACCTTTTTAAATTCACTGTGGCTATTCTACATAAAGTACCCTGCATTTTATCAACCGTCCAAGTTTTGTTATGTGCAGAATCTTAACACAAACACAAGGAAGACTGGGCTTGCCTAGTCCAGCTGGACCCAAAAGAGATAGTTATGAACATAATGTATACTTAGTGACTCAGTTTGTAAGTAGGGCCAGGAAAAATCTGGAAGTCTCATTAATGAACTTAAAGTTGTGCAAAGAAAAAAAAAATCAAATTTAAAGGTAGGGTAGATCATTTGTCATTTGTGCATTTTTTTAATTTGAAGCAACAAAAGTGCTCAAACTACCTGATGAAGCAATAGCTGTTGAAGCATCCGTGTTCTCATTCAGCCAATTGCAGCTACGCGATGTCACACACTGAACCGACAAATATTAGCAACCCCGCACACATGCCCGTTGTGTCAACGCTGGCGTGAACCCATTCACGGATGAGCCAAATTCCAAACCAGCTGCTAATAGAAATTTCGAAAAATGTGTCACTTGACGCATCTTAGGAAGTGGCCTTCTTTTCTTGTTTTGTTCAAAATGGCAGCATGCCAGAAAAAATAATTTCACAGGGAGTTTAGTGCCATTACTATCTTTCAACCAAGTAAGCTTTTCAACAATAATTTCGTCAGTTACTTTTTGGATAGCTGCAAATGATCTACTCTTCCTTTAAATCCGACATAAAAAAGGTAAAAACTTGGTCCTTGTATAAAAGGTTTGGCCCGGGAATGATGACTTTTCCCACAACGAACTGCCAAAACTGGCCTCTCCGTTATATCCTTTTAGTGGCACACTATATCATGAATCACTCTTCTTTTTTTCCCCCAGAAACTTGAGCTAGCCACCTTGCAGAGCACCAAGGAGAACCTGTGCCGAGAGTCCAGCATGTCGACCACCGCTGCTACCTCCGAGAATTCTAGAGACGCCCCTCAACACCAGCGAGTCGTCGAGAAACCCCGGAGCCTCCCCAGCGAGGAGCCGGTCAAGCCCAAGAAGCAGGAGACCAGCCGGGTCTGGCCCCCGGCCATGGCCGACGTAGCAGCCAACTACAACGTCTTCAAGGACCTGGAGAAGATCCGGAGCCCCCCGACCTCCCCCACGGAGCCGGACACGCCCATCAGTTTGGTGACCCCCAAATCTGACGAGGAGAAAAAGATGGAATGAAAGAATGAAGTGGAAAAAAACAGGTGATTTTCAATCAAAGATAACAATTTTTTTTAAATCTTGTCCTATTTCTGCATTAGACTGAGATGCCATATCCACAAGGCAATCTTCAGGCAACTAGATCCGGGCCATTTCCTAGAGAAAAATAACTGACTATCTTAAAATTTGCCAAAAACTGGTTACCAATATCCAAAAAAATCCAAAAGATATGTATTTGTTTTAGGGTTTCCTTTATTTGCAGCGTATTCAGTTGCCTCACAGTTGCCTGTGACAATTGCCTTGTGCGACATGCAGATAATTATGTCATGAATGTGATGTATTCTTGGCACATTTTTATAATGCTACTTTTCTTAGTATGCTCATACATGTCATAGTGCTGATTTACTGGTAGTGTCATCTTTCTAGTTTGTGCCTTTTCGGAAATTCATTCCAATATACGTCTGAAATGTATACAATCAGTACAAAAAATTCAGAGGAAGGTTTATGAGTAAAGTTGGCATTATTATAATACAGGTTTTTCCCTTATTAGAATTTAATGGTACAAATACTGTATGATCATTTGATAGCTAGAAACCATGACAAGCTTACAACTCCACTCATGTAGGACTCGAACCCACGACTTCCAGTTTACTAGTGCAGATGTCTTACCTACCAATTTCTGAACTTGCTGGGTTGTTTAAGGTGAAACTTTATATTAAATTTTACAAGAATTCCATGAAATATCGAGTTAGAATTAATAGTTTTCAGATTTTATTTAAAATTATAATTCCACTTTATCATTAAGTAAATTGGACAAAAGTCTTTAGTGTGCTTGCACTTCTACTAATAACCAAAGTTTCATGACTAAATAATAAATGTTAAGGCACAGCTTCAAATAAATAAATGGAAATTACCAAAGGTGTTCTTTGCTTTTGTATTTCAGAGTTTTAAAATTAGCAGATTTTTTTTTTCCAAAATTATGTGGCTTTCTGGCAAAATGAGATGGAACTGGGCACACATGCCGTTGTGGGGAAAATGCAAAAAAAAACCTGAATGGGGTATTTGTTTCCCCGATTTTCAGATTTATTGATATTTGTGATCTTTGATATGTCTACTACTCATATTTTGTAGAAATGGTATGAAAATTATGGAACGCAAGTGTTTTTATTGAAATGAACAATTGACATCTTTCATTTTCACAAATACAAACTTTAAAGACTATTTTCTCAGTACATGCATGTTACTTTTTTGTCGTGTCAATAAAGGCAAACTTCAAACAGCCATAACTTGTCAACGGAATGTCCAATTGAAGTGCAACAAAGAGTATTGCAAAGAGCATTTTATTCTCTTTCATAATACCTGAAAACCCTCATTTGGACCTCTGTCTCATTTTGCCAGTATGCCTCACAATTACCCTAAGCTTTTCATAACATTTCCTATTTTAAATTTAATTAATTACAAATCGTCATCGGCACCACAAACTGACACTCACGTGCAAGTGGGTGTCAGTTCGTGAAAACCACGTCCGGTTTCATGAACTGACACCCGGTGGTCATCAGACACAGACGCAAAAAAGGAAGATTTTCATTTTCACAAGCTGACACCCAAGCATGATGTGGCAAAACAAAATGAAAAAAAAAAAACGGTTTGAAAGGTTTTACACAAATTTAATCCATCCGTATACTTGTGTGCTTACACACAAATTTAATTAAAAAGTATTTTAATTGGTGAAATTGAGGTCAGTGTCAGTTTGTGAAACTCAAAATAACCCGGTTCTTTATATACGCGCGTGTACAGCGCACTCACGCGCAACTAAGTGTCAGTTCGCGGTGCCGATGATGAAATGTTGTGGAATACCTTTGTGTAAGTTCCAGGTAATATTGTGTAAATGTTTTAGCAATATTCATTGAAAAAATCTCTGTTTTTGCAGCTTTGTAATATATTTAGAATCGTTGAGAAATTTAAAGCATGATTGTATGTGCAATGTAGATTTACCTTTATGCTGTATAATTCTTTGCTTGAGATGTAAAAAACAAGCTGTTATATTGTAATAAGTAAAAAGACAATCTAAATTTGTGCAATAAGATTTAAAATTCTCTACTCTCATAATTGCTATAGTCATGGGTAAGATTGTTGCACATATTTTTCTGGTTAAAAAGGGTTTGTTGTATATTTGCACAAAAGCTATTGTCAAGCATATTCAGTTTTTTTTATATCAATGTATATCCATTATGCTTCATAATTTGGTTATTTAGTTTTTGATTGTATATTGCACATTGCTTATTTTCCATGTCTTTTTTTTTCTTTATTTTTTTCATTTTCCAAGTTTTTTTGAAGTTCTGCTCAGGTCTCAACTTGCTGCTTCAGTTAAGCAGGGTCAAAGTTCATGTCATTCGTGTCAAAGTAGAACATATCGCTAAAGTCTGAGCCCAAACAAATCATTGGCTCATATAGAGGTCTCCTGAATGATTCTGAAAATCTGAATGTATTGATAAGCATGTATGTGTTTTTTGTATCAGCGTATTTCAAAGAATGTGATCATTGCGTTTTCACCGTGAAACAGGCATAGAAAAAAGAAATTGTCCAAAAACTCCTCAATATTTTATTGCGTAAAACTATTGGGAAATCTAAACTCTATTCTTAAACTAGTATTTATTACTTTATTCCTTCACCAGCAAACATCATATTTCACAGCAACTTTTCCTCAGATCAGCTGATTTCCTCGTTTTTCACTTCAAACTTATGCCCACTTGCAAAAGACCTTAGAAAGTCTTGTAAAGCTTGGAATGTGCTCTTTTCCTTCTTTTACTTCCCAGTTGCAAACCTGATTTTATAATATACGTAGAAACAATGTTTCCAAGGCACTGGCTGTAATAACCTGCATTGTAGGTTTTTTTAAGCTCCAATGTTTATGTCCTGAAACTAAAGTTCTAAAATCCCGGTGTGAAAGATCAAAGTGAGGAATTTATTGGAACTGTATGCACTATGTCAAGGTTCAGGGTTATATTATTTTATTTTTCCTGATTTGAAAGCAATCAAGTATACTATACTGTTGCTGATGAAAAGTGCAAAAAAAATGATTTATATTTAAAATGAAAATCTCCCATTTTATTTATAATAATAATAACTACAATTTATATAGCACCAAAGTCCGCCTAAGAGATGCTCAAGGCGCTTCACAGAGATACAATTTATAAGCTAAGGCCAATCACAATTTAAGTAAGTAGAAGTTTAGCTTTTTAGAGCAAGTAGAAGTTTAGCTTTGCCAAATTATTAGCAATTCTAGATATTTGTTTTTACATTTACAATATTATAGATACTCGTAAAAACATATCAAAGTGTCGTTTAGCCTGAAAGAAAGTAACAAGTTGCAATATTGTAGCAGTTTAATTGGTTCAAGGGCTGGATCTGAATCAGCAGCCATGCAGCTATGGCTTATGGCTTTGACAATAGCACTCTGCAGTCAATGTTTGAGCCGTAGCCATAAGAGCCGGTTTCATATCAGACACGTCTAATTCAAGATGACTGTACTTGGTTAGTCAGGTACTTTTGTGGGTAGCTTCGGTGCAATAGAGCATAGTGACGATACAAGGTGCCAGACTTAGATGGCCCTCTATTTTGACAATCATATCTAAAATATTTGCACATTGAAAATATCTTGCTGCACTTTTTTGTATTGCATTGCACATGTACAGCACCCTGCAGGGTATATATATAAAACATATATATATTTGTATACAGTCAGTACTATATTTCTACTACACGTTCGTTAAAATTTATGTATTCCTTTATTTCTTGTTCAATTTTTAGTTTGTTTTAATTTCTAGAAGTATCCTATTTCTACCACGTCAAAATGTATGTTTTATTTCCATTTCAAGTTTTAGTTGATCTGTAAAATCCTTGGCACTTTTTTCCTTTAAAGTATTCAGAGTTTTACGTATCTTGGACATTTGTTTTCGAAATATATGAAATTATAGTTCATGAATTTATTTGAATTAGATGGAGTTTTTTTCGTTTTGAAGTTGAGGAATCTTTGTTATTCATTGGAAACTTCATTTAGGTTCTTTTGAGAGATAATAAATCTATAGAAATATGGAAAATTAGTCAAAGGTTGGTTGTTTTGTTTTTTTAAATAAATATGACTTTTTGGATCTACTTTGTGGAATTACTTGTAACTCACTTTCATTTTTCCCCTAGTAGGTTAAAATAAATTCTCTTTCCTTTTTTAGTTGAAATAAAACTTGTGGCTCATTTTCCCCTCCAGAAAGAACGAAATTGAAGCTAAAAGAAACTTGAATGATTTCCACTCATGGGCGTGGCCAGGATTTTTTCTAGAGGGGGCAAAACATGTTTTTCCCCAAAATTCCTGTATTTCTCAACTTATAGTCGATTATCAGTTTTAGTGGGGGGGGGGCAGGGACATTTTGCCCCCCCCCCCCCCCTCAACCCATTAAATTTACACCAATATGTTTTCGCGCCTCTTTTTCTTTTTTCGCTTTTTTTTTTCCTTTTTTTTTCCTTTTGCTTTTCTAGGGTGGCGCCCCCTTGCCAATGCCCCCCCCCCCCCCCCGCGACACCCATGATTCCACTGTGTAAAAATTTCCAAAGTGTTGAATAATACAGCCATACTGTACAGTTTGTGCCCACATGATTTTTCTGAATTAGTTTTTAATATAATGTCCTTTAACAAAATAAATTGGTATTATAGCATTTAGAGGCGATGATTCCCCAAAACCTTTCAATATTTGCACATTTTGCTTGTAAAGTCAGTGGCATGTAAGAGAGCAAGGCAGAAACAGCTTTGTGTGTTGCACTTATTTCGCACTTCAGCTGACTTCAGACTGGGCACAAGTCGCTTGTTGCACTTTTGGGAAAGCTGTTGATAGAATACAGGGCTGGCTTGTGCTGCAGTGTGCTATGGATATTGACTTCCAAAGCTGAATTAGCATGGACCGAAGTTGTTTTTGTTCAATGTTTCATTGGAAGGTTCACACTTTTTGTAATGCTAACAAATGATCAATGCAATACAGTTTTTAATATTTGTCACACCCAAAAAGCACGGGGACCCTTCCTTTAAAAAGATTGCAGAACTAGCTGTGTGGTTTTCCTTGAAAACAACCCCACCTGGCCCGTTTTGTTTGTATTAAATAATCATTCATCAACAAGCCCCCGACAAGTTAAATAAATGCAGACTGTCTTTATCATGACATTGAATCCTACTGGAAATGGTTTAATTACCAAGTTCCCCAGCCCCTCTACCACAACACACCCACCTCCTGGGTACATGACAAAGTTGCCCCACCCCTTTCCCCCTCCCCCGCACTTGCCTCCGTCTACTTTTCTTCCCGAAATCACGGCTTTGTTTTCGGATTTGGCTACATTGCTGGATTCAATTATCTAGAAGCCGGTAAGGTCCAAAGAATTGGATATATTACTGTAAAGAAACTTTGGCTTTCACATTATATTTTGATGTACCCGAAGTCCTGACTCAGGAAGTGCCCAAAGCCGACGTTTTAAAATTTCTTGAAGCCGTTTCAGTGAAGGAAGCCGAAGTTTCGAAAACTTCCCTTATTAGTCAATTCTGAGCGATAGAGGGCGCACTTCATTGTTTGCTGCGAAAAAAAACGTGAAAAACACCGGTGTGAAGTGTTCTGCGATTTTAGACTTACAAATATGCACTCGTAAAATTCCGATATCATTGCCCGAATGGCAGATTCTAACTTTCTTGTGGCAACTAGCGTAGATCCAGGCTAACCATGGTAAGACCATTTCTTGGCATGTGAAATAAAATTGTTAAAATGGTGTCAACTATGAACTAAATTACATTTTAATATTTTCCCATAGGACAGGGGGCCATAGCCTGTAAGGGATTGCCCCAGCCATTCATTGCGACATGGCAATTTTGGCATAACAATTAACAATAACAGTCAGAAATGTAAATTTGTGTGGTTAGGCCAAACAAAAAAATAGTCGGTCTCTGGTCAGACCGAAGTTCCGGAATTGATGCGGCGACGTGTTTTTCTTTTGTTTGTTTTTGTGGCTTTTTTTTTTCCAAGCAAGTTGTAATGTATTATGATTTATGTATTGTATTTGTACAGACAAGGTGGGTATACTATTTTGCTTTTTTGTGTCCTCATTATACATTGGTGTCCTCCATAATTTGCCTTGGTGCCCTTTATCATTTGCCTTGGTGCAATTTCCCCATTCCTTGGTGCTCCTTGGTACAAAAATTTGAGGAGCGGGGCATTAGAGGGCGCTGTTGTAGCTTCCGTGTTAATTTGAAGAAAAAAAAAGGTTGACGCGCATGATTAAAATCGACGCGCGCGCTGACCAGAGACCGAGTATTTTTTTTTTTTGCCTTACACACGGTTTCTCTGTAACTGAGGACAGAGAACCATGCGATTTGTACAGAAATATATCAATTATAATTATATACCGTCAGACCCCCTAAAGCTACGCGCTCCTATTTCTACGAAAAGCGTGCATCCTAAAAAAATGACAAACTTTCACTGGGATCCTATCCTCTGATGCATGCACTTTAACCAGCAGCCCAAAAAAATGTGTAAAATTGAAGGCTTTACCTGGAATTTAGGCAAAAAATGAAAAACATCGGCATTTTACAGCTAATTACTAAGTACAAATGCAGGCAGATGCTTCCAGGCCTGCAGAAGTCGAAAATATGACCGAAAGGTGACCTTTCTTGGTCTCCCAATATCATCAGTATTATAGTTAAGGCCAAAAAAAAAAAGTATTCGGTCTCTGGTCAGACCAAAGTTCCGGAATTGACGCGGCCACGCGGCTTTTTTTTTTTTTTTCTTCAAACTTGGAGTACAGACAAGGTGGGGTACTATTTTGCTTTTTTGGTGTCCTCATGTACATTGGTGTCCTCCATAATTTGCCTTGGTGCTTTCGATCATTTGCCTTGGTGCAATTTCCCATTCCTTGGTGCTCTTTGGTAAAAAAAAATTGAGGAGGTGCGGAAATAGAGGGCGCTGTTGGAGCTACCGCGGAACATTTTGGAAAAAAAAAAGATCGACGCGCATGATTAAACTCAACGTGCGCGCTAACCAGAGACCGACTTATTATTTTTTTTGGCCTAAGATGTCATAGATTTATAGAATTTGCAGTTTCTACAAGGGTATAAAACTTACGGTACAACTAAAAAGACACATTTCTTATTTTTTTTTGAATTTTTTTGGTCATAAGTTTTAAAATCCGACATCTTAAAAACTGTCTCTGTTGATTGGGATGATCAGAATAACAATATCATTGGGATCTACATTTGATAGGTGAATATGTATAAAGTGTATTTATGTAAATATGTAAATATAGGCCTTTGTATAAATCTCGAAAATAGGATATTGATAATAATCTTGAAATTACAAAAAGTGTATTGGCATTGAAAAAAGAAAGGAAAAAGAAAGAAAATATTTTTGACTTATTTCCTTTTGAAAAAATCCTCCAGAGCCACGAATCACAAAAAGAAGAAGTAGTACTCTGTAATTAAATGTTGGAGTCAATTTCAAATAATAAAAGACGAATAATATTTCTTTCCACCAACTATTTAGGTATAAGTCCCAAAATACAAAAGTGTGTTTTCGTTCTCTTATATGGAACAGGTTCCTTAACTACACTTATACCTTTTGATGCTTTAAAGAAGAAGAAAAAAGCAACACAGAGCACATGGGCCTGTGTAACTTTAGATTGACATTTCAGTCGGTGAACTCGGGCTTCAAGATGATCATTTCTTTTTCGTCATTATTCTCGTTGAATTTTTATTGTGTTGTTTATTTTCAAGTTTTCCCAGACCCAGAAAGCATGGATTGAGAAGAACATCAAGAGAAAGGAATGCGGAAAATTCATAAGTGACCCGAGAGATTCCCGAAGGTATGTCCTCGTGTGCATTTGTTTACTGCCATTTTTTTTTTCAAACTGTATATTCCCAGTGTTTTTCTATGAGTATGAGAAACAGTTACACACAAACTATGACGTAGGACCCAAGTCTCAACTATGGTCCAGACATTCCCCACATAACCATGTTCGGGACAGTCCCAACTCTAGTTGACATGATCCAACTCCGGCAAAACTATAGTTGCGATCTTCTCAACCATATGTCAGACAGCCCCATCCAGACTCTTGTTTCGATCAATGTCATAGTCGGGACATAACAATACCAGTGCATTAACAAACACATGGTGTTATCAGTAAATAGATCTATTTTATCAAGTTCCGAGGGGTTCAAGAATACTTGTTGAAGTGGTGGGCCGAAGTGGAAGCCCACAATGTTTATTTAATTTCGGCTCGTAATTTTAATTCTTGTGGTGAGAGGTTAGAATCCTGCTCTAAGTGGTTTTGCAAGTCATCACAAGTTTAGCACAAGTGATCTAATCCCAAGTCAAATCACAAGCTTTTCATGTGAACTGTTACAAAGGCATTCCTTTTGTTGTTCATTCCCTGTCACATGTATTGTTCATTCCCTGTTCACGTATCTGTTTGGTCATTTAGATGTGGCTGCGGTGGCACGGTGGTCCAGCACTCCCAGCTGACCCAGACCTCCCACGTGCGTTCCTCTTCCATGAGCCGTGTCTGGGACAGCAACAAACACACCCAGCTGCTTCCGACCGACGCCTACGGAGTGGTGGAATTCCAGGGGGCTGGCCATGGCAACAAAGCAAATGTAAGAGCCAAAGCGAAAACAAATTGTGGGTTTCCGGTAACATTGCCTTAGAAAGGAAGGTTCTGTAGCCTGTAGGTAGCTATAAAAGTTCAACTGCCAACCTTGTGGACACCCCAGATTTTAGGGTTGGTCGGGTGTGCCAGAAACACAGCTTGTTTTTTAGGTCCTATTTACACAGAAGTGCAGTCACACAAAAGGAGAAACCAAAAAGCAGAATACCTTGCTGTAGGAAACATTTACACAAGGGGTGGAAAACAGTACAAAATTTCAAAATTAGCTTTGAAAAAGAGCCTTCATCTTCACCGTCGGGACATTTTAGACACTTGACGTGGAGAAATTACTACAACCTGCTCCAGAAACATCAAAACCAGTAATATGAGGCCAAGTTAAGCGTATTTCCATTTCAATTTTTTTTCTAAAATCATTCTGAAACCAGAGAAGCCAAAGCCAGTGACAAAGCCTAGATTTCAAAAACGTCATTATGTGTGATAATCTCTAACCTTTGACCTGGTCTGATTCTGGTCTCCCACAGTACATCCGGCTGAGTGACACCACTGAGCCGGAGCCCATACTACAGCTCCTCCAGGGCTGTTGGCACCTGGGCCTTCCTAATTTGGTCATCTCCATACGGGGTGGACTGCAGAACTTCCAACTTCAACCCAAGCTGAAGCGAGTCCTGTGTAAGGGATTAAACAAAGCAGCCCGGACTACGGGGGCATGGATCCTGACTGGTGGTACAAATACAGGTAAGATTTGTCAGAGGATTAGCCCCATAAATGCCTCTCAAATACTCCATATTTAGAGCCACACAATGAGGCGTGCTAAATTTCCTGAAAATTTCTGTTTCCTGAATTTGAATTTTTTTTTCTTTTCATTTGATATATGCTATGGAAGCTACAAATACCTGGTAAATCAAAAATTCAAAGGTACATGACCCACGACCTCCAGAAACATCCTGCAGTCATTGCGGACAAGTTTTAACTTGTCTCCAAATTTCCCCTGAAAATTACTGGATAACAAGACGTTTAGAGGTACAAAATTCCATTTAACCTGGTTATGAACCAGACAAGTAGCTTTCATTATGTTCATAACAAATGCAAATGTCAAGTGAAAACAGTCTAGCCACGGCCGACTAATTTTAATATACTAGTACAATATGGTTAACAAATAATAAATGGGAACGCTTAAGTTCCTATATTTATTCTCAAATTGCCTTAGAATGCAGGAGACAGCATCGTAGATGCCACGCTTTTACCCAACCCCCCTGTTTACATCAACAACCCATTTCCTAGGTCCGCCCCTGAAATGAATATGTAATGTAATAAATGGATTGTCCATATGCACCACAGGTGTGACTCTTCATGTGGGCGACGCTCTCAACAACCATTCCGTCAAAATGCGAGGGCGCATAGTGACCATTGGCATCGCTCCGTGGGGGGTCCTGAACAACAGGGAAAACCTTATTGGCAAAGATGTAAGTCAGTCTAAATAAATCGTTCATTTTCGTTTTCTTTTTTTGTATTTCTATAAACCATATCTTCATTTATGTTATATGTATAAATGGTACCTATGGCTACGGTAGTTTCATCATTTGGTGAGCATTTTCACAAGTTAACTTGAGCTTGCAAGATGTCATTATTCAGACAAAATTAGAACTGAAGGTTGTTATCAGTTTAACCTACTCTGAAGATGGGACAAAAAAAAGGTTGTGAGGATTTTGTGTGTGTGTGATATCAGGTTTTGCAAGGTAGTCTGACTGTAATTACTTTTTGTTTCATCCTTACTTCTTTACGGAGCTTGGTATTCACATCAATTTTCTTTTCAAAGTAGCCTATATAACCTTTAACTCTTTCAGTGCCCACGAAATTTGAAAAGTTTAACCCTAAAGTGCACAACTTCGAGTTTTTTTTTTCCAATTGTTCAAAATTCTGTAAAAAAAAAAGGAAATAAGTTTTACTCACTAAATTTTTTGTTGTTGCTCTCTGGAAAGTCAATAGTAGTCACGTACATAGTGATACACCCTGAAACACTGTCCTGCACACAGGGGAATTCCGCACTTTTTGCAGAAAATACGAGTGTCAGTGCTGCGCCCTCTTGCAAGAACTTGAATGAAACAAATAAATACAGGTCGTACCTGAATGAAAATGATATTATTAGAAAGAGCAAGAGCGCCCCCTTGTGATAACATGCTTACTCTACCTCGTACATGTACGAGGTTTGGCGATTTTAAGTACGAACATTACCTTGTACATGTACGAGGTTGGAAATTTCGAACTAACAAATATACTTTGTACATGTATGACTTTGGCACTGAAAGAGTTAAAAACCTATATTTTAAATATGTATTTTAGTAAGATTTACTTGCTCAGCGAAAAATCCACCAGGAACCAGTCATGTGCATTGTACACTGCATGACATTTTGACAGGTAACCTGTTTCTGCTTGGCAAATATATTTCTGTGCTTAGCAAATTTGTATGTTTTGTAGCATCATTAAAATAGCCGCTTATCACAAATATAATGAATGTTTGTGAGTGCAATGGTAAGAATAATTTTGTGAGGTGACAGATGGATCCACGATGGCGAAGCTGAGTGGAATGGAGCATTTCTCATGTCACCAAATGAAATTTTTCTTTCCGTTGCACGAATGTGAAACATGCGCCATTTGTTTTATATAACTGTAACCGAGCTGGGAAGGTTAGGCAGAAGATTTGAAAGTGACACGGGGATATAATTCCACTTAATTGATCAAAATGTTATTACTACAAAAAAACAAAAGCGACAGTCATTCTTCAGCAGTCTGCAATAACAGAAAACAGAAGAATAGAAATTAATTTAATTACAAATATACAATGACTATGAATCCAATTATTTAATTATTTTAAATAACCATCTCTCCTTATCTACCATCTCTCCTTATCTAACCATCTCTCCTTATCCTTAACTACACGTATGCATGTACACGATATGTGTATGCACATGCGGCGTGCTAACCATGGCAAAACCACGTGAGAAACACAGCAAAATTCAATTAAGCTGGCTCGCAATAAGGTGTGGCTGGCAGCAGCGACGACAAGCAGTCAAGTGACCTACCCATGCTTGCTTACTCTCCAAGAAAACTAGCGAAAAATTCAAGGAATGTGCCTCCGAAGCCTTATGCTTTTGAAACACTGCACGGAATAAAAGGTTTTTCGCACTGCATGCCATATGCAAATTAATTACGCAACTCAGCATGCTATATTCAATGGAAAACACAAGAGGGCGCTCTCAATGCTTCAACAACTTTCGCATCGCTCGTTTATGTTAAAAATATAAGACATCGACAAAGAAACATTTTACAGATGGGACCTGGCAGCATAATTAGAGGAATTTAAGTTTGGCCGGTCACATAACACCTGAATAAATCCTTGTCATCTGATCGGTCAGAGCCACCAATCGTGTGACCATGCAATGGAACTTCCATTTACCGTGGAATAAAACTAGATTGGTTTTGTGTGATTTCTTGACAGACCACAAAGCCATATCACTCGGTGTCCTGCCCCATCTCCAAGGGATTCAAACTCAACAGCCATCACACCCATTTCCTGCTTGTCGATAACGGCACCTTGGACCAGTACGGATGCGAGTTCATCTTGAGACGGAGACTAGAGAAGTACATCTCCCAACAGCGGCTTGGGAACCGGGGATGTGAGTAGTCTCTTCTCAAGCCATTTCATTTGGATTATCCTTGTGTTCCCCCACCACCACCCTGTGGGACAACATTTTTTTCATATTAAATAACAAAAAATGGTCTATCCAGATGAATTATTCCAAGTTATTCCAAATAAATATTTTGATAGAAATAAACCAGTTTCTTGTCCCCGCCCGATTCATTTTTCCCGCCCGCCTACTTTTTCGCCATACATTTGCAACATATTTTGCACATTTTGTCAATATCTTGTCTTTTGATTTGTTTCTAACGAAATTGTAGCTACATAGAAAGGGTTATGGTTCCTTTGGACACAATTTTTATCAGCAAAAGAGTCAAGAAAATGGAAGAACCCATCCGCCATCTTAGAAAATCCACTATCTTGGGGAAAAACGGAGGCCACCTCCTTCATTTTTTCAAAAGCCCAGACAAGAAACTATTGTTTTTGACTATGCCTAATCTTTTTACTGGTTACTTTTTACCTTAGATCGACGAGTACCCCTTGTCAGTGTTGTCATTGAGGGCGGGGCCTCCACCATCCGTAATATCTTGAACAATGTGACCAGTCGCCCACCCATCCCTGTGGTGGTGTTTGACGGTACTGGGCGAGCTGCCGACATCATAGCATTCACTCACAAATATGCTCAGGAGGATGGGTAAGATTCCATCTTTGTTAAAGTTAGGGGTTGGATGGTTGTGGGAGTAGGCTGTATTTAATACAACATTAAACAGTACCCCTTAAAGGTAGAGTAGATCATTTGCAGCTATCCAAAAAGTAACTGACAAAATTATTGTTGAAAAGCACACTTGGTTGAAAGATAGTAATGGCACTAAACTCTTTGTGTAATTATTCTTTCTGGCATGTTGTCATTTTGAAGAAAACAATAAAAGAAGGTCAATTCCAAAGATGCGTCTAAAGACGCATTTTTGGAAATTTCCATCAGTAGTTCGTTTTTAATTCAGCGAAGACGTGAATGAGTGCGCGCAAGCATTGACATGACGCAGTTGCTATAATTCATCCGTTCATTGCTTGACATCGCATAGCTGCAATCGACTGAATGAGAAATGTGTCCCAGAAGCTGATTTCAGGCCCAATTCAAAACATGGCTCTGCAACTTTTGAAATGAAATCAAAATCCTAGAATATTGTTTTCTCGGAATACACAGCATTCACTGAGCTAAAAGTTCATCGGGTTAGTTGTTCAGCACCCTCCTTTAGATTTTGAGCACTTTTGTTGCTTCAAACGAAACAAATGCACAACATACAAATGATATGCTCTACCTTTAACTTGTTTACAAAGAGAAAGTTAGGAGGGTCTCACTGTTGCCATTTGCCTGGTGCTCACTTAAAGATGATGCAGGTTTGAGCACATTCAGAATCAAATTAATTGTGCACACAACGGAGAGGCCATTTTCACAGTGCAGTATGGGCAGATGGTCAAGAACCTGTGTCAGTTGTATTCCTCGTGAACAAACGCACAGAGCTTTTATGGTTATTTGGTAGTGTTGGAGTGGATAATGTTTCAGTGAATTTATTGACGAGGCTTTCAAATAAAAACCGCAAAAAAAGAAAGTCCACACTCATTGGAGGGGTCACAATTTTAAATCTGATCGTCTTATAATAATGTCATTTAAATATACCTTTGGGGAATGTTGCTAGCTACATTTTAATACCCCGTTTGCTACCAAAGACTGTAAATAGTCAACACTGACAACGGTTTATGTACGCAAGTCGAGTGGAAATTGCTATGTGACACTGCCCGAAACGAACGGCAGGGAATATCAATCGCACAGTGCTTGCATGGGAGCACTCGAATTGAATAACCTGCACTTTGCTCGGGCACTGTGCAGTCGATAGGGGCCAATGACTTACAGGCATGTGTGTGTTTGCGCTTAGTAATTTGTCCTCACGTATCTTTAAATTTGCAACTTTTCAAACTGCATCATTTTTCACAAATCGTTGTCAATCTTGGACGATTTACAGTCGTTGGTTGCAAACGGGGTATCAAAATGTAGCTAACAACATTTCCCAAAGATTTACATAAATGACGTCATCATAAGATCAGATTCAAACTTATGGCCCCTCCAATGAGTGTGAACTTTCTTCTTCTTTTTTTTGCGGTATTTATATGGGTCATTCTACAAATTCGAGGTCGATATTTTTTTCTGCCCCTGTTACATCTGGACATGTACAATTTTATAATTCTGGATTCACTCCTTAGAGTGATGGCAAAACTCAAAGAGTGATGATGAATAGCAAACCACCCACTCAACAAATTGAAAAGCAATTGAAGTCATTCTTAGTGATACATGAATGGCAAATTACAAACTACCAAGGTAACAGGGACAGGAAAAATATCACACCTTGGACATCACAAATAAAGAGTGAAGTATTAATGATTAACTGCCGTATACTTTTTGAAGGACGTCGACTGTAAATTTGAAAAGTGCCTCTCCAATACAATGAAGTGTGATTGATGTTTCTGTTTTTGCTGTGCAGCACCATGGAAGAATCTCTGCAGGACCAGCTGTTAGAGACCATGAAACACACCTTCCATCTACGGCAGGAGCAGGTTGAGAAGCTCTTTGTGGAACTCATGCTGTGCATGAAGAAAAAGGAACTGGTATGTGCAAGTTCGAAAGTGAACACTGAGGCTGTTGGGACAATATACTCAGAAGTGAGGAAACAGAGAGGGGAAATGAAAATAGTGCAGCAATGCTGGCTAGTCAGTATTCCGGCTTTTTCATGTGTGTTTTGGGGTAATCCTGCATTTCATCCCTTTGCAGGCTGGAAAATAAATCCTCGTGTTGTGTGCATGAAGAAAAATAAAGAAACAAGGCTGTGGCTGTGGCCTCGTGGTTAAGGGCACTGATTCGTGGTCTGTGGGTAAAGCTGCAGGTTGTGGGTTCGAGTCCTGGCGGGGTCATGGTGCATGTGCCCTTGGGCAAGGCACTTTGTCACTCATTGCTTCTCTCCACCCAGGAGTAAATGGGTACCTATGAGGGCAGTGATGGTTGTTGTGATTGAATTAGCTCTCTTGCGCCTAATAGGCAGCATCGAGCTGTATACTCCCCAGGGAGCTGAGATGGTATATGGAATGTTTAATTGGCCCAATGATTAGGGATAATAATAATGTAAAGCGCTTTGATCTTAGTTAAAAGCGCTATATAAGAAACTGTTATTATTATTATTATTAAGTCATTTTTCAGCCAATCGAAAAATCTGTTATGTGTTGTTTGATCGTCGCGCATGAGCCAATAAAACAAATTGGTTACACGCTACATGCTGTCAGTGTGCTAGACTTGTACAGAGTGCACTCCATTAGAAACCCTAACTCCCTAGGGTGATTTACTGGGAACCTTCCTCATCCTTACAAATCCCAACACCATATGGTAAGCTGTACACATAAACAGTTGGACTCTGTCTTTTTTGTGGTATGCCTAATCCCACGTAAAGCACAGTCGGTTTACTAGTGCAGTACTCATCCTGACAGATTCCAACAAACCCTGGTGTTGGAGTGGGAATTGGTAGGGTTAAGCATGGGTTTTACTGCATAGACTCATCGCAATTACACGTCACCACCAACGATAATTTAAAAGTCCAAGTGTACTGGTGTGCGAGTCTGGGATCATTTGTGCTAGCATGATACATGATTCTATGTACCGTATTGTACTTTGATTGTCGACATACTGTACATGCACATAACACGTGGGTTAAGCATAGATTTTACTGCATAGACCTACTGCAATCACACTGTGCGGTGAACGATAGTTTAAAAGCCAAGTGTACTGATGTGTGAGTCTCGGTTCATTTGCGCTAGCGCAATACATGAATGTATGTATTGTACTTTCATTGTCGACATAAATACATATATGAACATACCACGGGTGATATGGCGTATTGCGATCGTTGCACATTTTTTTCCGGCCCAGGTTGCCAAAACCAACTGGCATCCCTAACAGCATATCATGCGGTAGTGAACAAATTCATCTTGCAGTATTTTGAAAATATACAAAATCACTCAGGACTCTAAGCTCAGCAGTATATCTCACAACCATGAAGAATGTACACTTGTAGTGTCAGCAGGCCCTTAAAAGTCTTTAAGGGCCAATTCAAAAAGGCATTGTTTTTAATTCAGTCCTTGAAATTGTTTTCACACCTTACACATTTTTAAAGGAGTGTACCATTCAATTTTCAGAGTGTCTGCCCCTGTCAGTTGAAGGGCCACTTCTGAACAGAATTCATTCGCCCAGGCCCGACATTTTTGCAAAAATGTGATGTGAATATTTTTGGAGTAGATCATTTAAAGTTACCTTGTCGTCAGCAACTACATTGTTTCAAATCCTGGGATTAAATATTGAGATTAGGCCCAAAAAAATTAAATGATCGGTCTCTAGTCAGACCGAAGTTCCGGAATTAATGCGGCGACGCAGTTTTTATTTTTTTCAAGCTTGAATTGTACAGACAAGGTGGGTACTATTTTGCTTTTTTGTGTCCTCATTATACATTGGTGTCCTCCATAATTTGCCTTGGTGCCCTTTATCATTTGCCTTGGTGCAATTTCCCCATTCCTTGGTGCTCCTTGGTACAAAAATTTGAGGAGGTGCGGCAATAGAGGGCGCTGTTGTAGCTTCCGTGTTAATTTGAAGAAGAAAAAAAAGGTTGACGCGCATGATTAAAATCGACGCGCGCTGACCAGAGACCGAGGTATTTTTTTTGTTGGCCTTATCTCAAAAACACAAAAGAAGTTATTTGACATAGTCATTATCATCAATACTTTTTTACCTATTCTACTCCCCATGTGTATAATTATTTGTTAGAATCTAATGAGTCTTTTAATCACTTTTATTGAAATCTTGTTCTGACTGCGCAAGCACTTTTACTAAACAAAGTCAGAATTGTTTGGGTCTGTTCCAGATCACCTTGTTTTGTCTGAGCGAGGATGACATTGACATCGACGTCGCCATCCTGACGGCACTCCTCAAGGCACAGACGCGCTCCTACGTAGACCAGCTCAGTCTCTGTCTGACCTGGAACCGGGCTGATATCGCCAAGTCACAGATATTTGTGCACGGCCGGGACTGGCCGGTAAGTAGCACGCTACATTTTCAGCAATGTTGTAGTTATGCCCGTCACAAGTCTACCACAGTCCGTCTACAAGTAAATCACAAGTCGGTTACAAGTAATAGGGGATGACCAAGGACAAAGGAATACCTTCATCACAGTTCATTGGAATAGCTTGTGACTTGACTTGAGACACACATAGGCCTATACCAAGTTATGACACAAATTTTACGTCACTAGCATGCAGTCATCGCAAGATTTGTGTGTAAAGACTTCCGACGGAAAAGTAGCGTCTCTTCAATGATCACAAATTTGGGGTGGAAATCACTGGAGGAGCGCAGAGCCATCTATAGATTCACACTGTTGCACAAGTCCATTCACCACTAAGTAGCAGATGACAAAAACCATTACCGGGCTAAATCAGAGGGAGGAGGAATAGCAACATGAAAATCTTCTACAATCTCCTTTGCCCATTCATGTGAACAGAAAGATTGCTTCAAGTTCTCCTTCATACCAAGGATCCTTGTGGAGTGGAATCACCTGCCTGCTAACATAAGGGAAGCCGCAACTGTTCAAACCTTCAAGACCAATCTTGGCGACATCCAGATGTCATCTTTAATAAGTGGGGCCCATCATTAGCGTCCACTAGCCACCACGCGCCTGCAACTTACTTATCCCATAGCGGAGATTGTTGCAGTACCCAGGAGAAGCAGAGACTGTATGATTTGCGACTGGTCTTGCGACTGGTCTTGTGACTGGACTTTTGATGGACTTGTGATGGGCTTGTGAGGACTTATGATGGGCTTGTGATGGACTTGCAATGGCCTTGACTACAATAGTGATCCTCACTTGCATTGCAGTTTTAGTACCATGTCGTCCTGCTCTTCAACATGAGTTTGTTGTGGCGAAATTGGCATTATTTACTTTACTACCTGGATGAATAGGGCATGTAACACTTGATATGGTATATCATGAACATATGGATATAGACAGTCTATTGTAATAATGCCATGCAGTTCCACTGAACAAAATGGACAAAGATAACAAATGTATTGTTAAAAACAAAGCAAGAGGTATAAATAATCTCAATTTCATGCACACTTGAGTTTTAATTATTTGAACAAACGCATAGTGTCTTTGCATGATGGCTAAGTGTTGGCACACGACAAAAAAAATTGTTGAAGTATCTATTGCTGAAAGTTGTATTTTGCAGTTTTACTACCAAGGGTATACTGATGCACAGAGTCCGTAAAGACTTCATATATTTTAATTTGTTAAGAAAAAAATCAACAGAGAAATTAAAAATGTCTGACCTTGTTCCATCAACTCTGTCTTCAGGAGAATGTGCTGGAGAACATCATGATGGAAGCCCTGATCCAAGACAAGGTGGAGTTTGTCAAGCTTCTCAAGGACAACGGAGTCAACATGCAAAAATTCCTGACCATCGCTAGACTGGAGGAACTCTACAACACGGTCAGTAAGCTTTAGTCAACAGTTTCTCCTTTTAGAGATCAGCTGTTGTATTTTCAGGGTCTTCAGGGTAAACGGGAAAATTGGGGAGAAACCAGATGATTGTTTGCTGATTTGTTAACAGTCCGTGTTTTGATATGATTTTTCTATAAACTTGATTCTTCAGTATTTTTTTTCGAAGCTAGAGCTCTTTTTTTGGGGGGGGGGGGGTTTAAATCTGTTGGGGTGTAACATTTTTGGCAACATCACAGTGTTCTTTATAAAATCTCTTTTAGCGGTTCTGGACCCCTTGCTAGAAGTAAACAATAAATTGAAATGAAAGCAATTACAGATTTTTCATGTAGTTCTAAAACAGCTTTTCTCTTCTCTTAGTAACATTTCTTTGTCATGCTTGTGTTTCCATAGAGACCTGGGCCTACCACATTACTCCATCATCTCATCAGAGATATCAAGCAGGTAAGATACAGTTTCAATTGATTAACAAATTATTTTATTATTATAATTTCTACTATTATTATTTTGATGCTCATGATTCCATCCAGCTTATATTTGTTGGGAGTGACGATGGGTACTGGTAAACACTAATCCGGTTCACAAAATCTTCAGAAGGAATTGCGGACTTCACAATGCATTGATATCAGTGCACTTTTCCCGTAATCAATATGTACACATTTCGTGGTCATGTGTTATGTGCACATATAAGTCTTGACCCTATGTCGTCAAGTTAACCGCATCTACCCAATGAGACCAGTGTGTAGTTGCGACTTTCCGAGACCCTTCAAAACATCCTATGTTTACCAATTATTTAAATAACTAGCCTAGAGGGTTCATTATGTAATAAATGAATATTAACATATCTGAGTCAACATTCAATGTCCAGGAAAAGTGTGTTTTAAAGAGCCCAAATCTTTGTGGTACATTTTTGAGACCTTTAAAGACCTTTTTGAGATCCATTGCCCCAAATATAGGATAAGTTGAAAGCATACTTTACTTAATATTACAGGTGAATTACATCCAGAGGTACACGTTATATGACGTGGGCCTGGCCATGGAAAGTCTGATGGGTGGCACCTACCAGTCATCATTCAAAGAGCGACGATTTAAGGCCCTCTACCAAACCACAATCAAGCGGGTATGTACAGGCTATTCAGACAAGAAAATACAATCCAAATTATTTGAAACCAGGAGAAGTGAAAACTAAATAGTGTCAAAATAAGCAAATTTTTTTTATTTATGAAATGTACAGATGATAATTTGTACAGCTGATTGAATGATATATACATTTCAATAGTTAACCCTCCTGCTGTCTGATCAGATGGTCAAAAGTCCATCCACTTCCCCTGCCATGCCTTTTACACTGGTTAGTCACCAACAGTCAGATCATATTTCAGTCAACAGACAAATGCAGTCAACAGACAAAAGCAGGCAAGTGGTAGGCACAGCTGGCTTATCAATCACCTGCTTTATGTAGGTTGGGAGTTCTTAACTGGTAAAAACAGTCACTTGATTGATTTTGACTGAAAGGACAACTTGGCACAGAATGTATGTTTGCATAGGAGAGTTAAACGAGCTCATAACCTTCACAGTAAATGCTCGGTATACTTCCTCAAATATAAGTCCTTCCTTTGCCAATGTTGTTAATTCCTGTTACTTGCAATTTGACTTTTTGTCTGACATATGGTTGACCTGTGAACATCTCCATTAAAAACTGTTTAAAGGGAAAATACAACATTTGCAAACGTCAAAAAACGAAATGATCAAATTATCACGAAATACTTTACTGAATTGTTAGGGAATGACAGTCTAAAGCATCCTGTAAAACCGTGGCTCCTGGTGTGCTGACATTTTCAAGAAAAACTGTATTTTTCCAATGCTGGTCGGACGACCTTAATTTTTCATATTAAGTTATTCTGACTTTTCTTTGCAATTGATCACACACCTGTGAAGGGGTACAAGCCTGCTAGACTGATTCTCTGACTTTACAATTCCCCAAAGTGTATTAATTGCTTTGTTTCATCTTAAGTGGGGTCGGGGAACCAGACTACAAGAACATGATAGGTTTTCTTGGTTTTTCCAGCATCTACAAGCCCAAAACATGAAACAAGTCAGTTTAACAATATTTTATATAACATGCTAATCCTCCTGCAAAAGCAAATGTTGTACATTCCCTTTAATCAGTAGTGTCTTGTGCTTGGAGCCTATATTTGTGTTATAGTTAAGTCCATCACAAGTCCGCACAAGTCATCACAAGTTCTCACAATTCATAAGATGAATTTGCCTCGGGGCGATGTAAATCAAAATTAGATTTTGCCGTTCACCCTCGTATAAACGCTGTATACTCAGTGTGTTACCTCCGGAGTGAAAGATGGAAAAAACCACTTGGATGGGACTCCAACCCACGACCTCCTGCTTTCTAGTGCAGACGTCTTACAAGTCATCACAAGTTACTTACACGTTCTCACAAGCCATTATAAGTCACTAGTCACCCAGTCTTGGATCGAGTTTCAAGCTATTCAAATAGAGTGAAATAAAAGCTTTCCATTTTTGTTCATCCAAAAATACAACCCAAATTTTAAAAATTAACTCCTTCCAGGGCTTGTCCTTCAACTTCATCTCGGAGAACATCCAGAACAACGAGAACATCAACAAGTTCACAGACACCTTAAACTTTCCCTTCAACGAGCTGTTTGTCTGGGCAGTGTTGATGGGCCGACAGCGGATGGCACTGTTCATGTGGGAGCAGGATGAGGAGGCTATGGCCAAGGGGTTGGTAGCTAGCAAGCTGTACAAGGAGCTGGCTAAGACGGCAGATATCGTCAATATGGAGATGGAGATTGGGGACGAGCTACGCAAGTACTCAGAGTGAGTCCAAATCAAGCAGCTACATTCAGACAATTGTTAGGAAATTTTCCGGACCCCTTACGTGGGGGACTCTGACTCGGATCTTTTTGCTTCAGAAATCTTGAATCCTACAATATGAGGTTTAGATATACTGTATATGTCAATTGGGTTTAGACATTATAATAGGGTGGTGAACCGGGTACCGAGTACCCGACCGCTGATGTCAGGAACCGGTTCCAGATTATGGGATCGGCTACCCGTAACCAACTTTACAAATTACTTAGTAACTTTTTAGACAGTGAAAAAGAAAGGTTTTGAATATGCTTTTGTGGGGAATTTTCAAAATGAAACCCAGGTTAAATTGGGAAAACAGAGCATTATTCACGTGTATGACGCTCGTGAAAGTTGCAGTTTAGACCGTAAAGCTATGCTCACTATCTTGCTGGATTATCGTACAGACCTTTATGAACAATCTAAACAGCAACTTCCGAGATCTGAATTGTGGGGTTGGGTACCCGGGTATCCATTTTTAATCGGGTACCTGGTTCACATATTACCTGTAAATGCACACCCCTAGACATATGAAAAGATTTTAAAATTATTCAACAGCAAGAGACAAGGCTGTAATTGGGGCCAAAACCAATGTTTGGAGAAACCACCTAAATTATCTCCACATGGTATTTCTAGACTGGGACCCCAAGTGCAAGAAACTATACAGAACAAAATAAAACAAACTCTCTCTTCGGCCAACAAAATTCTTCAAAATGTCTATAAGGCAATCATGAGATCCAGAGCATTCCACCAGTCAAATTTGAGGTCTCAATTTGTATAGTTCTCAAGGAGAGTTGGAGTGATGTGAATTTGAAGCCTACAATTTAGACTGGCACGTGTCCAACTTTTTAAAAATATGACTTATTTAGAAACTCATGTGGTAAGAAAAAAAATGAAATGATTCTGTTGAGATACTTCACTCATGCAGCATGAAAGAAGTTAGACTGTTCTTTGTTTTGCGCATTTTCATGTCTGAATTTTTTACAATCTTCATTCCCAGTATTGAGTGTCCCATAGTGCCATCTTTCGTTCTAGTAAGAGTCCATATTTTTACCTCATACAGTCAAGAAAATGTAAATCTATAAATTGATTTGATGAATTGCCCCTCATGTAGAGAGTTTCAGCAGTTGTCAGTGGAGCTCCTGGACCACTGCTACCGTGTGGACGATGACATCACCATCCAGCTGATCACCGTCCAGCTTGACAACTGGAGCAAGCACACCTCGCTGAGTCTGGCGGCCGCTGGCCAGCATCGGGATTTCCTGGCCCATCCATGCTGCCAGAGACTCATGAGTGATTTGTGGCTTGGGGGAATGGTCACCACTAAATACATCAACCTGAGGGTGAGTCAATCTGTCCTTCATGTCATTCCTACAGTGCCAACAAGCATCGTCTGGCTGTACCGACATCTTGCTGGTAAAGGGGGACAGATATCTCTGTACTGCTGTCCCAAGTCTGTGGAATAGTCACCCTGTTAACATTTCTCAGCTCATTCAAGACACAAACCAAAAGTGTGTGGAGCTGATGACAAATCCCGCATGGTCCATTTAGCTTCGTCTCAAGGAAAAGTTAAGCATAATATATTATAAATGCCACCTGAAACCCTGTATTGTAATCCGGCGAGCAAAATAAGAAGCCATTTTTGAAGTGTTGCCATGCTTATGCGCATGCCGCACGCGTTCTTAAAGACGAGGTGCTCACGTATTTTGGTAATACCATTGGTGGAAGGAGCCCAAAGGAACTCACGCGTGCCATGCTCTTGCGCGCACTGCACGCGTTCTTAAAGGCGAGGTGCACACGTATTTTGGTAACACCATTGGTGGAAGAAGCCCGGAGTGCATGCATACTACCTGAGCGCGACTCACGCGAGCCCGGGGCCACTGCAGTGCTACCTCAGAAAATGGTTCAGTCTATTTCATCATCATCACCACCATCAAGTCGGCCACAGCCGGGCTCCGATACGACTGCCCCACTCCCTCCGGTCCGCCATAAGGGTGGCAAGCTCGCCAGCCGTCTCCACGTTAGTGTCTGTCTTTAAAAAAATATTTCATGGCTCTCTTTGAATAAGCTACTTCAGAATTTTAACTGTACATGTGCACATTAAAATTGTTGGTTTTCCTTCCCAGAATAAGGAATTTGTTGCATGTGTGCAAGGAAAGTAACAGAAAAGATCGTGTTCCATACAAACTTTCAAAAACCTTGCACAGCACCATTTTCATGATCTTCATCTCCCTCCTCAGGTCATCTTGGCCCTGCTCTGCCCCTTGGCCATCTTTGGCGTGGTCAGCTTCAAGAGCAAGGAGGAGCTGCAGCTGATGCCCCAGACCTTAGAGGAGCACATGCATGACCTGGCTGACTCAGACTCAGAGGAAGGGGAAGAGGACGTGATGAGCGGCTCCCAGACGTCATTCCATCATCTGCAGGAGGATGAGGAGGATGGAGTAGGGGTAAGGAATGGACTAGTCAGGGGGAAGGGGTGGCCTAAAATAATAATAATAACAGGACTTATTGAGCGCCAAATTGCCAAAGGATACAAAGTGCTTATTATTACCTGCTCATTGGGCCAATGAAACATTCCAAATACCATCTCAGTTCCCTGGGGAGTGTATAGCTCGATGCTGCCATTTCGGCGCAAAGCAGCTTAAATCAACAACAATAACCACCTCTGCCCTCACAGGTACCCATTTGCTCCTGGGTGGAGAGAAGCAATGAGTGACAAAGTGCCTTGCCCAAGGGCACACGCACTGTAGCCGCAGGCTGGACTCGAACCCACAACCCACGGAATTACCTGCAGACCGTGAATTCAATGCTCCAGACCACGAGGCCACAGCACTCCACGGCCCACACCCACCTTGTCACCCACTCCCACTTCCCAATTTCAAACCCCCTTCCCCTTTGTCAGTTGGGGTAAGGAGCTGACTGGTCAGTGGCATGACCATGGGGGAGGGAAGGAGAGGCATAAGGAGAATGTATCCCCCACACCACAAAATTGGAGATAAAAATCTTTCAAAACCCATTGAGTACCATCTCTAGAAAATAAGGACCCCAAGTGCCCAGTACAAATTGGGCCAGTTGAGATGAGATAAACCAACTATTTTTCCAGGGGGAAATGGAATAAGCAGGACCCTTTTCAGGGATTAAGTTTTGAGTTAAAATTTACAAGACTTCAGAACTAGTAGTTCAAAGCTTTTACCAAAACAGAATTTGTTCAAGAGAAACACTAACTCAAATTTGGACTGAATAAGGGTTTTATTTGATAAGGGTGAAATAAATTACAAGAACGTTCTTGTTTATTGTTATAAGTGTACATGTTAAATGAAAAACCAAAATTTGTTTTAAAGATAAACTCTATAAATTGGTCTTCCAGTGAAGACTTTGCTAATGATAATAATGAGTGTGAAAACAACTACACTGCTCGTCTACAGAAGTTTTGTCATGTAGAAAGCGCCATACCAATTCTTAAGTCACTGAACTCATGCCAGCGGACCACTGCATATTTTTATGGCCTGATTTCAATTTCCTTTCCTTACCTTGATAACTCTGATGGCCTTTACAGATGCAGTCGCTAGACGGTAAGGTCACCCAGCCCCTCAAGCCCGCCTCCCCGCAGATAACCTCTGACCTCATGACCTCATCGATCTCCCCTCCGCGGAAGCAACTCCGACTGGGCAAGAAGCTGTACGAGTTCTACCGCGCCCCTATGACAAAGTTTTGGGCTCACACGGTAAGCATTATCACTTCTTCTGATCCAGACTTGCAGTTAAGTCCCAACAATTCAATACGTAACTGGAACATGTGCACTGAGAGTTTCTCTCATTATATGACTGTAGCAAACACCATAAATAACAGTTGACCATGTGTTCATTTGAAAACATACATGTCCTTGTCACTGTTCATCCCCTGTTAGTGCTGACATGATGTGACTTTTGTTTGACTGTGTTCCGATCCCGGTGTCACGGTCTCACTTCTCTGGCGTGCTAGCTTCTCCAAGTTGGAAATTTCACTTCAACACGCATGCACAAAATTGCGCAGTAGTGTTCACTTTCGCCAACTTTATGTGTGTGCTGAGTTCTTTGGGGTTGTACTGGTGCACGTAAGAAGTTAGGATGTTTGTATGTATATGTCACAGGGTACCATCGAATCCAGACCTAGGCATGGTGGGGCGCGCAATTAACTCCCAACATCCTAATAACCAAAAAAAGACTTGAAGGATGCACATTTATTTTAAACCGTGGTTGAACGTGGTTGCAAATTGGACATGCATGTGATGGACCACGACCGAGCAAGGAACACGCTTCTTAATTAAGTTCCTCAACGCACACGCAATGACTTGACCCACAGGAAGTGTTACATGACGCATTCTTGGGTGTCCCTTACTGTCTGTATGGACTGGTAGACTTTACAACAACACCACAGCCCGAGGAAAAGTTAGCACAGCGGACACATGAGCATGAATAGTGCTCATGTAACGTGCACTGTAACGTGCTCAATTATCCGCCAAATCCACCCGGAGAAGCTGGCACGCCAGAGAAGTGAGACCGTGACACCGGACATTCCTTTTGTGCCCTCAAAGAAACCTATTGCAAATGAGTTCGGTCAGCATTAGATGATTTTAGATCTCTAAGTAAAGTCTGTCACGAGCCAATGTGGCCCATCAGGCTGGCATTTATTTCTGGTTTCAGTGGCATGAAACGACTCAAAATAGTAACTATTCCCCCTTGATGGGATGCCAGTCCATTGCAGGTTACTCCCCAGCTAATGCTGGTATCCATTTACACTCCTGGGTGGAGAGAGGCAAGTGGGAGTGGCTTGCCCAAGGACACAACATATGGCCAGTAGCTGGATTCGAACCCCTGATCCTCTGATCATGAGTCACGAACCCTAACCACTAGGCCACACTCTAGATCTCTAGGTACTTAGAAATTTCTACATACATTGTTACTTCTAGATATTTTGTTACTCAATCATTGATGTCTAGTTACTCCTGGGTACCTAATTATTCATATTAATGTATATATCCTGTTTGTTTGTTTGGGGTTTTTTTTGTTTGGGGGTGTGTTTTAGAAGTAATTCAAATTTCTTATAATAAAAATATGTGGTGTACATTGTTGTGAAAAAAAAACTTTCAGGGCACAAGGAATAACAATGCAAAGTATGCAGTATTCAAAGTATAATGAATTTTGGTTTTCATCTGCAATTTTCAATAAAAAAAAAATGTTCATCAAATTAGTACAAGATTTTTAGGATCAAGCTGCTGTACCCTTTAGTCCCTAGCACCTGAATCCGCCCTGCCTATTACTCACTGTAGCCCCTGAACCATCTGAGTGCTCCATGGTTTATTGATTCTTCAGTGAATAAACACAATGTAATACAATGTAGTACAGGTGCATATGGGTTAACAGGAAAACATACAGAAACAAATTCATTTTGCATACAAGCATTGCCACTTAAGACAACAAGGGAAGTATTAAAATCTTGCTGATTTTTTTTTTTTTTTGCTGTCCTTTTCAGATGTTTTTCTTTGGTTTCATGGTCCTGTATAACTACATGGTGCTAGTCAAGTTACCAGACTTTCCAGCATTTTATGAGTATCTTGTCATCTGCTACATTGTCACCTCGGGGATGGAACACGTCCGAGAGGTAAGCTGTGGGGCTGAGATTTGTCAGGATCTTTCCTGATTTCAAGATTTTGTTCCCTGGATTTTTCCTGATTTTTGATTTTAAAAGAATCCCTTTCAAAATGCTAGAATACCTGCCGTTTTGCTCAAGCATGTTTTTACCTAGAACAAAAAAAAGTGGTATTTAAGGGGGCCTTTAGGCAAATATAAACATGCATATGTACCGAAGACCTTACCCTCGGTGACCCTCAAACCCTGTGGTTTATTTCGTGGATATTTCATTCCCTCCCCCCCCCCATCTCAGAACATCAGTCATTTGTGTAAATTAAAGTCTTTGAGTTAAAAAAGTTTCAAATAACATGGAAGTTTTTAGCACAAAGTGGACAATTTGGTCTGCGTAGAGGTATCTTCTATGGTATGAATTGCAGTATGCATGACTACACAGTTCCTCTGTTGGTTGAGTTATCCATTCCTTCCAAAAACATGTCAAGAATTGTTTTTCCTCCAACACTTTGTTTCCAACTTTGTGGACAGCTCTTTGGCACATAGTTTGCTATTTAAAATTTCACATAGGAGTGTTTTTGTGACTCAGATAGGGATGTGTGTGAGTTGTTTTTGTTTTGATGAAAGAACACTTATCTTTTTTGTGATCTGTGGACAGAACTCTAAAATGATACTTGTGTTTAAAATTCCGTAACTTGAAAAGTACATGAGAGATTTGAATGATTCGTGTACTAAAAGAAAGCTTATGAATTGGGCTTTCATATCCTAGATTTTGAAAGTGCTACATGCAGAACTTCACTAAAACAATAGTCCCGACATTTGGGTTTCATTTTTTTTTTTTACTCGCCCTGTACAAAGTTTTAATACGTGTCAGGTAAATGCCCGTTGTCTGAATTCGGGCGATTCACAATGCAGTGCGCCACCAAGAGTTTGCCACGGAGAGTTAATTTTTCCCAGTGCTTATTGTGAGAGATGGTCGACAAATTCGCAGCGCGGGACATTTGAAATTGTTAGTTTTTCCGGTCAGTAGTTTTGTAGGTGAATGACCGTAAACTCGAAACTGGACTCTCCATGGTAAACTCTTGGTGGCGCACTGCATTGTGAATCGCCCGAATTGAGACAGCAATGTTCCCTGTGTAAAATCCCAAGCATAGGAACCTACCCACTTGTCTCTCCGAAGCGAAATGGTTGTAATATTTACTGAGAAGTCTTGACAACAACTGTTTTTTGTTTGGATTATTTTTTCTTTTTTTTCCTTCAGATTCTAGCCTCCGAACCAACCCGCCTGTCCCTCAAGCTGCGAGTCTTCTACTCCTCCTACTGGCACCTCCATGAGGCCCTGGCCATCACCTTCTTCCTGATTGGGATGGGCTTCAGGTTTGCTCCGGCCACTAAGTCCGCTGGACGGGTCATCTACTGTGTGGTCATCATCATGTGGTACCTCAAGGTGCTGGAGATACTCAGCGTCAACATCTACCTGGGACCCTTCGTCAACATGATTGGCAAAATGGTCAGTATAGTGCATGTATTATTGTTGTTCATTTTTTTTTTTTTCTGTAAATGAAACGGAGGATCCCTCAGAAGCACCCATGGCATTGTAGCCCACAAGCTAGAAGAAACCTATTGGAGAGAACACAATAAAGAAATGTTAGATTTAGATGTGGGGGTAAAAATCCTAGAAGAACATTCTGGAGAAAACCCACAGAATCAGGTTCGGACTGATTTAGACTGGACTACTTTTTGGAAACGGGGAAATAATAAGAACCTTGACCACGACGAAATGGACATCTGGTATAAAATTAAACATCGCATTATCCCAACGAAAACTTGGCTTAACAGAATAGGTATCACCGAAGACGACAACTGTGTTTTATGTAACTTTATTTGGCATTCGCGATGTGCCATTTTGATAAACTATAGTGACTCCCATGTTGATATGCTGCAAAGATTCAAAACTAAGCTGAAGCGTTTTGTTCACTTTGAAAAAAGCAGATTAGATGGCAAAGATTTTCAGAAACGGTATCTTAAGAATAACGCCATTGGTAAAATTGTTGACAAGCTCCTCTTTGCTTTTTGACTTGCTTTGTTTGTATTTTCCTGGCTGATTGATTTTTATTCTAAATTTCCTTTTTGAGATCCATGTGAATCTCAGTCAATTTTTTGTACCTACGTTGTAGATATTTTTACAGATATAGATTTTCATTTTTCTTTATTAATTTTTTTCAGTATGTGCTATGATCATATTATTTAGAAACTTTTAGGATACGTAAACGTACAATGTATATATATATTTAATTTTTTTCACATGATTTATTTTGTTAAATTTCCCTGTTCATCAATTACTCTGTTTACAGATTTATTATTATATGTTTTCGCTTTGGAACTGTTATTTGACGTTGGTTTTGGAATTGAATAAATGAGTTTTCCTAAACTCTACAGAGATACCAAAAAAAAAGGCTGGGCCTAAAAACCCAATCCACATGTTGATCTGGGCGGGAATCGAACCCGGGCCAGAGTGCTGGGAGGCGAGGAAGAACCACTGTACGAACCCCTCTCCTTGACCACTATTCTAAGTGACAGTTTTATTAATTTATTATGCTCAACTTAATCGGTCCATAAGTGTGCCGCTGTGGAGATGTGGAGGGATAACTTAGTTTGCAAAATTCATTGGTGTCATTTAAATGTTTTTTGATAGAAGGTTGTATTTTTCTATAATTGATGATCATTTTACATTTTAATGTTTTCAAGTACCGCTTTGGGAAAGAATGTTGCATTCTGACACCCCTTTTTTTCATCATATATTTTTTCAGTAAAGGTCAGTCATTGCAAAAATGTTGAAAAGACAGGAATCTGGGACTGACAAACATTTCTAATTTTGTTAGAAAATATTTTTTTTTTTTTTTTTAAATGCACTCGACTCACCATAGTCTTTGTACACAGCCAAAGAAGTGGTGTCTATATCTTTCTTGCTTTGTTTTATTGTTGTAAAATTAAGTAACTTTTGTTTAAATTAACTTGCATGCACCAGGCCTTGAATTTGGTAATTTGTAGTGCAATGCCACTTTGTCCTTGAATGAAGCAAAATTATAGAGGGCACCAAGGCCAGTAGGTGGGGCACTAAGGCCAAATAATATCTGCAGAAGGGGCACGGAGGCCGGCTAAAAAAATGTGAATATTATTTTGGCGATCTTGTAGTATAGGGCCCCTCTTTAGTTTCGATCAAATTAGAGTCAAGGTTGTTTTTTATCACTCAAAAATTATCTTTTCAACCTAAAGCAGATTTCTCTCAATTAAATGACACCTAGTTTTGTAATTTTGAACAGTTTCTTGGGTTAGAAATTACGTTTTTTGTACGCAGTTTTATGGTTGGTGCCGTGCGAATCGCCATCTTTATTTTTCGTGTTCCGTTTTGTCTTCATCATCATTTTACCCCCAAATTCCCCTCAAAAATTCAAAACCTTGCCCTCTATCTATGACCTACCTGCATGTTCAACATGTAAATGTTGCCAACTAGTTTGGTAAATATAAATTAGAAGTGAATTTTGTTCTCTTATTATAGGGAACAGGTCCTGTAACTGCACGATCGCCATTTATATCTTTTGACAATCAGAACACCACGTGCACGCTTGTTGTGACTATCCTCGTTGGCCTCATACACGAACATCAATGCATATTGTGTACCGCGCATGCAAGCACTGAGAAAAAGAAAGTCGGTTGTCTTTGCACGTAAGATCTGCCGTACGTACTCTTGCTGGTATGTGTGTGTGTACAAATACATACCATTTTTCTCGCAGCGGGGGTGTCGCTACTTGAAGTTTGGGCACACTCCAGAACTGGACTAGATTCAATTGTGGTACGAATGTGTATATGAACATATCGTACATATATGTACAGTGCATTGGAAATCACAATGGCCACGTGTGTGATTGATTCAGAATCATCAACTTACACCACAGTGAGAGAATGAATAGCTTAGTTGGTGAAGCCCCAGGACAGTGTCCATGAGGTTACAGGTTCAAAGCCTACCCAATTTAATTTTTTTGTTCGATCTCATTTTGATCAAAATTTTGAACAAATTTCACTGAGCCCTTGTTACATTTCACTCACATATTTTGTTTTCACTCTTGTCTTTCCTAGATGCGAGACATGTGTTACTTCATCATACTCCTGATCATTTTCCTGATGGGCTTTGGTGTGGTGCGGCAATCCGTCCTCCATCCTAACGAAGAGTTCTCGTGGGTCCTGTTGCGGGAAGTTTTTAAAGAACCCTACTTCATGATCTATGGAGAAGTTTATGCCGACAAAATCAATCGTAAGTTCACAAGATGTCCATTAGTGACCATAGTGACCAGATTCTGCAAAACTGAAATGCTTGTAGCAGCAACAGACAAACCAACATTTAAGTTATGGTTTTTTTTACATCCCACTGTCATTTCACAGTGAAAAGTTCCTAATTTTGTAAATTGTCAAATTAGGCACCAAAAAACAACAAATGCTCAGTAAATTTGCAAAGACAGAAATAATGTCAGAAATTGCAATTGTCTGAAAATTGTATTGACTGAAAGTAAACATTTTTAGTCTTAAAATTTGATCCAAGGGACATTTCCAGAAATTTGTTGCCATACATTTGAACAATTTAAGTGAACAGTTTAAAAAAAAAAACAATTAGTAGTATTTAATATGTTGTTTTGTGTGATATGAAACTAAAAAAAAAAAAAGTTATCAGATTTGCTTCAGTTAGAAAATATTTTTGACATCATCCGACTTTTGAAGAAGAGTGTGCACTAAAAGGTCTATGTGAATATTTAGACAGTTCAGGGAACATTCCAATGTGGTTATCTCTCACCATCAGTGCAGGATTCATCTTTCTGAACATACCAATTAGCTTTTAGATTTTAAAGTTATTCCGAAATGCAATTAACACAAATTACTAGTAAATTAAAAATATCACTTTTACCCCTCCAAAAAAATATATATCATTGCAAAATTCACTTCAAAATCTTGTCCATTAATCTTGTCCTAAAAGTCTTTTGCAAATACAGTGGAACGTCACTCCTTAACATTCCGAACATTCGGCTATACCGAACATCGTCCTTGGCTCCCACTTTTTTCGCACAAAACGTACCGAACGTTGTTGTTGAGAAATGTCAACAAAAGAGCGACAAGTGGCTTTTATTTCCCCAAGGAATAGAAGGGGAAAGCCACCCATTGCTGTAGGTAGTAAGCTCAAAAACTGTGTAATTACATGAGTCAAAAGTCGGCACATGTTCAAAGTCGTCTTTCAGTAACTACCAGGGCATGCAGGGTGAAGTTATGAAGGGCGCTGTTTATTGAAAAGTGAGTACCGGATCACCGGCAGCATACCGAAGGATCACTACTACAAACAATTTCTGTAGATCCCGTGGTGTTCGTTATAGTGACGTTCAACTGCACTCCCTTTCACCAGTTATACCGGTACTTGATATTCCGTAATCGGAAACAGATTCTCTACACTTGCTTTATTTTTGTCATCAGCTCCTTGTGGAGAGGGTACGAAGATGGGCCCCTGTCCTCCAGGCCATTGGACCGTCCCCGTTGCCATGGCAGTATATCTAGTAGTCAGCATCATTCTACTGGTCAGCCTCTTGATTGCGGTATTCAAGTAAGTCATTATTTGTCGGGTGATTCAACTTAATCAGTATTGGATTATTTGAATTTCCAAGTGATGGAAAATTCAGTTTTGCAATTTAAGAAGTATCTGAATACTGTAATATTTAGTTGATGTTCATTTATTTTTATACTTCTGAAAAGAGAATATTTAGTATGTTTCTATGTTGTGGAGATAAAGATGTACCTTTTTGGTAAAGGTCACTTTCAAAATGCCAAGATATGATCATTGAAGAAAACTTATGTTTGAAACTCAGTCCAAACTAAAAATGTGGCTTTTGACTTTTGGCTTGAAGGCTTTTGACTAACCCCCCTTCAACAAAGACATTGACAAAATGGGAAACTGTCGACAGAGGGCTGGATAGCTCAGTTGGTAGAGCACGGGAGCGGCAATCCGGAGTTCAAGGGTTCAAACCCCACAACTTCTCTGTTCAAAATTATGTTTGAAAAGAAAGTTTAAGTTGAGATGTTCCATTGGTTTCCAGTTTGATGTCAGAAGATTCAGGAAAGTTCCTAGTAAAATTCCTTAGGGAGTAAGGGTTAAGGCTTGCATTTCTTCCTTCCTTCAGCAATACGTTCAACGCTGTCAACTCCATCGCCCGCCAGCTCTGGCAGTTCCAGCGCTACCATCTGACCATGAACTATGAGCAGAAGCCGTTTCTTGCCCCGCCGTTTATCATCTTCAATCACCTCTACCAGCTGATCAAGTTGGCCGTCTGTCGCTGCAAGCGGTCCCGGCCCAGCAACATTGACCAGGGGCTGAGTAAGTCCATCCTGGGGAGGGAAGTGGAGGGGGAGAGTTGTTGGTTGAAGAGGTCAGAGGAAAAAAAAAGAGACACAAAAACAGACATAAGATGTTTTGGTTGAAGCAGCGGTTTTGAATGACCACAAAATGGCAATATGCATGAGCACATTTATTTGGAAATCAACATTCAGTGCAGTATCTAAAAACACGTCAAAACCCCTTAAGGTGAAGGGTTTTGAAGTGTTAAAGTAGCTGTGTCATACAGAGAGTCACTTCACAAAAAGCACTGTGGAGAGCAGTGAAGCACGACAGAATCCTGATTGCCCTGAGCTTAACAGCACACAAATAAATCGTGCAGGAATTTTGAAGTGTCATCCGTACTCCACGGGAGATTACCTCAAAGGATTTTGGAGTGTGGGTGCTAACTCTATGAGCAAAAGTGTGGAGGCAAAACATAGAAGATATGTGAAATGAAAAGACTAGGAGGGTCAATTTCATCCCCCAGCAGGCCCTCCGCTGATTACATTTGCTGAAATATTGTTCTATTAAGTCTGAAGCTATACTAACCGTATTGGTCTAAATCTCTCTCACAAAATCTATCCAAAACGAGCACAAAGAACTAATAGGGCACTGGCACCCTTGGATAGAGTGTTGGGTACAATTTAAGGTCACATGACCTTTTACAAATGACCTTGAATACTGTATGGAATTGTACCAAAAGTAAAAACTGTGGCTGTTTTTCAACTTTACTTACTATATCTCGAACACCTTTATGAAGATGTAAAAAAAAAAGCAATGATAATTTAGGGTACCAAGTTCACAAACTACCTGTTAATCTATTCTACATTGTGGGGAGTGTGGCCTAGTGGTTAGGGCTCGTGACTCATGATCAGAGGGTCAGGGGTTCGAATCCAGCTGCTGGCCATATGTTGTGTCCTTGGGCAAGCCACTTGACCCCCACTTGCCTCTCTCCACCCAGGAGTATATAAATGGGTACCGGCATTAGCTGGGGAGTAACCTGCGTGGACTAGCATCCCATCCAGGGGGAGTAGAAAGACTCTTTAATGAAACCGGAGATAAACGCCGGCCTGATGGGCCACATTGGCTCGTGACAGAATGTACTTTACTTTTACATTGTGTGACATTGTATTTATTCCATGATAATTCCACAAAACCACAGATTGCTTGGGTGGTTTGGGGCAGCACTGAGACTCATGGATTAACGCGCAACCGTATTCCCAATCCTCCGCATCTTTTTCCTTTGAGGACGCACCAATCAGACAACCAAGACACTTGGGCTCACATGTCTTTTTCTTTTTATTTTCTTCTCTCAGAGCTTTTCCTGCCTCCAGAGGAGGTAGAGAAATTGAGAGATTTTGAGGAGGCATGTCTGGAGTTGTACTTTCGAGAGAAGAAGGACAAGAAACAGTCCTCCAACGACGAGAGACTTAAGATAGTCTCCCAACGGTAACATTAACTGTTTGTTTGTTTTTTCCTCCATCAAAATGGATGGAACTTGAGAGCAAAGAAATCATGCTTACTTTCTGTCTAGAGAGACTGATATTTTGAGATGCAGAGATGCAGTGTATGGGCTTATCAAATGCAAAGAGCTAATTACAACTACCCAACTGCAAGGAAAAATACTTCTGACTCTTTTCTACAAAGCTAGCTTGATATACAAACGAATGCAGTTTTGAACTTTTTTTTTGCCCTTTTGAAAAGGAACTTTTTCTTGCATTGATGTCTAAGGTGCAATGTGGAGTTGTAATTTAGACAATCGCAAATCAAGTCACAAGTCACAAGTTAAGTAACAGGGCTTTAACTAAAAATTAAGCCGTCTCTCGCATCACACCCCACCAAAAGTGCTGTAGTCTTCAATTGTGAAGTTAGCACTCAATTGGAAGAAGAAGAGGGAAGCTACAGTGTCAAAGAATGCCTTTGTCAGTTCATTTGATTAGCTTGACTTGAGACTGGATGACTTGTTATTGAATGGTGCACTCACTGTTTTTTTTTGCCCCATGTCAGATTTCAGGGTGGTACGGGTTACTTTTTAAAATATCCTGTTGAATTGACCATTCCCACCTTGCTGTTCACTGCAGAATCGAGGGCAACTCACTTCGCTTAGAAGAGATTGTGGAGAAGGAGAACCACACTAAGTTGAACCTGAGGGCCTTCGACAGGCGCCTGCTTCACTTAGAGGAGCTGGCCTTCCAGACGACATGCTCGATCTTCAACATCCAACACATGCTGAGTGTGGCCCTGACTCAGATGGCAGGAAGCAGCGACATGGAGAGCAGCCCTGAGGATCCTGCACCAAGCAAGGAGCCCAGCCAGAGACTCCGTCACCTGGCTTTCGTCCAGGACAGGGAGGAGACCGCGAAGGTGCCGCTGGAGGAAGGTCTGACGCCGGACGAACAAGTCAGATCAAAGGCAACCTTCCACCTGAGTCTCAAACGGGACCATTTCAGGTCCTTCTCCATGGACAGGACAAGCATCCCTGAAGAGGACATGTCAAGTGCAATAGCCAAGCCTCGCAGAGTCGTCACAGACAAGACTGCCAACAGGTCTGAAACGGTAAAGCTGAAAAGGCCAGAATTCCTGGATCAGCTGCAGAGTACCTCAGGGAAAGAGCAGCTGCAACTTGGCACCAAACCAAAGAAAATGTCAGACTCCAAGTCGGACAACTTGTCCAAGACAAAAAGCCCTAAGCAATCCAGGCTAAGCACATTTGAGCGGTACGCCTCGATGATTGAGCAGCAGTCCCCTGTCAAGCCAGTTGCAGCACCGATGCCAATCAAGAGACAAGTCGGATACAACACGTCCACACCGGCTTCAAGGAGCACCAATCACTTGGAGCCCAAGCTGCCGTCGCGGGACTCGGACAGCAACCTCTCCACTTACAGTTCCTCCAGCATGAAGAATGCACCGCACATGAGCTCCATGCCCAGGTCCACGCCTTACATGAGCGCGCCGGTCTACTCCACCATCACAGACCACATTGACTTGACCGCATTGCAGATGAGTTACCGTGGGCTCCCTTCGGCAAGCGCCAACACCAGTGCGGGTTACTTAAACCTGGATGATAACCTGACCAGCTTTGATGGGGAGGTGCCCGTGTCTCCCTTGCCTCCGTCAGTGCACCGGGAATCCCCACTCTCGGAAGCCTCCAGTGGGGGTCTTCAGCAAGCTGAGCGTCGATGCTTTGAGATGATGGAGGATGCGACAGGAGACGAGACAGAGACTGTGGATGCGACGGATGATGAGCTAGAAGATAATGAAGATGACCAAGGAGGAATCCAGTTCTCCGTCAAAAACGAGGTAGAAATACACACAAACAGTATTGGGAATTCCAAAGCAGAGACAACATTTTAGTTGAAAAACACAACCATCTAAATTGCTGTCCATGTTTACACATGAGCCGGGATTTAAATACCAAATAAATCTTCATTCCAGGGTAGAACTAACAAGTTCATTTCTGCATTTTTTCTGTGTACAATAATTACAAAATATAGAAACAACTTTGGATATGTGGTGTTAGAATTGTGTAGTGTACTTCAGACGCACAAAGCAACTTTGAAATGAGCAGCTCAGGATTTTACATTGATTTTTTTTAAAATTGTTTTTGTGTTAAATTCACGAGGCACTATGCTGCTATGCTGTCACGCTTGAGAAGCAATACCCAATCACTGGCTGATTATATAGAGATATATTTTAGACTTTTTGTAGATTTTTCTAGAATGTAAGTAGACATTAATGCATATGATGAGCACATGTGATTTGTGAATTGTAATCGAGTCAATCACATGTCAGTGTCGAGACAGTAACAAAAATCATATTATTAAAAGTCGAAGTTACAAGTGTGGTAACTAATTACAGGCCATTAGATAAACATTGACAAAGGAATGCCTTTGTCTAAATTCATGTGAATATCTTGTAACTTGACACAGAAAAAAATTGTGATAGACTTGATTACAGAGATTCCATGGCAGTGTTGCAGGTCAATCACAAGTCCATCACAAGTCCTTTCACAAGTGAATCGCAAGTCCAGTCACAAGTCCTGTCGCAAACAACTGGAGATTGCCACAGTTCATTTGAATAGCTTGTAACTTGGCTTAGGACTGAATGACTCTGGATTGACTTGTGATTGACTTTGTGATGAACTCGGCCATAACACTGCTGCATTGGGCATTCAAATTACATTAATTTGAATGAAACAATAAAGTAATTTTATTCAGGGTTATGTGGAGTTGTGTACCATGTAGTCTTCCAGAAGGCAAGCTTATCCTAGTGTGTGCAGATATCGTATTATCCAAAATAAATTGAATAAGAAAAAGTCAAGTTAATTAGTACTCAAAAATTTTAACAGAAATTTGATTGTTTTGTTTTAAATGGTATACTGCACTGATATAGATAAATAGCAATTCAGTACGCTTCAGTTATTTGTTGTCTGTGAAACATTCTGGAAAAGAGGCCACATTTCAGAGTGATCGGGATGCTCTAATAATGCATTTATCCTATTTTCTCACTGTACATGCTGTGTAGAAAATTAGCATGAATATTGAGAAAGAAGCATTTGAATCTTTGGCAACACTTTATGAAATATCTTTATTACTTCGCCAAGGAGGGGGTTATGTTTTCACTGGAATTAGTTGGTTTGTCTGTTAACAAGATAACTCGAAAAGTTATGGACGGATAATAATCAGCATTTTTAAGAACGCTCCTATTAGTAAACTAAATCACAGCGCTGACAGTATTATTATTACCCCGATCATTGGGCCAATTAAACATTCCAAATACCATCTCAGCTCCCTGGGGAGTATACAGCTCAATGCTGCCTGTATTATTAGGCACAAGCAAGCTTACTCAATCACAATAACCATCTCTGCCCTCACAGGTACCCATTTACTCCTGGGTGGAGAGAAGCAATGAGTGACAAAGTGCCTTGCTCAAGGGCACACGAGATTTAAGGATTTTTTTTAGAAACCACATTTGTGCATTGGTGCTGTGTGTAATGGCGGGAAATAGTTTAGCCTTGTGAAGGTGTACGCTGTCTGAGTGCTTTCTAGTTATCTGCTTAAATCCCTTATTCAGGCAGCCCAGATGATCAATTTGTAATATAATAAATCATAAATTTTCGCGAAAGAATGTATTTGACTAATCAGCACAAGTGTAATTTTGCGTGTTTGTGATGCAACATTTTGTGCCAAATTTTGAACATTTTGATAAGATTACACAGTGCTTGGTTGTATTCTCGTTGAATAAGGGGGACGATTTTTTGAAATAGTGTAAAAACGCTGCTCATCCACAAGCTTGTGTGTGATAAAATAGAGATGTATTGGAACAAACGGGTAAATATTTGGCACACTCTGCAAAAAGTCACCATTTTTTTTCTCTCTTTGTCTCTTTGAGGATTTTCATGATCAGTTCTACATTTTGCGCTCTGAAGCAGCCTGCGTTGACAACAGACAGAGATGTGTTGCTACGGCTGATTTCTCGCAGTGCATAACGCGGCATATGCAATATGTTGTTGACACGCAACATTTCGTGCTGGGCAACATCTTAATTATGATAAGTCATATTTCACAAAATGTCTCAATGGGTAAGTCCCCAACTGATCTGGATTGTTGTGGAGCATGTCACTGCCCAACTTATCAAGGTCGATGCAAGAACTTTACGGCTTTGCTTTTGAGGTAAACAAATTGTTATTTTACCTGTAACAGAAATATATTTTTAACTTCATCGTAGATGTGTAAATCAACTAAAGCATTGTGCATTTACACCAAGTTTAGTGTAATCAATCGTAAGTTTATTGCACAGCTTTGCAACAAATGTTTTGAGTAGGTTCATGGCATAAGATATACAGGGTGATTCTGTGGACAGAACTTTAAAACGGTGGTTGTGTTTAAAATTCTGTAACTTGAAACATAAGTGATTTGAATGATTTTTGTACTAAAAGAAAGCTTATTGATTAGGCTTTCATATCCTAGATTGTGAAAGTGCTACATGCAGAACTTCACTATAAAAACAATGGTCCCGACATTTGGGTTTCGTTTGTTTTAACTCACCCTGTACACATTGTGCAATCGGCTGCAGTGAACAGCAGTGAACAGTGAAAAACGTAGAAGTTTCTTTCTTGGCACACTCTTGCTTTTCTACCACTGCAGAAAGAGATTTGTGATAACAAAGGTAACAAACTCTAGTGAATTGTGATAAAGAAAAATGTGGTCAACAGTGCCAAAGTTCCAAGTATTAAGAGGGTATAGCCAAACCCATGATAATATCTTTGCAGAGTGTGAGATGTGTATTTATAGATAAATTACAGTACCTAATTCTATACACAGATGTATACTGAAATGCTGGCATAAATAAACATTCCGTTTATTGTGTTCAGTTTTCAATATTTTTTGCTGGTTTTTTTTTTTAAGAATTAAGATATAAAAGTGTATCTATTTTTCTTTCTAATTATCTAGGGTAAGTTGAATATAACATTTTGTTGGACGTATTTTTAGAATTATTGGAAACAAGGGTAGAGTCTTTAGTTTCTGTTTGGAATTGAAGTCTGATTTTCAATTGTAATTAAGTCATCGCAAGTCAATCACAAGTCGAGCACAAGTCATCACAAGTCATCACAAGTCAATAAAAAGTCATAAGTCAAACACAATTTATCACAATTCATCAGATGTCATCACAAGTCAATCACAAGTCATCACAAGTCAAACACAAGTCAAACACAAGTCATCACAAGTCAAACACAAGTCATCACAATTCATCAGATGTCATCACAAGTCAATCACAAGTCATCACAAATCAAACACAAGTCATCACAAGTCATCACAAGAGAACATCCATTTATCATTCAGTCCCGCTTACTTGTGACAAGGCTTATAAAATTGATTCACACTTTTCTTCCAATTCCAGAAACTCAAGACTTTTCTTCAGAGAGGTAAATAGTTGGCACAAACAAGATTGGACCAGTATAATTAACTTTCAAAAAGACTATAATTTTATATTTTATTTATATCATGCGTACCTCCATGTTTCGATCTAAACATACTGCTCTCAGTACTGCTGTATGCATTGTACAATAGTCTCTATTAGTTCTGTATTTGATAGTATTTGATAGCATAATTGAAAAAAAAGAGTGCTTTTTGAAAAGTGTCTGACATTTTAAGCCGCCTTGATTTGAATGATAAATTATTTTGTAAATGAAAAATGTAGATAAAATACTTAAATGTGGTCAGTGTACTATATTTATATCATCTAGGGTGCTAAGCGTTTTGGGAATAATGTTTGCATACTTTTTTTCTTACTACTATGCTGCCATTCGAAAAGGCTAGATCTGGTTAGGGATGTTTGTTTGGCTTTGCGTTATATCTTTTCCTCATCAGCACATCTGCCATTTACCTTGAACAAAATCAAGTATCATTGTACAGATGCCAAGAAAGTAAATGAGATAAAGATAAATGGGTCGAGTTGGAATGCTTACTAGGGAATGTGCCAAACTTAAGTAATTTTTCATTTCAGATTGTCGCATACCAGCTAACCAATGGTGAGGGGTTGTTGTAAGTTCAACTGTTTAGTAACTCCTTGTATTTTCTCTTCTGTGTCATTTAAAGAACCTGCTTCCCACCAAAACCAATTAACATTGGTCTTTTTTTTTCTTCAAATTTGATCAACGATCACATTTATGTTTTGACAATTTTTCATAGGTTTGGTATTTGTATATTTTGGGGTTTTTTCTCTTTATTGATGAACCGAGTTGGACTTAAGTACTGTGTATTGGAAAGGGTGCGAATTTGGTAGATGTACTTTTTATGAGATATTATACAACTGGTGATGGGCAGACAACAGCATTTTATTTTTAAAAAGAGGCATGATTCTTGAGCAACATCTGTCAACGCATGTGCCCCATTTCTGTGCTATTTGTAAATACATAAATTAAATATTTATTATTAAATACATGTTCACAAATTGAATAATTACTTTAATGCCCAAAGCCAGTATTAACCGGTCATTGAAGTACATTACACATTTTTGTTGTCAAATTGTCCTCCAAGAGTACTTGAAATTTCTTGTTTGTAGGTAAATCTTCCATTGTTTAAAGAGTATGCACAATTTGCACATAGACCGTTTTCAAGGATACTGAGTAAGACTAGTGGTTCCATTTTCAGGCTTGCCAAAGAAACCAAGGCTGTGTCCAGATCTCTTCAGTCTAAGGCTATTGTAGAATTCATCACCTATTATGTCAATGTGGGAATACGCTGAAATAGGCATAGCCTTAGCTCTAAAAGCAATTGTAGAAACGGCTAATCTACAAATGTAATGCCTTTTGTAACATGTGTGAAATAGAATTTAATAGGCTGCCTTGTAAATTGTTAAGTCTCAATACATTCGATGTTGGTTTTTTTATAAACACTGTATACTCAGTGTAATATGTCCCGAGTGATTTGTGGGAAAAAAATCACTTGGGTGGGACTCGAACCCATGACCTCCTGTGTACTGGTGCAGACGTATTACCACGTGGCCACCGAGCTTTGCCGGGGTAGGCTTACCATGTCTGGTTAAATGAGATGAAATTTTTTTTAAGGTTCAATGTACAATTTTATGACAAATTACAAGAAAGAGAGTCCAGTTGTTACCATCTACAGTACTCCAATTATTTTGTGTGTGATGATGCCATTGTCTGGACAGCTCACAGCAAACAAATATGATACAAAGTAAAACTTGATTTCCACATTTTTATTCAGCAGTCTTTCTGTTTTTCCTTCGAGAAATATCCTACTGCTATATTCTTAGTGATGGAGTAGAATTGGCTAGATAAAAGGTGAAATGTGTGCTACTGGATGAAATTTTAATAAAGAAATATTAACTTACAATAATATGGTTCAAGCATTCTTTTTTCTTGAAATTGCTGAGGTATTCTGTAGTCCTAGACAATGATGCATGTAATTACGTAAAAGATGATTTCAGTGCAGCACTGAAATATTTATGTTTTCTTTTTATTCGTTCTCCTTATCCAGAACCTCTTCAGGTTTATGAAGACTATTTGTAACAAATAATTATACCTACAAGTACAGTTTTCATGTAATTATTACTCTACAAAAAAAAACCAATATTTTTGATACCAAGATTGGTTTATGAAGACTATTTGTAACAAATAATTGCACATGAATTAGTAAAAGATCGATAATGTTTGGCCAATCCATTAGTGTACATTTACACACTGTGGATGTTCTAGTATTACTGTTCAACTAAATTCTATAACCTGCAGTGTTGTAAGTTCAGTCAATTACAATAAGCCTTTTCGGAGTTCCAACTGTGCATTCGTAACATGTGGCAACGCACATTGTTTGTCTCAAATGCCCTTTGACAGTACCCACAATGCACAAGCAGCCTTTTTGTAAAGTCAGTGGCGCGATGATGTCAAAGGCCATTTGAGACAAATAATGCGCGTTGCCACAGGTTATGAATGCGCAGTTGGAACTCCGAAAAGGCTTGTTCCTGTCACAAATAAATCACAAGTCTGCACCACCAATAGCATAGGATGAACAATGAGGGTGACATGGGTGGCTAGTGTGTAAAGTGCTTGCCCCTCACCACTGTGGCCCGGGTTCGATACCCGGCTTGGAGTAGAGTTGTTTGGATTCTCTCCTGTGCAGTGAGGGTTCTTCTCTGGGCCCTCCGGTTTTCCTCCCTCTGCAAAAGTCAACACTCAATCTGGCTGTGCTCCGTGACCAGACAGGGGTCGTATGGTAGCTGCCTGAGGCGACGTTGGCTCGACCATGCTGTAGCCGCATCCTTCGCAATTCAGCTTCTCAGCTACGAGTAAGGATGATTAGCCTCCCAAATATTATAAATTATTGTAACAGTAACGAAGGAATGCCTTTGTCACAGTCACTTGAATAGCTTGTCACTTGGCTTGGGACCGAATAACTGTGCAAATGGTCCGTGTTGTGACTGACTTGTAATGGACTTGTGTGGACTTGTAAGACTTGTGCATGTCATGAACTTGACTACAACATTGCTAGCCTCTCCATCAAAATTGAGTGTTGCTCCAGTCAGGAACAGATGGACTATTGCATCTGGATCATGATCTCTAGATCAAGAGCTAGTTCCGGTATCGGCCACTCTCATTCAAGCTTAGGTTCAGCAGCCACCCGACCATAGAAGCACCTAGTCTCCAGTCCCCCAGCTGTGACGTACTGGATGACAAGTCGGTTGTCGCTACCCACCACCTCGGATATCGTCGTCCATCGTCCCCCATCCCCGGGGCTCCCCACCACCAGTCTCCGCCCCTCCCACCTGGCCACTCTGGTCTCCTGGGCCCAGTGGTTGCGGTCCACCTTGGGGACCCCCACGGTCATCGTGTGGCTGGTGGTCTCACCCCGGATGGTCAACTCGTCCCCCTTCACACTGATGTCCAGGGTTTTGGACGGGGTGGTGAGGCGTCTGGGCTCATCCGGTGGGCTGTCCCGGTACATCTCTTCGATGAAGGACTTGTAGTTCTCGCTGTTGATGAAGCGCCAGGAGCCGTGGAAGTTGGACCTGTCCTTGGCGGCGGCCATCTTGGATTGCCTCTGAAGTAACAACACTCTTAATCAAGTCTACTACTGCCTTCCAAGGAACAACTGATGCTTTGATCAGGCAAGTGATAACCAATCTTTGCAGAAACACAAGATTAAAAATCTGCATGCAGAGAACAACTGGCAAGTTTGCAGACTGTATTCAGAAGTTGCAAGCGACCAAATCTAAACCAGCCCTTTAGGCCTATTTTTAGGCCCCTAATTGATAAGTGTATATTGCTACACTTCCACTCTTCGCTTTAAAATTACATTTAGTACATAATGCAAATGTGCAATTGATACTCCTTTATCTTAACTTTATCTCAAAAATTGTACCATTTTTGCTGGCAGTGGCACAGTATTTCATTATCTCAACAGAATGAGCCGTGTTTACATGTGATTAATATCTTCATATTTATTTTTGATATGATTTACCCTACTTTTATTACCACAGATGTTAAAAAATGACTTGAATGCACTCCATTCACAAAGAGATAAATGGATAAGTAATCTCTTTTTATTACCCAAATATATGCAACTATCTTGGAGGAAGTGTACTATGTTGGTTGATATTATCTCTTCAGATAAACAATTACTTCCTGAAGTTTCAATTTGCTGGTACCCATATGAGAGGATAAAACCTCACGATAGTGTTTAAGAGGGTTGCCTTTAAAAAGATGTGGTTAACTTTAAAAAAAAAAATTGAGACCTGAGTTACTGCATTGTTTTTATATCATTTGGATCAAAGATTGATTTCCCTGCACACATGAAATAAAATTTTCCTTTTACATTTGGTTCACTAACCATCAACAGTTGTTGGATATTTGCTGGTTTGCTCTTTCAAATGGTGAATGTGTTTCTATACCAAAATAAGATTTGAAGATTTGCATCCAATAAGAGTAAGTTGGTGGCTTCGACCCATGACGTGTGAATTGATAATGGTGTAGACCAGAAACTTCCTCTTATTGTATACCAAAATCCTTGACAGCTATCCGAAGTGCTCGTTGTATCTCAACTTTCTTGGGCCATTTCAGCTCCTTGATCATCATCATGTCTGGCAAAGGCGGCTTCAACGTCAGTGGCAAGTGGGAGCTCGAGTCGACCAAAAACTACCCGGAGTGGCTTGAGGACATGGGAATACCGGAGGCTGAACGCCAGAAGAGCCTGGCCAATACACCGAGCCTGGAGATTGTTCACGAGGGGGACACCTTCGACTACGTGTCTCGGAAGGGTGAGGTGATGAAGAAAGTCACCAAGAAGATCGGGGAGGAGTACTTGGATACTGCGCATGGCTTGAGTGAAACCAGGGTAAGTCTCGATAATAATTTGCAACAGAATAAGGAGTCTGCAATCTGTTGTGGCTTCCAATGAAAGCTTTGGACGAACTTCATTGTTTACTTTGAAAGATGGACTCCCGAGTCTATGGTGACCAGTGTTGTAGTCGAGTCCATCACAAGTTCTTACACATTCTGACAAGTCCATCACATGTCCATCACAAATAGTCCAGTCTACAGTCAAGTCACACTCAATTGCCATAAAGGCATTCCGTTGTCATTGTTTCACCGATTATTTGTGATGAACTTGTGGTGGACTTGACTAAAACACTGATTGTACGTGTACATTGAAAACACTCGAAAGCACACATTCATTGTTTATGCTAATTGACAATGCCAAATCATGCACAGTTCTCAAAAAAACAACAACAACCAGTAACAAATAGCAACCCAGTCCAAGATATATGTACAGAGCAAGTCCAAGAAAAGGTCCCATACGTAACGCACTGTGCCAGTGTTTTTTAATCATCGAAAAGACTAATAACACATAAAATGTTGTGGGTATTCTCCGTGCAGATGCCAAACAGTTGAATAAAAAAAATCACTGAAATCAATGTTCATCTTAATTGCTTTTTAGAGGGTTAAACTTTTGTTACGTATGAGACGTAACGTGCCCAAATTCTAAGACTTCCCCTACAACTAGCTGACAAGAATTTAAGGTGGACTTCTGCATCAGGGCAGACAAGTACGTAGTTGTCAGACACATTCTATGCCTGTTTCTTAATTACATATGGCATGCTTTATATCACCATTAGTTTTCACATATCCAATCCCAACTGCTGGTCTGAAAAACAAAGCAGTTATTTCATGGCTTACAATTTTTTTTTCCCCCACAACCATGACTACCTCCAGTCAAATATTTCCACACTAAGTAGTAGGACCAAATAAGTATCGTTGCTCAACAGAAAATGTTGATGATTGTGTTTAGCTCTCATTGTGGGTTTTAAATGTTGTTGGTCACACTTTGCATCAAAGATATCCCAACTTTGATCACAAGTACATCACAATTAATGCTGGTCACAAGTAAATTGCAAGTCAAGTCACAAGAAACAGAATGAATACGGTAACAAAGAAATTCATTTGTCACGGTTGTTATGAATAGCTTGTACATGGGTTGAGTTTGAACTGGATGACTTAAATTGTGATTGACTTAAAGCTACTGTCCATCATTTGCAGCCATCCAAAAAGTAACTGACGTAATTATTCCACTCCTCTTAAATGTATGGAATCTATTTGACATCCCTTTTTTGTTAATTTCATTGAAAAGTGCACTTCTTTAAACATTGAAAAAAATGTCTGTGCTTTCCTCTGGACAACTGAGGGTGATGTTGCTGTGATGTCATTTCAGGAAGACACTGTTTAGTTTAGGGGGTTTCTGCTCAAATTGTTAACCCAAAATTTGCTCATTGACAACAATAATGAGAAAAGTTTGCTCATTGGCTTACTGCCATGTGAACATTTATGACGCAAAATATCTAAAATGCGAGCAACTTTTTGTGCAGAAATAACTGTAACATTGAGGTTTCTGCCCGGCATCATGACATTATGATTTTGCTCATGAATATGTCAAAAAGGCACAAAAATACCCTTCAAAATGGCAAAACAAAAATTGAAAATAAGGTTAAAATGGGACATAGAGGTTGTATTTTCGACAATATTGCATTCAACTATAAACCTTATGTGTATGATGTCATCAGTCCATAGAGAGATGCACAACATGACCTCACTGAGGTCAAATCTTGCATTTAAGTTTACTGTGGGAAAACAGCTGTGCATACCCTCTATTACATTGCATGGTCCTTTAGACGGGCTTGTGATGGCTTGTGATTATGGCTTGTGAACCATCACAAGGAACTCAACTACAACACTTTTTTTGGACAGGTTCCACGTTGGGAGGGAGACAAATTGGTCATATCAGCTGCCAACAACCCACCGGGCCGATGGACCACAACATGTGAGCTGGACTGCAACAGACTACTCCTGACCTACACCAGTCATCATGACGGAAAAGATGGCGTCACTGCTAAGAGATGGTTTGCTAGAGTCGGGGAACCAGACTCTGATTTTGTGCTACAGCAGAAAACAGAGCAGAATTAACAAAATTCATTTCTGAAACAGATTTCAGCCTTTTGGAGGAAAAAGACCTGTTCTGTACACAAAAAGAGAAATAAATATTGGTATATTATACAAGACGAGAAAGAAATTGTAGGTATATTGTGTGAAGAGTTTATTTCCAAAACGCGACATATCCATTTGAAAAAAGTGAAAAACTTTGACGGTTATGAAACTTTAAAGAATAAAAACAAAATAACAGCCGTTTTTAAAATTCATTTTTTGCTTTATTGTATTCTTACAACCATTAAAATGGATTATGGGCAGCCAGGAGAGATTTGGCAGTGAAAGCTAACAAAATGGTGTATATTGCGTTTTGGAAATACCTTCATGTGTATAAAGTACACATTTCCAATTCAACACATAATGTACAACTTTTGGTTATTCAACTTCTTCACCAAAATGATTGATTGAAAACTTTGAAGTAGGAATCTTTTTTTTATTCACAGAGTTTACAACTGAAACGGAATTAACGATTTTCCCATAGTGGAAAATATTCGTCGTTAAAAATAGAAAAGTCAGTTGTCCCACTAAAACCATGTAGTAATGCTTCACCTAAAGTTTTGGAAAACCAGCTATTTGACGGTTGATGGTAACTTTTCAATCAGTGTCTAATTGAGTATTTTAAACAAAAATATTTCTTTCTTACATTTTCCGAACTTAAGACATTTGGAAAACAAGCTTTGATTCATGTTTTTATGTTTTCCAAACTTTAATGCACAATTGGAGTTTTGACTTAGCAAGTAAAAGCCACTACATGCTTGACACCATAGACCAAAAAGAAGGAATTATTCAGAGTGCAATACATTTTATTTATATCTATAAATCACACTTATATAGCACACAAAATATAGCTAGTATATCTTTCTAGACATCTCATGAATCATAAAAATGGTATCAGAATCCTTTTACATAACTTTATACATCTCAGAATTGTACAATTTTCTTTAGAATACTTTTAACTTACAAGTACTTTACAGCACAAAGGACTAGCACACAAGTTTACTTCTGGCAAAAATAAACATCAATTTAAGGCAAATATAAATATGTAAGGCTTACTTACTGTGCATTTTACTATGAATACAATGTTTTTATAGGCACATTCTATGATAATCTCATAACTGGTTAGTAAACTTATTCAATTCAACAACAGAAAAGTAATTAAAACCATGAATTGCAAGTCATTTATTCATCCCTTCCCCATGGAATAGAAACTCACAAACCTTTCTCCAAATATTTGTTTTGTTCTTTTAACCGTTTTTAAAATGCGTAATGAGTTTGTATTCAAACTGCATTAAAACTCCAAGAAAATGACCTTTATTTATTACATCTAACCTCAATTATTTCTCAATTATTTTAAAAGTGCAAATTTGCTCTTATCTTGATTTAAAGTTTAACACAAAGAATAGACAGTTGTGTACAAATGCATGAATCTTGCCTACTATACACCATTTTAAAAGGTTTGTCAAATAGTCAAACATTTGATCAAATACTGCATCACTATTTTCCCCAATTATTCAGAAACGACATGAGTTGAAAGTCAGTTGTTCATCAAAATATGAGAAGTTGTTCACTATTTCTGCATTGATATAACTGAAGTTGTTACTGTACTACTGACCCAATATTGTCCTGCCAGTGTTAAAGTCAGTTTAATATTAGCAGTGCTGTCTAATACCCTGCAACAATACACAAGCCTGGCCATGCGGGACTCGAACCCACAACCTCCAAACCACTAGTGCAGACGTCTGGGGACAGTTGGCCTAATAAAATACCCAAAAGATTCAATCTTACGAGACACAGTGCTGGTTTATCTGAACATTTTTGGTGGCATAAGGCAGCTTCATTGTAAAGGTCAAAAATGCTTGATGTAAAGATTCACAATACATTTACATTCTTGATTTTTCAGAAAAAGAGATATTTTGCCCAATTTTCTTAAAAATACAAGGCTAACTAACCCCTTATATTTTTGATTTGTCAGTAAAAAAGTCAAAAAAAATGTAAGGCTAACCCCTTACATTTTTTGATTTTTCAGAAAAAGTCAAATCTTGCCTTATTTTCATAAAAATGCAAGGCTAACCCCTTACATTTGTGATTTTCCATAAAAAGCAAAATTTCGCCAAATTTTGATAAGAATGCAAGGCTTACCCCTTACATTTTTGGATTTTCCATAAAAAGCCAAATTTTGCCTAATTTTGATAAAAATGCAAGGCTTACCCCTTACATTCTTGATTTTCCATCAAAAGCCAAATTTTGCCCAATTTTGATAAAAATGTAAGGCTAACCCTTTACATTTGTGATTTTCCATAAAAAGCCAAATTTTGATAAAAAGTGCAAGGCTAACCCCTTACATTCTTGATTTTTCAGAAAAAGACATATTTTGCCCAATTTTGATAAAAATGCAAGGCTAACCCCTTACATTTGTGATTTTTCAGAAAAAAGTCAAATCTTGCCCAATTTTGATAAAAATGCAAGGCTAACCCCTTTTATTTGTGATTTTCCATAAAAAGCAATATTTTGATAAAAACTGCAAGGCTAACCCCTTACATTCTTGATTTTTCAGAAAAAGACATATTTTGCCCAATTTTGATAAAAATGCAAGGCTAACCCCTTACATTCTTGATTTTTCAGAAAAAGCCAAATTTTGCCCAATTTTTATAAAAATGCAAGGCTTACCCCTTACATTCTTGATTTCCATAAAAGCCTAATTTTGCCCATTTTTGAAAAAAATGCAAGGCTCACCCCTTACATTTGTAATTTTCCATAAAAAGCCAAATTTTGATAAAAATGCAAGGCTAACCCCTTACATTCTTGATTATTCAGAAAAAGAGAAATTTTGCCCAATTTTGATAACAATGCATGGCTAACCCCTTACATTTGTGATTTTCCATAAAAAGCAAAATTTTGATAAAAATGCAAGGCTAAACCCTTTACATTCTTGATTTTTCAGAAAAAGAGATATTTTGCCCAATTTTGATAAAAATGCAAGTATAACCCCTTACATTTTTGATTTTTCAGAAAGAAGTCAAATCTTGCCTAATTTTGATAAAAATGCAAGCCTAACCCCTTACATTCGTGATTTTCCATCAAGAGCAAAATTTTGCCAAATTTTGATAAGAATGCAAGGCATTACCCCTTACATTTTTCGATTTTTCAGAAAAAGCCAAATTTTGATAAAAATGCAAGGCTAACCCCTTTCATTTGTGATTGTCCATAAAAAGCAAAATTTTGCCAAAAGTTGATAAGAATGCAAGGCTTACCCTTACATTCTTGATTTTTCAGAAAAAGAGATATTTTGCCCAATTTTGATAAAAATGCAAGGCTAACCCCTTACATTTGTGATTTTCCATGAAAAGCAAAATTTTGATTAAAATGCAAGGCTAACCCCTTACATTCTTGATTTTTCAGAAAAAGAAATATTTTGCCCAATTTTGATAAAAATGCAAGGCTAACCCCTAAATTTTGGATTTTCCATAAAAAGCCAAATTTTGATAAAAATGCAAGGCTTACCCCTTACATTCTTGATTTTCCATAAAAAGCCAAATTTTGCCCAATTTTTATAAAAATGCAAGGCTAACCCCTTACATTTGTAATTTTCCATAAAAAGCCAAATTTTGATAAAAATGCAAGGCTAACCCCTTACATTCTTGATTTTTCAGAAAAAGCCTAATTTTGCCCAATTTTGATAAAAATGCAAGGCTTACCCCTTACATTCTTGATTTTCCATAAAAAGCCTAATTTTGCCCAATTTTGATAAAAATGCAAGGCTAACCCCTTACATTTGTAATTTTCCATAAAAAGCCTAATTTTGATAAAAATGCAAGGCTAACCCCTTACATTCTTGATTTTTCAGAAAAAGAGAAATTTTGCCCAATTTTGATAAAAATGCATGGCTAACCCCTTACATTTGTGATTTTCCATAAAAAGCAAAATTTTGATAAAAATGCGAGGCTAAACCCTTTACATTCTTGATTTTTCAGAAAAAGAGATATTGTGCCCAATTTTGATAAAAAATGCAAGGCTAGCCCCTTACATTTTTGATTTTTCAGAAAGAAGTCAAATCTTGCCCAATTTTGATAAAAATGCAAGCCTAACCCCTTACATTCGTGATTTTCCATCAAGAGCAAAATTTTGCCAAATTTTGATAAGAATGCAAGGCTTACCCCTTACATTTTTCGATTTTTCAGAAAAAGCCAAATTTTGATAAAAATGCAAGGCTAACCCCTTTCATTTGTGATTGTCCATAAAAAGCAAAATTTTGCCAAAAGTTGATAAGAATGCAAGGCTTACCCTTACATTCTTGATTTTTCAGAAAAAGAGATATTTTGCCCAATTTTGATAAAAATGCAAGGCTAACCCCTTACATTTGTGATTTTCCATGAAAAGCAAAATTTTGATTAAAATGCAAGGCTAACCCCTTACATTCTTGATTTTTCAGAAAAAGAAATATTTTGCCCAATTTTGATAAAAATGCAAGGCTAACCCCTAAATTTTGGATTTTCCATAAAAAGCCAAATTTTGATAAAAATGCAAGGCTTACCCCTTACATTCTTGATTTTCCATAAAAAGCCAAATTTTGCCCAATTTTTATAAAAATGCAAGGCTAACCCCTTACATTTGTAATTTTCCATAAAAAGCCAAATTTTGATAAAAATGCAAGGCTAACCCCTTACATTCTTGATTTTTCAGAAAAAGCCTAATTTTGCCCAATTTTTATAAAAATGCAAGGCTTACCCCTTACATTCTTGATTTTCCATAAAAAGCCTAATTTTGCCCAATTTTGATAAAAATGCAAGGCTAACCCCTTACATTTGTAATTTTCCATAAAAAGCCTAATTTTGATAAAAATGCAAGGCTAACCCCTTACATTCTTGATTTTTCAGAAAAAGAGAAATTTTGCCCAATTTTGATAAAAATGCATGGCTAACCCCTTACATTTGTGATTTTCCATAAAAAGCAAAATTTTGATAAAAATGCGAGGCTAAACCCTTTACATTCTTGATTTTTCAGAAAAAGAGATATTGTGCCCAATTTTGATAAAAATGCAAGGCTAGCCCCTTACATTTTTGATTTTTCAGAAAGAAGTCAAATCTTGCCCAATTTTGATAAAAATGCAAGCCTAACCCCTTACATTCGTGATTTTCCATCAAGAGCAAAATTTTGCCAAATTTTGATAAGAATGCAAGGCTTACCCCTTACATTTTTCGATTTTTCAGAAAAAGCCAAATTTTGATAAAAATGCAAGGCTAACCCCTTTCATTTGTGATTGTCCATAAAAAGCAAAATTTTGCCAAAAGTTGATAAGAATGCAAGGCTTACCCTTACATTCTTGATTTTTCAGAAAAAGAGATATTTTGCCCAATTTTGATAAAAATGCAAGGCTAACCCCTTACGTTTGTGATTTTCCATGAAAAGCAAAAGTTTGATTAAAATGCAAGGCTAACCCCTTACATTCTTGATTTTTCAGAAAAAGCAAAAGTTTGCCCAATTTTGATAAAAATGCAAGGCTTACCCCTTACATTCTTGATTTTCCATAAAAAGCCAAATTTTGCCCAATTTTGATAAAAATGCAAGGCTAACCCCTTACATTTGTAATTTTCCATAAAAAGCCAAATTTTGATAAAAATGCAAGGCTAACCCCTTACGTTCTTGATTTTTCAGAAAAAGAAATATTTTGCCCAATTTTGATAAAAATGCAAGGCTAACCCCTAAATTTTGGATTTTCCATAAAAAGCCAAATTTTGATAAAAATGCAAGGCTTACCCCTTACATTCTTGATTTTCCATAAAAAGCCAAATTTTGCCCAATTTTGATAAAAATGCAAGGCTAACCCCTTACATTTGTAATTTTCCATAAAAAGCCAAATTTTGATAAAAATGCAAGGCTAACCCCTTACGTTCTTGATTTTTCAGAAAAAGAGATATTTTGCCCAATTTTGATAAAAATGCAAGGCTAACCCCTAAATTTTTGATTTTTCAGAAAAAAGTCAAATTTTGCCCAATTTTGATACAAATGCAAGGCTAACCCCTTACATTTGTGATTTTCCATAAAAAGCTAAATTTTGCCCAATTTTGATAGGAATGCAAGGCTTACCCCTTACATTTTTGGATTTTTCAGAAAAAGAGATATTTTGCCCAATTTTGATAAAAACTGCAAGGCTAACCCCTTACATTCTTGATTTTTCAGAAAAAGCCAAATTTTGCCCAATTTTGATAAAAATGCAAGGCTTACCCCTTACATTCTTGATTTTCCATAAAAAGCCTAATTTTGCCCAATTTTGATAAAAATGCAAGGCTAATCCCTTACATTTGTGATTCTCCATAAAAAGCCAAATTTTGATAAAAATGCAAGGCTAACCCCTCAGGCCAAAACAAAAGTCTCCGGTTTCTGGTATGGAGCTTGCCCAAAAAGTGGTGCGGTGACGCAGCTTTTATTTGTTTTTTTACCTGTTTTTTTTTGCCTCAAATGTCGGCTGATGACTGCAAATGGTGCCCGGCTAAACTTATTGCAAATATATGAAAGTCCAGAGAGGCCACATAAAGCTTATTCACGATCATAACCCTATCTAAAAACACGTTAAAATTGTGCAGGAGCAGGATTCCAATCAAACCAGTGAGTTTGGCGGTTTTGAGACATCATCTTTTATGGAATTTTTTTTTCTTTTCATTTTGCCGACGCGCATGGCTACGGCGACACGCGCGCATACCAGAAACTGGAGACTTTTTTTTGCCTTATATACAATACAGTAGTTACTTTCACAGTCTCAGATACTATGTACATCAACGTAGATATTCCTTCATAAAATGACCACAGCAGTGGCAATACTGAATAATAAAATACCTCCATTACAAAATGTGTGTATCATATATTAATGTTAAATCTTTACCTTTCTATTTGTAATATCTATTCACAAGAAACAACTTTTTATTGCACGTCGATAATGAATATTAGAATATTTGTTTTTGTCTCAGTTTTAGGTCTTAGTTGTATGAAAATGAATCATTGTAATTAATGCTAACACAACATTATGTGGAAATAAGTCTTAAAAATTGTTTAAAAAAAAATAAAACTCTGATAAAAGAATGGTCACAAAACCATTTACCATGAGTATACTGTAAATTTTGGAATGTTTCTTTATGAAATAAGTGCACCATTACTGTAGCACACAATGGTTTAAATGGCAATATTTAGTCATGTTAGGTAACAGTTGCTACTATGTAGTGATAAATATCTTCTTATTCAACGAATACTTAAATTTCTGGACTTCCTTGATAAACCATGTTGAACACATTTGCAATACCCTGAAACCTAATTGAGTTGAAAGTTTAAAAAAATCTAAATGGGTAATTCCATTGTTACGGATGTAACTTTCAGAGCTAAAACCCAATTTGAAACAACACAATAAAATACTTGCAGCAAAAGCAAATTGTACATATGAAACAACTCTAGCTTGCCCTTAATGTACAACGTGACACTGTTAATGTAGTGTTAGCTGACTTACTTGAGACATAAGCTCATAAGCTGTGTTTTGAAAGACCGTTACGGATGGTACGCTTTGAGACATAGATTTTGATTTTCAGTATTCAATGATAACAGTCTTTGAAGTTCCTTGCAAGAATTTCATGAAATTACAATGTTGTGGTAGATATAGGTTCACTCTATAAAAACACCAACGACATTTTGAAAACAAGATACTGTGATGCAGTGGATACATCATGTTTTTGTTATTAAAATGTTACGGATGTTACTGAACTAAACTACACCTACATGTACGTGATAAGAAACATACTTGATCATGATATTCTCGTTTAGCATTTTACACGTGAAAACAAGATGCCAAAATGACTACCTAAAATTTTTAATTTTAGCCCCAAAATCATTTACAAAAACATACATTTAACCATTTTTTACCTCATCACTGGTACACCACTCAAATGAAAGGTCTTGTTTGCCCCTTTTATTTGATACCACATTTTAGGTTGTGATGCTTGTAGTTCTGAAGATTTAATAAATTATCAAATTTTCAACCATGTCTATTTTCCGTGGAATTGCCCAAATTCAAAAATAGTACCTTTTCCTAAAGACATCTATCATTATACCGTGGTGTGCCATCCTCAATTAATTCAAGAAAAAAATACGAATGACTGGAGCAAATCGAACTTGCTGGTCGACTAAAAAACAAAATGAAATGAGTTAAAATGTGTCATCCAGTAAGGATTTCATCTGCACCAATCAATTATTAGGGAAAAACCCAAATGGTCCACAAGATGGCATAATTTGGCAATACAATGTGTTGACAGATCTCCGTGTTTTCAGAACGTCCATTCAGTTCAATTTAGTTCATTTAATGAACTGTGGATAATTATGTTTTGGAACCCAGCCTAAATTATACATCAGCCAATGCAAAAAAGAAAAAAAGCCAATGTAGTTTTTCACTGTTTAATCATTGCACGTATTGTCTTTGTCAAAATACAACGGGGAAAGAACTTGAGTTGGTTCTTTATTCAGTGACACAAGTTTAGGCGTCAATAAATACTGTTACCTGGAGTTGTAACATTGCAAAAAAATTCATTTATATACACCAAAAAAATATATGAAATGCTGTATTTTTAAATACTGCTGAGTACTCAAAATGTTCAGTGCATTAACACATTGTTAAGGCCATATCGTACTTCTCGGCCCTGCCCGCCATCCCACTTCGCCCAGTCCCTTCCCTTTTTTGATGTAATTTTAAAAAATATAATACGATTCCTTTGGGAAAATAGTACGATAATTATTATACTGGCACACAGTTCTGGGAATGCTTCACGGGACGTGTACAAATGCTGCATTTTTTTTTAACCAGGATTTCTAATGGGAACTCAGAAAGTGTTGCCATCAAAGAGACATTGCGCAGATCGCCTGTCACTTGATACATTGCGATCAGGGCAGCTAAGTACCTTACTTATTTGTGTCAAACTTGACCAGGCAGACCACCAGCACAACGGTGAAGGCAACCAGTGAAAGCAGGGCGATGGATACCAGGCAAATACACTTGCGACGCTGGTGGGGGTCATAGGTCGTCTCCTACGGCAACAGAAATATGGAAGTCTTATGTTAGGCATTGTTCAAAAGGTATATTGGAAAATCGCAGAACTATCAGGAAATATCTCACAGCAAAGTTGGAAGTCCTCATCACAAGTCAATCTCATTTAATCCAATTTCTAACCATGTATATCCACGAGGATTTAAAAACAACCTGGAATATTTTGAATGCTTATCATGGAGGTGTCAAATATACTTGGGGGCTTCTGGGTTGTGATCATCGCAAAACGTTGCACACCTTGCATGCAAAGATTTATGAAGTCAATCCAACCCACTGTATAAATTACGCACTGTTTTGTTACGTCCACATTTGCAGTCCAATCCATTGCAAGAAAGTCACAAGTCAAATCACAATTCAGGTCAAAGTAAACAGCAACCTCGTCCCCAGGGTGTCGAGCAGTACGCGCCCACCACTACCTGCTCTCTCACCCTGGTATTGGATCATTTGCATGTGCAAGATTTTTGAACACGTATGCAAATGAGGAATAGTCTGGTGCCTGGATATGCGTTACACATTAGCGTTTGTTTTTGTATGCGGTGTCTGGGGTAAAATCAGAGTCAATTCGTAGCAGCGCGAGCACGGTGTGAGTTACGAAAACACGATTTTTGAAATCAAACTGTTACGATCTTATCGAGACAACATGCAGTATCATATTTCATATTAATATGAGCAAATTGGAAAGGAAATTAGTATTTTCGAGAAGGCATGGACGAATGATCGCGAAAACACGTACTGCACGTTGTGAATAATAGCACCAAGTACACGATAAAAATCCATTACTAGCCAATTGCGGTATCCAATCAGGATACAGGAAGAAAGTTTCCTATCCAGGGTTTACTATTGGAAACCGTGTTGGAAATAAAGTAAGCACTGGGGACGCGGTTGAGTAAACAGGGGATGGAATGCCTTTGTCATGATTCACTGGAAAAGCTTTTGGCTAGACTAAACACTTGACGACCTGTGATTGACTTGTGACTGACTTGAAGGACTTGACTACATCTCTAAGGCCATCTCAGAGTTAAGGTCGGTTCATATGTCACGCAAAAGCAAAGCCACTTTCCCAACTTCAACAATTGAAGTTTCATGGTAAATGTGATGTCCGCTGTTACCCTAACAAATTCGCTTTGCACTGAAATTCCTGTCAAGTATGAACTGGCCTACATCATTTCACACGTGTGATGCAAGGTAGCACTCTCAGTGATTCTGTGATTCTGAAATCTTACTGGCTGCTATGCACTTTGACTATGCTAATTTACCCATCCTGTGATTGGCCTACTTCTATGTATGTATGCGTCATGTAACATGGAATGAGGTGCGCTACTGGTGTGTGTGGACATTTAAATCAGATTGAACCCAACATCACAGGTCAATTGGCGAATAATATGCTGGCCAGTCCCAGCCACTAAATCTGCCGTGAGAGATTTAGCAGCTGTGTTGAAGACTTCCTCAGGGTGTGTACTCACCGTTCCGTTAGACGATGCAATATCGCTTAGCGAGGATTGAGACTTCTCATAGTCCAGCTTGTAGTCCAGTAAGGGCTCTATCATCCATGGTTTGATGTCTACGCGCCGCTGCATCTCAGAGATTAGATTCCTCAGCTCCAGGATATCTCTGGGGTTTTGGTGAGAACAGACGAAAAACACATTCTCATACATTGGTACCTCTAATACTTTTTGTTACAGCCAAGGGCAAATTTTGTTAAGGATCACTTCCTCAAACCAGTGAACTTTTGCCTACACACTAAAAGCAAAGTTTAGTACACTATACATGTGATTTGTGCTCGAACTACGATCCAACTGTATGAAGGTAGATTGCACTGTGTTACTTTCCCAGATTCCAAATACCCCCCCCAAGTTAAGTTTGTGGTACTGCCACCATCATACATTCCTTTCTTGCCCCTTTGCTACCCTCCACCCATTCCAACCCCCCCCCCCCCCCCCCTCCTTAACCTTCTGGTCTCTCTCTCTCACCTTTCTTGATTCTTCAAGTCTTCTCTCTCCAGCACCATACGATCTACAGACGGCACTTCAAGGTTCTCCACGTTGACTGGAATGTTGTCCACCCCGACTGGTTCCATCACGCCCGTGTTGATCAGAACGTGGGGGCCTGCAGGAAGTACAAAATCAATCACATTCACTCATAACAGAATCATACATGATGGGGCAATAATCACCCAGTAGACTCTGTGTAGCAGTGCTTATCTATAGCCTTACAGCACTGTAACCCCAGTTCAAATCCTTCCCAATTGATTTGTGGATTGGGTTTTCAGTCCCTGTTGTATGGGTTTTCCCTGGAATATATTAAGCAGGAAGTTTTTCCTCCCACTACTAAAGCTATATTTCTTTCCAATCCTAAATCACGTGGCCCAATGGAAATACGTTAAAAGACTTTTGTGTGCTTTTCCAGCCAAATGATACTCAATAAATGAAGAAACGTTGTTGCTTTTTAATTTAGGGATGGGATGGGGTTCGGGGTGGGGTTGGGGTTGGATGGGGTAGAAAAAGAGGAGGTAAGGGGTAGGGTGGGTCAGGTTGGGAAGAGGTGGGTGGGTTGGGATGGGCCAGGAGTTAGTTTGGGTGGGTTGAAGTAGCACTCTCCCTTATTTGCCAGCCCAGTCATACCTACCAGCGTGGATGGGGAATGCCCTCTCAAGCTCTAACGACTTGCGCAGGTGACTCTCATACAGCTCAGCACACGACACAAACATGTTCCACAGTCGTTCATAGTCCCCACGCTCAGACTTGAAATCAAAATCCCTGCAAAGTCATAAGGTGATGCAAATCTTTCATGTAAAAGCAATTCGTGTTAATTTAGCAAATAGTGGAAAAAGCTGGGGGAAAATGGAAAAGAAAAGGAGAGCACTCAATTGTTAAACCGGCTTTTTATTAACTGAAAAGGTTACGAGCAAAATGTTACATAATATGTCTAGTGCCTGACTCACCACTGATTTTCTGTTGATTTTTTCAGCTTAGCTGAAATTAGGTCTTAGCAAATTTATGTGTTGAAGGGAATATACAACATTTGATTTTGCTGTAATTTTCAGAAATGGATGGATTTGGGAGGTTAGTATTTTATAGCAAATATTGTTACAGTGACTTGTTGAAGTTTTGTATTAGTAGATGCTGGATAAAAAACAAGGAAAACAATCGTGTTCCTTTAAACTGGTTCCCTGACCCCACGTTAGATGAAAGGGAGCAATTTATAGACGTCGGGGAATGGTAAGGTCAGGGAATCAGTCTAGCTGGCTTGTACCCGTTCGTAGGTGTGTAATCAATTGCAAACAAAATCCAGACTAACTAAAAATGGTAAACTGGGTGCAGTATATGAAAACAGCCACTTTTTTCCCAACGCTGGTCGGCTGACCAGCATTGGAAATTGCTGCAAAAATATCACTTTACTTGAAAATGACAGCACACCTGGTTCCATGATTTTACAGGATGCTTTACACTGTCATTCACTAACAGTCCATTAAGGTATTTCATAATAATATGTAAGTTTTGTTTTTTGATGTTTTAGGCATGCAACTGGGAATTTAGAAAAAAAAACAAGGAAGTTCCAAGCCACACAGGACTTTGTACAGTGTTTTTCAATTGTAATGGCATTCACGAGAAGTCAAAAATGAGGAAATCAGCTGATCCGAGGAAGAGTTGCATGCCTGGATGTTTGCAAATATTGTATATTCCCTTTAGGCAAAAAAATCTGCAGAGAAGCAGCCGCCAGCAATGAACAGCAGGTGGCATTTTGGCCGGTAACCTATTACTGCTAAGCAGATATTTTTTGTGCTTAGCAGATTTCGTGCTCAGCAGCTAGGACCCGGGTGAGTGTTACTCACGCTTTGAGGTGAGGTATGAGCATTTGTTTGCTGCGTCTAGCCAGCTCCGATGCATTGTGTCTCGTCTTCTTGAGTTCATCTCGTAGGTACTCGGAATCGCTGGAGCCCCCGAGCGCCAGGACCAGATCGTGGTAGCGTGCCGTCTCAGTGTTAAACTCCTTAACAAGCTGCGGGGAAACATTTGGAACAAAAACATGTTTGTACAGAAAAACGCTTTCCCCTAAATTCCTTACCATTTTTGCTAAAATCTTTCCAAATCTTTTCAAACAAAGGCTTAAGCAGAGTGCTGTCTTGCCATATTTGGACATCTTATAGGCAACTTTAACCATTTTGCAAATATATGCAAAATAATCGGAAAACTGGCAATAACTGTACAAAATGGCACAGATGAGATGACACATTTGCCACTGGAAAATGTAAGTTTTGCGCACAATAATTTGAAAATGGCTGATAAAGATCTTTCTAGTGCCTGGGACTGTACGTGTTGGTAGGATGGTAGGATGGATCAAATGATGTTTGCTCTACAAGGCTAGTGTAGAAATATAATATAGTCCAATAATATCTACCACAGTCAATTTTGAGTGAGAACTTGCAAAGTGTCATATACCTTCACTCACTTAGAAAGCATTCATAGTTCAAACTTTGACAGAGCATATATATTTGTTTTTTGTTTAGACAAATACAGTACAATGTTATGATCAGTAACAAGTCAAACTGTAATTTCACCTTCTGTGCATTAATTACATAGTATTGGATGGCTTTGAGATGGATACAAGAATATATTGCACGAGCTATGACAATATTGCACGAGTCGAAATATTGTCATAGCCGAGTGCAATATATTCTTGTATCCTCTGGAGAAAAACAAGCCATCCAATATTATTATTATTATTATTTACATCAGGCTGACTTTATCTGCAAGAAATACAACTGAAAACACTGTCTTCATTTCATCTTTTTCGTCAAACTATTTGAAGCTGCCACTGTAATTGTTGACAACAGTGCGCGTATACCTGGCCTTCTGCGCGCTGCATGCGCGCAGCGTGTTCCGTGTTCGATGGTACGCGCGCGCTACGCTCTGTTGAGTGGTTGACAACTGTGACTTTCTATGCTCATGATCGTGCGGGAACCAGTGAAAATGCCTGGATGACTGCAATAATAGTATTATTGCAGTCAACCGGGTACTTTTACTGATATAATATTGCAGTCATCTGGGTACTTTTTATGAAAGCATACAATACGCTGATTTACTTTTACCGCTGGAAGCCTGATATAAATAATAATATTGAATATTTCAGCTTACGTTTTGGCACTCGTCTGTGCCACAGACTTCAATCTCGGCACTGTTCTCAGTATGCATAGTAGACTGCACCGGGGTACTGCTGTGACGTCGGATCACAGAATCCTCAATGTGGGAATGAACCATCTTGATGACAGTCACTCAAGCATCAAGGTGTTTCTGTGATTGAAGATTTACATACTTGTATAAGTTAAGAACATCTCATCAACGTGATGATATCCAATATTAGTATACAAGCTGCTAAGTTGTAGAAACAATGTGTACAAATTTTTTTTCATGTTTGTTTTTCTGGGGTTGCAGTGGAGCCCAGTACACAGAAGGAGTACTGTCCCATTTAAGTCTTAAATGGGACTAAGCTCACCAGATCAATATGTTCTACGAGTGTGATGATGTGTGACCATTAAAAACTGCATTAGTTCCCATGGCTTCAGTTTAGTAAAATCTTCCAGTTGTTTGGGATAAAAGTTCTCTGGTTGGTATTAGCCGGCCTATCTCTTTTCTTTCTTTTTTTCAGTCAAAATTTGACATGTTTCTCAGTCTCAGATTCATGTCTTTTCAACATTTTTGCAATGACTGACCTTTATTGAGATGATATCCTCGATGTAATGGTTTTCGAGAGTGTAAGATTTATTTCAAGCGAGAGAAAAACACTGACATAGCCTTCGGTTTCCAAATTTGTTGGGCTGGCGGTGGAACACGTACCGCACACACAAGAAATCAACTGGTTGTGTGTTATGAATATGCGCATGTGCGCCGCTACAAGGTCAAACCTCGCAAACTTGATGCCCTGAAAACAGGTGGGGCCAACACGGATGATATATGAAGAAAAAATGGCGTCAGGTTGCAACATTCTCTCCGGGCGCTGTACAATCTAGTTGGCTTTATCCGGCTGAATATCCATTATTGTTTTAAATCCAATCCTACATCAAATTGCAGAATATTTCGTCTTCTTTGAGTTAACTCCATCATCTTCTTAGGGAAAAAATGGAAATAATATTGGAAAGAATTTTGCAACCTGACACTGCTTTTTTCTTCATATATCATCCAAATAAAGGTCATTCATTGCAAAAATGATGATAAGACATGAATCTGGGACTGAGGAACATTTCCAATTTTGTAAGGAAATACTTAGAAAATTTTCTTGACTCTCCATAGACTTTGTACAAAACCACTGAAGTAGCGTCAGGTTGCAACATTCTTTTCATTTACTGGACTAGTAAATACTAAATTGGCCACATTTATGGGGCTAGATGAAGGTCAGTCAATGCAAAAATGAACCTTCAGAAATTAATGCTGCATGAAAATGCTTGGAATGGCTTTCTAAACATACAGTACATGTATGATAAGACATGAATCTGGGACTGAGAAACATTTCCAATTTTGGCGATCGTAAGGTGTAGGGCCCCTGTTTCGTTTTGATTAAATTAGAGTCAAATATATTTTTTATTGCTCAAAAATCACCTTAACAATCAAAAGCAGATGTGGCAAGATTACCAATATGCGAAGTTCACTAATTTTCCTCTGTATTGACTAACAAGCCCCCACATGTCATCAAAGTCAATTTGAGCAGTGAGAAAATACAAGCATTTTCTTAGAAAACACTTAATATTTTCAGTCCAATCTCATAGGGTTTGTACACAGGGTGTTGAGTGAACTTCGTATATGGAAATCTTGCCGCAGACTTTTCTCAATTCTAATGACAATTGTTTTGCAATTTTGAACAGAATCTTGGGGTAGGAATCACGATTTTCCTGCACAGTTTGTGCCTTGCGATTCAGCGCGCCGTGCGTGCTCACAGTACATCGCGCGGTGATCGCCATCTTTATCTTTGGGTCGCGTGTTGTCGCGCGCTGTCATTGTCATTTTACCCCCAAATTTCCCTCAAAAAATCAAAACCTGCCCTCTATCTATGACATACCTGTTTATTGAGAATGTCCCCAACTAGTTTGGTAGGTCCAATAATTTTTAAGTGGATTTTGTTCCCTTAGGAACAGGGCCCTACACTACACGATCGCCAATATCCGACTTCAGAAGTTCAGCCAGTTCAGGCGTCGATTGCTCAAACAAGTTTAACAAGGTTTTGGGGGACATTCCTCATTTTGCCTCAATAGGTCAGGTAGATACGGCCCCAAACCGCTGGACTCCTAAGCCAAGCAGGGGAAGATTCCCATATCTGGCCATCACTAGTCACCCTGTGCACAAACCGTATGAGACTGGTCTGAAAATTTCGAAGTGTTTTCTCAGTAAATTGATACATGATGTAGGCCTAGGTCACTGATGAAGGAAAAATTAGTGATGGCCAGATTTTATATGGGAATCTTTCCAAAACCTACCTTGCACTGCAGCTGCACATCAGTGATCCATTGAGAGCGTTTCCTTATAATATCTTAGTACAGGTAGGTATACTGCTGAAACGCGGAACACGACCTTAGTTAGAGTATTTCAATTATTTTCAGAATTTGTCTTGATGAGTGAAATAACAACCTCGATGATCGTGTAAAATATTCCTTCAACTCATTATTTATCAGTCTGGTGCCGTCTGTTTACACATGCTAAGAACACGAAATCAATCCTTGAAGTCTAGGTGATGTACATGACCACCAAGGGTTTTTAAACCTCGGTTTCGTATCGGTATAGGATCAAGGAGATGAGACAATCGACTTAAATGGACCCTTGCCTGGTGCTCTATTTGGGAAACATCAGTCACGTAATACACAATAATATGAATCGAAAGTTTAATTTACGTCCGCTTGTTATGGAAATTCAAAATTGAATGCTTCTAAATTATTTCGAAACCTGTTTTGAAGATGCAGCTGGAGAATGAAACCATAATTTGGAGAACCTCTTGTCAATTGCTGATGTACAAAGAGGGCGCTATGATGGATGAGCGAGGGAGGAAAAGTCAATGGGCCGAATACATAAAAAAAAAACTAGCAGTTGCTTATCATAAGCTTAAAGCATTCAATTTCTTCTTTTCTGCTACCCTAAAAGCAAATGTCGAGTTTCGGCCGCCGAAGTAAAATCTGGTAGCTGAAAAGCGTAAAAATGGAAATCAGTTGTCAAAACTGCTTGTCTGAAAAGAGCAGTCTCAGAGGGCTAATGGTTTCCGGACGATAACTCAAATACCTGACGTATCAAATTGAAATTTCATCTCGTTATTGGTCGTAATATATAACACAATTCTGATGAATATCGAACAATTTGTTTCAATAATTAAAATAGTATAATTATAACAAAACTATGTTGCATGCTAAGCGCAAAAAAATATGCCATCCGAAATGAAGCCAACGCGATGTAAACAAAGTTATTGTAAAGCACGAAAACTCAAGAATACTAAATAAAAAAAGAAAAAAAAGAAAGAAAGAAAGAAAGATGACAACCTCTTGTGGAGGGCGGGGGGGGGGGATCAAGCCCCCCCCCCCCAGGCCGCCCCCCCCCCCGGGTGTGGCACTGTGTTGTACTCTTTTCTTTAACGGTTTTTCTCGAATTTCAAATGTATTGTTTCGTATATCACAATCAATTATGCTACGCAAATTCAAATCAGTGCATTGTGTTTTTCGTGAGTTATCGTCTCCACAAAGATGCTTTAAGCTTTATCTTTTTTTCCATAAAAACAGTGATTCGAATTCGAATTGAACTTTTCGCGATTAGTACATATTAAATTTATTCTTCAATGGTTCCCGTCGATTTTCGAACTATTTGAGTACTATATTCAGAACAATTATTGGACGAAGTTTCAATTCAGTGCAATGTGTTTTACTTGAGTTATTGTCTCCACAAAGCGCTATAAATATTTGTTCAATTAAAAGTGACTTGAATTAGGATTGAACGTTAATAAACTGTATTTTCTTTAAATCATATTAAATTTATTCTCTAATGGTTCCCATCGATTTTCAAACCATTTGTGTCCTATATCCCAAACTATTATTGAACCAAATTTCAATTCAGTGCACTGTGTTGTTCTTGAGTTATCCTCTCCACAAAGTGTGTTTTATTTTTGTTCACTTAATTTGGGCAGATCGTGATCCACGTTGACAGAAGAAGTCTTTACGGTGGTGACCGTTATTTGTGTAGCGCGCCCTCTTTTGGAAGAAATGATGTTGGTAAACCTTACGGGAGTGCCCTTGCACACTGTAGTTTTGTTTTTGTTGTATTAATTATTTTCTGAAACGGTTTCTGTCGAATTTCAAACTTATTGTGTCGTGTATATATATCACAGTCAATAATGGGACGCAATTTCAAATCAGTGCAATGTGTATTTCGTGAGTGATCGTCTCCACAAAGAATGCTTTATTTTTGTTCCATAAAAAAGTGACTCTGATTCAAATTGAATTTTTCCCAATTAGTACACTGTATTTCCTTAAATCATGTTAAATTCATTCTTCAATGGTTCGCGTCGAATATCAAATATTTTGTGTCCCGTATCACAATTTTTCGCGGTGAACATACTCGATTGTTCGGGCTATACTCTCAACAATCAACAGACTTGTGCTTTATATCACAAACAAACAGACCGAATTTCAACTCAATGCATCAACATTTTCTCAAGTTTTTGTTTGGAAAACAAGTGTATTGTTTTTCCCCTTTAAAAGTTGCCTTTTCTTTTGGATTGTATTCATGTAGAATAATTGTGCTGGGTTTGATTAAGATCGGTCAAGGTCTGCTCAGGTTATGGTGTTTTGTTTCGTCCCCTTCCAACCCTTTTGCTAAGAAAATGCATGTAAGCTTAATCAGAGGCGGTTCCAATAAGTGGCCTCCTGTGAGAGTGCATCCCTAAATTTTCACTGTTAACATTTTTTTTTGCTATTGGGGACATGCCAAGGATTAAGAAAATATCAGTGGGGTGGGTTCTGGGGGGGGGGGGTGCACTGGGACCCTCATAGCCCACCGACTATGTGTCGTATCCACTGAGCTGAAAGTTGAACAGGTAAGGTTTCGACCATTCTACATTCGGGAAGAGGAACAGAGCACTTGAAAAGCAAATGATACATATGCCTTTAAAGCATTAGGGAGACAGTGAAATGTCTCCCTAATGACCAGTGTCTCCCTGGAAGCGCCTCTCTAATTGTAGATACATTTATTGTTAAACTCGTTTAAAACAAAGGGACAAAAGCAAAAATAAAAGCACTCTTTGTTGTAAGTACAAAAATCCGTTTATTTAGCTCTCTTCAGTCAATAAGTACAATGAAAGTACACACCGGAATCAAGGCAAGGCAACAAGATTTTAGTACAAAATTCGATGATTTTGATGACGTTGGTCACATTAAAAAGGCAGTTATTAAAAGTTACTTGTTTAATTATTTCCGAGTAAAGTACATGATTTTGTTTACAGCCAAAATACTGAGTACTGCTTGTATATCTGAACACACTTGGCAGTTTAATTAAAACATGATCTTTCATTAAGTAAACTATGATTTTGCTTCAGGAATACTGAGTACTGCTTGAATATCTGCACACCTTGGCAGTTCAATTACAACATGATCTTTCAATAAGTAAACTATGATTTTGCTTCAGATATGATTGCAGCATTCAAAGTCCTCTTTACATTCAAGATAATTTAGTTTTTGAAATGTATTCATGGGTTTAAGTTAATCTGATGTTTTAGCCTCAAGGTGCTACATAAATCAAGCTCTTCATAGAACTTATTTTTATTTGATCATTAATGAATAATTTAATATAACAGTTTTTATTACTTTGATGTTTAACTGGACGGAGAGAATTATTGCAATCCACACATTTTTTTGGTGGTGTCACTCAGCCAATACCTGTAGTGTATTTAAATGAATACTTTGCTAGAAATAAAATGTTCTATTAGAGGATATGTCAAGATTTTAAATAATGGAATGGGAATGTCACATACACTTAGAATGACTTGGAATGTTTTACAACAGGACGGATGTAAAAAAATATTGCGCTGGAAAAAGCCTAATGATTTGTAATTTTTTTCCATGTCTCTGTTCAAAGGACTTTGGTAGAAGTACTTTTGTAAACATCTTAAGATGTAAACCATCATAATTATTTAATAAACCTCTTCATGACTTAGGCATTTTGTAAAGTGGAATAAACTTAAACATAATCAGCTAACTAATATCGTCAAGGCTGAATGCCTCTTACCAGAAAACAATAAGTCTTAACATGCTCTTTTGATCGACAAAGGGGGTAAAAAGTCACATGATGGGATTTTATACAAATATTGACTGCTTGGAGTGGTGAAGTAAAACTAACCTCCCGAGGTGATCCAGGAAGCATTCTTATTTTTCCCGAGGCGAAGCCGAGGGAAAATAGAATGCTCCATGGATCACTGAGGGAGGCTAGTTTTACTTCACCACTCCAAGCAGTCAATATTTGTTTTATAACACCTCTCCTACAGATTCTGCTTGATATTAAGCCATAACCAATTAATTTAATCTAAATACAATTAAAATGTACTTCTTTTTTTAATACAAAATTAAACACAAATTTACTAGCACTTTTCCAAACTACCCCTTCACGAAATGTATGAACCCAGCCCTGTAGCGCTTGTGCTTAGGAACAATACGCGCAACACACACACCCGTATGCATTTGCACACAATAACGATTGCTATGCGTATAGTACTTTGGTTGCTACGGGTATAGTACTTTTGGCCGAGCACAGCAAGATAGCAAAAATAATAAATACATGTAGTCTGTGACTGGCCCTCGGCCAATGAAGATACAGAATCTGTGGGTGACGTGTTGTAATACCATTTACATAAACAGTAGGTTTGTTCACATCTGGACAAAAACATTTGAGTGAAAAATCATGTATGAACATTGCTGTAAAGAGATGAACAATTGAACGTTACTTTACATTCATGGAGAAAAAAATGCCTTGATTCTGAAACATGCTAATTACAACTACTCTTTTAAGTACTGAACTCACTACAAAAGTATACTATGGATAAAAAGATGGCCATAAGAAAACATGCACAGCAACAATGTACAAAAATATGTATGTCTTCATTAAGTACAAAACGGTGTAAAGTCCACATCTATGTAGTAAAGCTTGTACAGTTTTGTACAATTTAACTCCTAATATGGCACTGAATACATGAAAAAAAAGGCATAAAAGACGAAGTTACGGTACAAAAACACAAGCTCTGAATAACTGACTTTAACTTAGTTTGAAATTAACAGTACACTGTCCGTGCTTTTCATCATACTGGAGTTTTTGTACTAATAAAGTTTATATTTGTATGTTGTATTTTCATGAAAAAAAAAACACTTTTATTTCTATTTTGGGCAATCGCAACCCTCCGAAAGGAATTGAATTACTGGCGGGCCCTCAACTGATTCAAAATTGGAAAAATATTCTAATGCCGATTGTTTTTTTTTCATTTGAAGTCTCATTCAAAATTCAGTATTTTTTGTAATGCTAGAAAACTAGCAGTTGCCAAAACAAGAGGGAAACCCATAAAAAGCATGGACAGCTCATCTTAGCACTTGAAATTGCATCCAACAGCAGCAGAAATAACAAACGGAAGTTCATCATGGGGAGGCACATACAACTTACTGTCAAATGATTGACAAGCCGACTCGTCTATATTGATCAAGTGCTCATTACATAAATGTCTTGATAATTCATTATTTTATATAAAAAAAAGCTTGCACCAATTGGAAGTCTGGCAAATGGCGTATTCAGGACTTTGGAGAATGTGCAGATGAACAATGCGCGGATACAACACAGTGCATTTGCAAATTACTCCCAAGTTGTACTGTCCACCCTGCAAAGCCACAAATGGAATTTACTTGTAGACCATTTGTGCACAGATCAAAGATGCGTATCGGCAATTTGTATCCGTCTCATCTCGTAATGGTCTTGCGTAGCGTCTCCCGTCATGTCCATCATCTCCCCCATCTGGGAATCGTCCTGCCAGTTGCTACTGACCCGTGACGACGGCCGGCTTCGCGACTCCCCCTCCTCCTCCCCTCGCACATAGGCCCCGCCCGTCTTGAGGGCAAAGATCAGGTCGTCGAAGTCCTGCGAGTCGGTGTCGTCATCGTGGTGGTGGGTCGGTGGGAGAGGGGCGGGGACATCTTGGAAGGGTGCAGGGGCGTAGAGGTTGTTCTGGATAGAGCCCGGTCTGCTCCGGTTACCGCCGCCGCCGCCCCGGCTTGCCACTGAGCCAGGTCGGCTGGGCTGGGATTGGTTAGTCTTACTGTGCTGACTGTGATGACTGTGCTGGCTGTGTTGGCTTTGACGACCGAGGGACTGAGTATCCCATTCCTGAAACAAACAATGACATTGCAGTTACTCACTGCCGAGAATCAGCCCAACTTGGCAAAAGATGATGCTTTACCTTCTGTTTTGAAATGAACAATGTTCAGTCATCCAGAACTTCAGGGGTGCAAGTAAGGTTGTCAATGGAAAGCTAGTAAATTATCCTTTCAGATGACACCACACTGACAATGTTTAAGTTCACCATCTTAATATACTTGTCCATTAGTTTTGGATTACCCTTTTTGATACAACCTGTACAGCACCTGAATATGAAAGGGAGAACACCTAGTTCAATAATGGTCGAGCGTCATTACGAAAATTCTCTATATACTGACTCCCTGTGTACATTCCAAAAAATGCATTACAATACATGCATGACAAACCTCAGTAGACTGGTCTGGAATATTTGACTGAAGTAGTCCTCACATCACTGACTAGTTTATGTTGGATCAGAACATGGTTTGCTATCGTAAACAGTAGGGTTAACCATAGTTACAATATGGTTAACTACAGTTAACAATATGTTTAACTATAGATAACACTATGGTTAACTATAGTTAACGATATGGTTAACCGTAGATAACAATACGGTTAACTATAGATAATAATATGGTTAACTTTGGTTAACAATATGGTTTTAACTACAGTTAACCATATGGTTAACAACATGGATCTCTATCATTTTTGATAGTGTACTCACATCATGGTTTCCTATGATGGTCACCCCAGGCGGCTGTTCAGCCTTGGTCAGCAGGACCCTTGACCCCTTCTCAGACCCCGCGGCCATCAGCCCGTTGCCCACATACTGGCTGTTGTCCAGTAACATGACCGAGTTGTCAAAGCCCGAGGGGTTGAGTGAGTAGTTGCCCTTCCTGGGCCGACAGATCTGGTTGCGTAGGATGGTGTACACGACAAAGGCATACAAACCCTGTATAAAAATCAAATTCTCAATTACATTACCATTAGGCTGAACAAACAGGTTTCAAATCCAAAGAACTAAATTTCTTCTTGATAAGATTACATACCTTATAAATTATAACATTTGTTCTATCTTGAGTAATTTGGAGAAGCAATGATAACATTAAAATCTTATGATGAAATATCAAAAACTAAGGTGTTTTGATACAAAATGTAATCCAGAAAAATGTACCGGTAAAATCCCAGAATCCTAAAATTCCACCTTTAGTAATGACTGCTTATAGTACGAAGGAACTGAACAAATCATTTTCAAGCGGTTCAACAGGTTTGTAAGGCTGTGCATTCTGACCCCTTTTTTGGGTTAAAGATTTTGTCTTTAATTCATATTTCCCTCCCTTGTACGATTTACCAGTCCAAACTGCAAAAAAGGTCAACTTTGAGAAGGAATTTAAGACTCATTTTGGGCTTTGTTTCCGAACGGGCCTCATAGCCGAGCGTGAAGCTACAGAGTGGAACTACAGATGTTGGCGGTTCAAATCCCATTCGGACCAAAAACTGGAAAACTCTCTCTGACGACCCAAGAGTAAAATGGGTACCTGATTCGTTCAGGGAAGGTAAGACGGCGAGAGGAGAGGACTGGGCCCCGCCACTCATATGCAGCGCCCAAGACACAGTGGACCTCTAACATCCCACTGCCCCTACGGCCAGTTAGACCTTTACCTTGTACCTTCCAAATCAAATGTTCAAGGATTCAAAGACTATAAACAGTCCAGATTTTTTTCACAGCAAGGGAGAATATTCGTTCCCAACTTGCCTGAACAATGTTGAAGATGACAAAGACAATGAGCAACCAGAGGTAACTGTAGGCCATGTGTAGACCGCCGAAGAGACAGGTTAGAAAGATGATGGCCCAGAACACTAGCAGTAACTGCACCTCTGTAAGATGGAAATGAGCATCAGGGAAACATTACAACAATTCATGACAATGAAACATGCAATCGGCAGAACAAATCATGTTTTTGTTCCTTTTATGTGGAAAACTTAATATCTGTTAATAGACCATGCTGAAGTATAGATTTTGCACTAGGTAACAAGTACGAGGCAGTTTTCACTTTGGGACCCAAAAGTTAGATTTTTTCCCTATGATTTCAATTGTTCTATTTAAAGATGCATTCCCCCGTGCTGTTTTCGAATTTCATCTCAAAAAAAAAACAAGTTTTTTTTCAATTGCTATTTTCCCAGCAATATAAAAAGATATTCACTATTGAATGAAACCTCAAACGAACCAATTTACCGGCATTTAGTTATTCAATTATTTCTTCACAAAAATCAAATTATTGGCTTCTAGACAATAACTCGGCTCTCACAGGGTGGGGTCATTTGTGCGCAGATTGAAATTCCTTTACAGAGGGTTTCAAACACTAAAAATCATTATAAAGTAGTTTTTTCATTAAAAAAAAGTCATACAAATTGAAAATTCATCAGGAGAAAACAATTTATTATTGGAAGAGCACATGTATGCATTCTTAAGAGGCTTCTGAATGCACTCATTTGGGGTATCACATGTAAATAATGAAATAAGAAGGACAGATACTTTCTACTGCAGAGAACATGAAGGCTAATATAAGGCATACACTTGATAGGGCACTGTACAGTCGACTCTCGTTAGTACAAACTCTGTTAATACAAAATTATGGTTATAACAAACATAAAGCCTTGGTCCCGACTGTGCATTTATATGCACAATGATGGGACTGATGTTCCTCTTAATACAAAATTCTGATATAACAAACAATTTGGCTAGGTCCGAACGAGTTTGTTATAACGAGACTCGACTGTATTGTGAATATCTTAAATTGGTAGACCCTAAGTATTCACGGACACAATCTTAATGGGTAAAAGGTCCAATTTTGTAGAACTTCTTTGCACAAGATTTTCTGTTCACAGAACAACTTAACGGAGATAGAATTTAATTTTCCCATATTAAAATTTCAATCAAAGGCACGGTCTGAATGCTGATCGATCTTTTCAGAATTACGATTGTATTTCCAGTATTCTGATCAACCCTGTACCACCCCAAACCGCCCTGCCTGTTACTCCAAGAGCCACCCTAAACTGTCCCAGCACTAAAAATGGGATTAAAAACACAATGTTATACAATGTAATACAATGTAAATACAATGTAGTACAAGTGTTCAAGGGTTAAAACAAATATACAGATTTCTTTCTCACCAGTGGTGTTGTAACTGCCCATATAGATATCATCATATCGTTTCCACTGTGGCTTGACTTGGTAGGCATTGGTGAACACAGTGGCTACACCAAACAGACACAGGATGGCTGGGCCGACTGCGCTAGCTAGGGCCGCATAGCCATTAGGCATGAAACAACTGAGGACCAAAGAAAAACAAAACCAAAGAGACTTAGGATTGATCTATTTTAAAGAACCTGGCCACTTTTCATGGGGCTGGGGCTGTTCAGTACGGAAACTTGCTAAGCATGGAGAGTATTTTCTTAGCAAGATTACAGGTTACCACCAAAAACGTCATGCAATTTATACTGTTTGTGACTGGTTTCCATCTCATTTTTTTAAGTACATAACTTCACAAAGCAATGTATTCTAGGTTTCCATCTCATTTTTTTTGCTAAGTACATAACTTCACAAAGCAATGTATTCTAGGTTTCCATCTCATTTTTTTTGCTAAGTACATAACTTCACAAAGCAATGTATTCTAGGTTTCCATCTCATTTTTTTTGCTAAGTATATAACTTCACAAAGCAATGTATTCTAGGTTTCCATCTCATTTTTTTGCTAAGTACATAACTTCACAAAGCAATGTATTCTAGGTTTCCATCTCATTTTTTTTGCTAAGTACATAACTTCACAAAGCAATGTATTCTAGGTTTCCATCTCATTTTTTTGCTAAGTACATAACTTCACAAAGCAATGTATTCTAGGTTTCCATCTCATTTTTTTGCTAAGTACATAACTTCACAAAGCAATGTATTCTAGGTTTCCATCTCATTTTTTTTGCTAAGTACATAACTTCACAAAGCAATGTATTCTAGGTTTCCATCTCATTTTTTTGCTAAGTACATAACTTCACAAAGCAATGTATTCTAGGTTTCCATCTCATTTTTTTTGCTAAGTACATAACTTCACAAAGCAATGTATTCTAGGTTTCCATCTCATTTTTTTTGGCTAAGTACATAACTTCACAAAGCAATGTATTCTACTTGTCGTTCAGAAGTTCACTAGACATTTTCTTGAAATTTCCTTAACTTGGATTCTCAGCAAAATGGCCCCGAAAATAAAGCTTTTGATCGGCTTAAGCTTTCGGTAACCATAACAAAAGTAAAGAGGCTGCAAGAGCTAAAATGATATATATTTTTTTAAATTTAAACCACACATGGAAAGTTGATAGTCTGGAAATCTAATTATACTGCATTTAAAAAAAGAGCTTTCACAAGAATTATCACTCAATTTCCAATTCATTAAAAAAATGTCTGAAAATTACAGCCTTACTCTCTGAGACAAGTGAGAAAATATATTCTCATTGACTGTAATACTTTTACTTGAAGGAACATTTTTCAAAAGTTAGTGGTATTAGGAAGTTGCAAGTTCAAATCCGGCTCCGATTATTTGTTGAGTTTCTGTTTTTCTCAATGTCTTTATTCAACATAAAATTTAACTTTGTCTTTATCTGTGGTAGCTGCTGATTTTACAAAAAAAAATCCTCAATGGAAATATCAACACTTAGAAGCCTTTAAAAAATGTCCCATCCCAAAAAGTAACATTGTTGGATATGAACTCACATATCTCCATTGAGATGCACGTCTCCATACATGGCCGCAGGAGATGACGGGTCTGCAATAGAAGTATCCAGCAGGAACGGCCAGTCAAACACGGCGTAGGTTATCACCACGTAGATGACGATAGCTACAACGGGCAAACCTGGGTATGCAAACCAATGAATGGTGGATTAGTTCCATCTACATGGAATTGATAACTTCATTTGGAACTTTCAATACTTGTAGTAATGTTAATCATATTGATGATATGGATAGAGAGGGGAAAAAAAAGCCCAGCTCATAAAGTCAAGGTTGCGCAGAGATCTTTAATCTGTTATCAAACTAAAAAATCTTCTCACATCACACCCATCTTAAGACGTTTACATTCCAGATCATTTACAAAATTATACTTATGGTCTTCAAAGCTCTCAGTGGCAAAGCCCCTTCATACATCATGGACATGCACACAATTCACAACCCATCTCTGAATCTACATTCACGTAATAAACATCTTCTCCATGAGCCTAGATCACGCCACACTTGGGGAGACAGGTCTTTTGCTGTAGCAGTGCTTTTATGTTGTGCGTTTCTCATGACTAAATGCTGTGTCCTACAACAGCCATGTTGCAAGAATGCTCATTTTGCTCGTAAATAACGCGCGTGCATTGTGCGAGCATTGGTGTAACATGGCAGTTATGGGACACAGCATTTTGTAATCAGAAATGTTAGGCAAATGTCGGTCCAGTTTTTTTAAAAAAGATGTCCATGGTGATGATTTGACTACCTCTCAACGTATACTGCCCTCTATGGGGAATGCACAGATGGAATAGACAACGTTGCCTGAATGTTATTTTTTACTCACACCAGCCAATGACAAAGAAGAGAATGTAGTATCTCTCAGTGTGCTCGTCGTTGATCACAAACACCTTCCACAGATTGAAGGCCTGAAAATGAGGAATGAAAGCAAATTAAACATTAAATATATCAGAATCAGGGGGAGTGTGGCCTCATGGATACGGTTCGTGACTCATGATCAGAGAATCAGGGGTTTGAATCCAGCTACTGGCAACTTGCCTCTCTCAACCCAGGAGTATAAATGGGTATCGGCACAAGCTGGTGAGTAGCCTTTCAGTCCTTTCATGATACGGAAACCGGTGATAAATGCCGGCCTGATGAGCCACATCTTGGAACAGACTTTATTTTTACATACTAGAATTCAAAAAGGTATTTGCGTGACCCTGACTTTTAAAACCTTTTTCAAAAGTGGAACATTGACTGAAAAACAGTAAATCAACATTCTTTCATTCAACAATGACACTCTACAGCCTCATTAATGGACTTGGTCTTAGACAATTTAAACAATAAACTAAATAAGATTTGGTAAGCCTAGTAAAGCCAGCCCAAGATCAATGTGGTCTGGGGGGTCTGGTCATCTGAATCACTTTTTGGGGGGCGTAATCTGAACCATTCTCAATTCCACAAGATTCTACATAATTTAAATGAGCCCTTGAGGGTTAGGGTTAAGCAAGTCTAATTCACAAGTGACAATCAGTCAGTCAGTGAGTCAGGTACAAAGAAGACTGTAGGCTGGCCCTCTGAGACCAACAAAAACAAGATCTTGAAAGCTCCTGAAAGCTCTCGAATGCAACAATGACCCAAGAAATGAACAGTCACAGTGTGTTTCCTTACCTGTACAAGCATCCAAGTGAATTGAGCCAGGAAGAAGAAGTGAATGAGAACTCCCAGGACTGCACAGGAGGCTGTGGAGATGTAGCTACTCACATACGCTGAGGTGACAAAGACAACCTAGACACACACACAAAGAGAAAAGGGGGAGGGATTATCACAGCTTACACTAACAATAATAAGATGAAATCCGAGTTCTTTTACCAATTCTCCACGGAAGGTCTAATACCTGTTTCAAACTTGCAAATGAAAATGTGCACATTAAAACAGAGGTGAGTCATTTTCTTTAATGGAATGTAGTGTTACCTGGAGCGACATGGCAGCAAAGCACATGTGTATGAGAAGCTTGGCAGAGAACATGGAGTAGACGGAGCAGACATTGTGAGCAATGATGGCACAAACGAGACCAGCCTGTAGAGAGAAACAAAAATTTCACAAATCCCAATAACACAAAGCTGAAACACAACCAAATGAATTAGCGGTTCTGCAAATATTTACAATACTATATTCAAATCAAAACCCTCCTCAATCGTCCAAAATCCTCAAGGCGGTTTTGGAGGACTTTGGAGGATTGAGGCTGAATGGCAAAAAGTGTCAGTTGATTGAGGCAATGGTCAGCCCTCCACTGAACAAATTCAGGAAAAAAACAGATGACTTTGGAGGATTGAGGCTGACTCTGATTTTTACATGGTGGCAATTGGAGGATTTTGGAGGATTGAGGATGGTTCCTAGCAAAAATGACCTAGGGGGTTTAGTGAGTGCAAGTGGAACACAGCATTATGTAGTGCTTATGTGTTCCACACGCTGCAAGGCTTGTTCAGAATTCGGGAAGAAGTTAAAAAAATACAGAATATTTAAAGTAAAAATGTCACGCCTTAATAATAAACTGAAAGATCTCCTACTCACAATGCAGATGAAACAGGACACGTAGATGTACACATTGTAGCCAACAAGATTATCTGTTTCACCCTGGGCCGCGTAGTCTGACAAGTGAGTGCAAGAACACTCCACATAGGCTCCCTGCTGAGTCTGCAGAAAAAAAGATAAGAAAATTGACCAATCAAAACCTATGTCTGATGTCAATGAAATAAAGCCAGCCAATCATGGCATTTCTCTCAGCATAGTCATGCAATTGAGTGCATGAGCACTCCACAAAGGCTCTTTGGTCAGTCTGCAGAAAAAGACTTAAGAGAGAATTGACCAATGAAAAACTCTGTATGATGTCAATGAAATAATGCATCCAATCATGGAAACTCTCTTATCATAGTGAGGCAATTGAGTAAATGAACACTGAGTCAACAGAGGCTCCTTGATCAGTCTACTGAAAATAAAATAAAGAATGGACCAATGAAAAGCTCTGTCTGATGTTAATGAAATACTGTAGCCAATCACGGCACCTCTCTTGCCAGAATCAGTTAGACAAATGATTGAATTGATGACATCCCATCAATTCGGAACTAAGAAGGACTGAAGGAGTATTTCACTTTTGTCTATTTTGTAATTTCTGCAAAAGAGGCTGTGTTCTCACTCCATTTAACATTTCCCAGGTTTGCAGCACTATTATTATTGTTAGCATCATAACTTTGGGAGTGATCCCTGGCCACATGAAATAAACAAATCTAGAGCCTGCCAACCTTTTTCATTGGAATAGAAGTTTCTGCAATAAAGCAATTCTTCACTCAACAGTATACAGAGCCACATGAACTGGGCCCAGACCTACCAGTATTTGACAGCTGTCCGGTCGCCAGCGTTCGGTGGGTCCGTTGAAGATGACACAGCTGGCTCCCCGCGGTGTTACCCTGGCATTATCGGTGTAGATGCGGTAGGTGACCGGTGTGGACAGCCTGGTGAAATTCTGCTCAGCTCCCTTGATGGCAACGGACAAAACCTGACACACACAGAGACACAAATTATGTCTTCAATGCTTGACTATCGCATGACTTTTCTGTGCGTGTATGTGTTCATACATGATTCCCAGCATACGTCCGCGATTGGGGTCGTGTACAAAACCTATGGATGTCTTCCTAAAAAGTTAGAATACAAACAAAAGAGGGACAATAGGACGTCCAAGATCGATGGTGAACACACGTTTGTGTGTATGTGTGGATAATAATAATCGGCATTTAAGAACGCTCCTATTAGTAAACTAAATCACAGCGCTTACAGTATTATTAATACCCCTGATCATTGGGCCAATTTAACATTCAAAATACCATCTCAGCTCCCTGGGGAGTATACAGCTGGATGCTGCCTGCTAGGCGCAAGCAAGCTAATTCAATCACAATAACCATCTCTGCCCTCACAGGTACCCATTTACTCCTGGGTGGAGAGAAGCAATGAGTGACAAGTGCCTTGCTCAAAGGCACACACACCATGACCCCAGCTGGACTCGAACCCACAACCCGCAGCTTTACCCACATGCCACGAATCCAGTGCCCTTAACCACGAGGCCACAGCACCCCACACGGGTGTTATGGGGAAGTTCTGTATTGTTAGGCAAATTAGGTCCGAGTTATGGGGACTTTCTGCTGTCCCCACAGCGTCTTCGGTCCCCATTGTACCATGGGACATGTATCCTTCTTTGTACCTGGTTATTGAGAGTGCTTGCTTCGTTGGCACCATAGAACCACTGCTGGCTGCTGTACTCAATGAAGTGAATGTCTTCACAGGATGAGGATGCACTGGTGTCCAGTAGGTTAGTAGGCATGGTGAAGCTGTTTCTGTCTCTGTGGAAGGGAACCAGGGAGATTAGTTATGAAAACACAATTGAGCAAGGCGGTGTCTGAATAACTTGGCTATGACTATGCATCTAATGCATTTTACATTATCGAGACTTCCAGTGTACAACCTACGCGACTGTGGTATCATCTCCGTAATGGTTTTCAGACCATTTAGGCAAAAACCTGGGCCCTGCTAGGGTTAATATCTTATCTATTCATCTCATCATGTAATCATCTTTGCTTAAGGGCATACAGGATCATTTGCATTTATCTCAAAAGTAAAGTACCAAATTATTATCAAAATGCTTGCTTGGATTAAAGATCGTAATTTTATTGAACATCCAGTGAAGTTATTCCATTTGGCTTGCTGTCATTTACAAGAAATCCAGAAATGTAGGTGATTTCCAACGATCAGTTGATTGACTGATTTTTGGATACAAAAAGTGCTATCGATGAACTCGCAGTCAAAAGATTGAGCACGGATTTTCACTGTTTTCTCAAAAAGTCTAATACCCACTCGGGCATGCAACTGGGAATTTAGAAAATACGAGGAAATTCCAAACCACACAAGACTTTGTACAGTGTTTTTCAATTTGTAATGGCATTCAAGAGTAGTAAAAAAACGAGGAAATCAGCGGATCCGAGGAAAAGTTGCATGCCTGCCCACTGAGCTGAAACTTCAACAGATTAGCTTTTGAACAGTCTTCTTTGGATTTTGATTAGTGTTATTATTGGAACAAACAAAATGCATAGAAAACACAAGATCCTATGTGCCTTTAATTTGTCCAATGTCTGTTCTTACTTTCCCTGGAAGTTATGTCCATTGATTCTTCCCCTAGACCACCGGCCCGTCTCCACCACGGCATGATCACAGGACAGTGTCTGGGGGTCTTGGGTCTCACACGGCAGGTCAGTCACTAGGATGAAGGCAAAGGTACTGAAGGATTCTGCTAGCTGGTAGGCACCCCTATGAGGTTTAAGTGTCCATAAAAAAAAAAATGATTATGTAATGTACCAACAACCATTAAGCCGTATCCAAATATCTTATCTAGAGATTGTCTGGCTCTTTTTCCAGTACAACTACATGGGAACAAGCTGACAATAGACGTAGCCGTAGCCCCAAAACTGTCTTTGGGACACAACCTTATTTCAATTGAATATTGGAATACTGAAACGTTTTTGTGATATATACGTATCATACAATACTGAAATTATGATATGATATATATCAAGGAATGTACTATAAACTAAAGTAATGGCAGGTATGATGTCAATCAATCATCCTGCCAGGATTGAGACTGTTTAATTTGTGTATATAAGGTTAATCCAGTCAGTAAGCAGTTTACAGCAGTTATATTCATTTTTCATTTTGTTTTTTTCTTCAAATTATGGTAGCTGTTTGACATGTATGCAGTTATTGTATTCATTCATAACTTGTCTACCTGATGCGAATGTGTGATAGATTGTATTTTTTCCCCAATGTTTGTAATTCTACATAAGTCCTAAAAATACTTATTTGTTCTCAATGTTCATTATGGGAAAAAAAAATATTTTGACAAGGTTTACATTTTGTTCACAATTACAAGAAGTGTTGATACAACTTCAAATCTCTGGTGCCTAAAATACTGTGTTCAGAACTTGTTACAGAAAGCTAATTGCCTGTGCTGCTTATTTATAATTATGCAAAATTGTGAGCGTAGGACAATGTTTATAATCTAAAGGTTTTCCTTTATGAGCGTACCTTGTGTCTTGCCTGTCCGGATTCATCAACGTGCAGTAGATATCCATCAGCTGAGTCAGCAGGTTGCTAGGCAACTTCCTCCTCCCTCCCTCGGCAACCACCATCCCGATGGTATCCACGACGACGGCCAGTTGCTCCTCCGTCAGCTGAGCCTTGACATGCTCGGCCATATCCAGGAGAATATTATAGATGTTGTCATTGTTCAGGCCAATGAGGGCGCTATAGCGGTTGTCCCAGATGTCGGCCGTGCGCTCGTCCTCCACTAAGGTGATGCTGGCCGTGCCGTAGTCGGCGTGGATACCGGCCCCGTTGGTAGCCTGCATCAGTCTGACCTGCAGTAGTTTTGGGTATTCAGCTGATGACGCGGGGGTCTCTGGGAGCAAGACCACGTCCAGCGGAATCCGCCGGATACCGGAGCTGAAATCCAAGACTCCCGAGGTGGCCACATAGTCCGTGTCTGGGATGGCCGGGTAGGCGGTCAGTCCGGCCAGTTTGATGGGGGAATCGAGCTGGAACGTCCCCCAGGACACAGCGCTGTCCTTGGTGCTACCACCGATTCTCTCTACACGCAGGCTGACTCGCTTGGTGTTGCTGTGCACTGATTGGAACCTGAAAAATACACAGAAAGAAGACTTTAGTGTTTTCAGTCATTCTTAACATTTAATGCGACAAAACACTAGAGGCAATATTCGGTTAAGTCATGCATTAAATATAGCATATTTGCAGGTTCACAAAACTTGCTGGGAAGTCTCAAAATCATGTTCACATTTGAATCTACACCGAGTTTGAAATGCCCTAACACTTTCAGTGTGAATATAATACTAATAAATACTTGTTCATGTGTCATTTCCCTTTGCCCAATGCAGGCTTCTTCAAAGTTCTCATCCTTAAGGCCTGTTCATAATTCACGTGAATGAAAATACGAAGTGATCTTTTGCGAATTTGCAGCTCCTCAAATTTGCGCTCACGAAGGCTTTCACACTGAGTAAGAACCAGCCTTAAGGCAGACTTCAGGCAGTTTCTAGGCATCTGAACTTGGTAATTTGACTCCATTAAGGTAAACTCTCTGTAAGGAGCCATCAAATATTTGAAGGTGCCAAATTGTTTATAATTTGTATTTGGTTCGAACACCTTGGATTTCTGAAATTATTCTGGTGCCAGGAAAGTAGCTAAAGCAAGAGATAAAACTAAAGCCATAGCCTGAGTCGTAGCCAAATCCTTACCATAGCATTACCACTCACCTGGTATCTGTGGTAAACTGCAGCAGACCGTACGGATAGTCACTGTCCAAGGTGGTAATGTTGGCCAATCGCTGGGCTTGGTCCAGACTGGCTCCCTGTCCTACCCCAACCAGCTCCACTAGGAACCAGCTAGCAAACTCGGGCTCCTGTTGTCCAAACATAAAACCAATGCGCATGATACCTTGATTCCATTCCATAACCTCAATTATTTTTTTTTACTAACCCTCGGAAAACAAGCACCACCCTTTGTTAATGCTCAAAAGTCTTAACTAAAACATTGCCCGACAGACATCACAGTGTGGTTCCTACCTCGTCTTGTCGTAGCGTGATGTCGAACGTACACAGTCGCTGGTCGGCAGGACATGTCACCATACCCTGTGCCTGCTCAAGCTGATTGTAGAGATCAGCGTCGTTGGTGATGTCACCGATAGCACTGTACGTTGCTCGCCACTCCACCTAAATGCGGCAAAAAGCAGATGGACGACTTGTGTGATTGAATTTGACATTTGATATGGACTAATCTGACAAACAGAAGTATTATTGAGGTTGAACCATGCTCGCCCGCAGGTGGTATGCATCACTCAATGTTCCTCCTACCAACAGGGTTTTCAAATTAAACGCGTACCTCACGTTAAGCGGAATGCATGCAACATGCCCGTGAGCATCGCGCCACCTCAGTATTTCCAATCTCCAGAAATGTCTCTATGTTGATATTAGAAAAAATACAGAAATACTTTCTGGCACAATCAAATTCAATAAAAATCCCACCATACACTGCCATCTATCATCTCAAGCACAACTTTTCAGAAGTAGTAGCTAGAATGTAATTATCTTCACTAATTCAAAATCTTTGTTCCTTTCGCGGAACATATTTATATCAGGTCTTTTTAATAAGCTGCGGTGAGTGGGTTGGTGGTATTGCGGTTGTGGGGGGGGGGGATTTGGATGAACACCCACCGTGACTTCACCAAAGAAAGCCTGCCCTCTATCTAGCGTGAGTGTAATGGAAGGTGTCACATCCTCATCGACAGTCACAAATCGTGACTCTTCCGCAAAGCCGATCACGCCGTTGAAGTTGTCGCTCCCAACGATGGTGAAATGAGTGAACCCCTGAACAAGAAGATATGGTAATTATTGACTTTACATTATTCAAAACACTAACTGAAATGTGTTAAATGACCCAATGCAACAAAATGAGACATTAAATTCAGTTATAACTCTGTCCCTTTAAAAATTTGTTACACAATGGAAATCAACGTGAAAAATCACTGCTTTCAACAATGCAATATAGGCACATCTCCAAATGAATAACATTAGAAAAATTCTTTTGACAACACATGAAAGTACAGTTTTAAAAAATATCTTCAAGACTGTCTTGTCAATACACTCAATGATTGCTTTATTTTAATGGGTGATCTAATAATGACATTTTCAAAATGACCTAAATTACTTGGTTAAAATTGGCAGTAACACATGTGTCTATGGGAAGTGGATTAATCCATAAGTACACGTGTAATTGCAAGCTGTAGACAAGTATTATGAACCTGGTGCTTAGATTAAATATTGTACTGACTGCTGTAATTAAGAGATTAAAACAATGCCCGGTGACGATGGGCCCATTAACCCTAACAGAACTCAACCCATCAAACCCCAACGGCATGTTTTGTTGGAATCTGTCAGGATGGGAACAGTACCCCTGAACTGACAGTCTTTTACATTGGGTTGGCACACCTCCAGAATCAAAGTCAGAAATATGTGTGTGCAGTTTCCCATATGGTGTTGGAATTTGCCAGGATGGGTATGGTTCCTGGTAAATCATGCTAGGGAGTAAACCAGACTGCAGCAATCCGAGTCGATATTTTGTCTCCACGTATGCCAGAGTTAAATAATTCTCACCTTGAGGCCCCCATCAGGTTGTCCCTGGGCCACCCGTGCCCCTCCCGTGGGCTCAGACAGGTAGACAAAGAACAACTCGGCCGGCTCAGCCACGCCATCATCACACACCTCCACCTGGAAACTCTTCTCAGTCTCCCCATCCTGTCAAGAGAAACATCACTGACTGTCAGATGCACTTTTTCTTACAAACTCTCAGATAGAATGAATATAGATTAATCCTGCAAACAAAATTAGAAGATGCCTTAACTGAGATTGAACCATGCTCGGGCATGTTCTTAAGATCAAGTCATGTGCAAATTTTGCTGTCAAAGCAGCACTGAAGGCATGTGTATGACCCACTTGCAAGCTTGGGTCTGCCTAAGTAATGGCTTCTCATTGAGGTCACTGAAATAGTCTCTGTAGTGCATATCTATCTATCATGTCCTACTCAAATTGTTGAGCGCGAAGCTGTGCCGTGATGGTGTTGTTGGCTTAATCTTCGGTAGCACAAGGTTCTTTCAAATGCGGACATCTCAGTAGATGGTCCACTGTATGAGATTCTGTTCCACAGTCGCATGTCGTTGGACCTGTAGTGTATCCCCACTTGTTGAGTAATTCCTTAAATCAGCCAACTCTGGTGCGAAGGCGGTTAAGTGCCTTCCAAACAGGCCAGTTATTCCTGGAGGGAGACTTTCAGCAACTAGAATTTTCATGTCCAATTGTTGTGATAGCTTGGCGAGTTCCTTTCCATACACTGAGACATGCCTCTGCTGGACAGGTATCAAGGGGTTCTACACTTGACAGAAAACTCTTACGTGACTTGAGTCGGCTCAGTGTAGCGCATATAAAACTGGGTAAAAAATCCATTTTTGAAATAAACATCTCCCTTTATGCCTAACAGAAATAAATTCAAAGCCACAGTCAGACTGTAAAAATCATTCGACTGCTGAAAGAATACAATGATTTTTTAAATGGTAGTCACCATACATGACAAAATCTTTATATCCTGAAAGGTAAACCACAGTATGGTTCATTTGCACTCACTCTGAATGTGATCGCCACATCCACTTGTTCATAGTCCTGACCGGCTGTGGCGTGGGGTCTGTCCTGGGTATTGGCCAGGGCATTCTCTATGGTATTGGTGGTGTCGGAGGGGCGCTGGGCCACGCTGCTCTGCCAGGGCTCCCCTCCCCCGATGGTCCGGACTCGGATGCTGACCTCGCCATGGCTACCACCTAGGAATTGGGAGAAAAATAGTCTGGTCCAAAATTTTGACAGAAATATTTGGAAATTGTATGCCCTCACACGAAACCTGCACAATGGACATAAATAGGAGCTGTCAATGTTTTAACCAACGTAACAACCTCATTTCATGATACACATATATCAAAAGTAAAAGTTAAGCATATTCTCTTAAAAATAATTTGGGGGGCTAACCATCTTGCAGCTGAGAAGCTAAATTGCAAAGGACGTGGCTACAACGTGGTCAAGCCGAAGACATGTAAAGGCGCCTTAGGCAGCCGCCATACGGCCAACGTCTGACCACGGAGCACAGCCAGATCGAAAGTGTTGATTTTGTGTTGGACGAACAACTCTACTCACACATGACCCATGCCAGGAATCGAACCTGGGCCACAGTGGTGAGAGGCGAGCACTTTACGTAATAGCCACCCATGCCTACGAAAAACTTTGGTCTTTAAAATTCAGTCTTGTAGTTGAAGAACTTGTGATTTTTCACAAGTCATCACAAGCCAATCACAACCCATCTTATCCAAAGTGTACTCACAAGCTATTCAAATGAACAGTGACAAAGTCATATTGTTTATTCCTTGTTACTTGTGACTGGACTCATGTGTTGACTGGTGATTTGATTGTGTCCACACTGTTTAAGGTTTACATATTCCTACCTGATCTCTGGATGTTCAGCGTGACGTGTTTGCACGTGGCTTCACTCTCGGCAATCTCAATCACGTCGGGATCCATACTCAGCACGCCGTAGGGATCATTACTGCCCTCTATAGTCACTTCAGAGACAGGGTATCTTGAACTCAGCCTAGGACTGGTACCTGCATGCGGCACAACAAAAATCACGTTCTTCGTACTGTGGCAATTATTTAAAGCAAGAATGGCTCTCATAGAGAATTAAAAGCCTATTTTCGAAAAATACAGTAATGCCTTTATACATTTCTCCGAGTTTTTCCTCTTCTCAATTTCCACGCGGTTTCATGACACCTGAGGGGTCTGTTGCTGTGAGTATGAATTAAGGCACTCACTTTGCAGTTTTTTTTGTGTCACGTACACAGAGTTTTTCTGTGTCATGTACTATATAAACAAGGACATCTACAAAGAGAACTGATGTCAGCAAAACAACATTTCTGGTGCCTCTCTGTACTCAAATTTGTGGCACATTTCTCTGTAATTGTTTTGGGGATGTCCAATTTGCTTCGCAATTGCTCCTCGTGAAGTACGCACTTGTCCAAAAGACATCAATGGGTTTTTAAAACGAAGATAGCAATTCAAATTGCCATTGTCTGAAACACCATTACGAAGGCAACGGAAAATTGAATAGTAAATTGGACACAAAGGAGCATTTTAAGGGAATTCAAGGAAAGTTTCCGGATCCCTCTAATCTGTGATATGTCCAAAAATCGGACTCACCCTGTGTTCCGTCGATGGGTAACCGTGCCACACTGGTGATGTTGACATAGAAGACTTTAGCCAGCTCCGGTGCCTGTTCCTCCAGGATAGTCACCAGTATGTTGGCCGTCTTGGCTCTGGTGGCCATTGTGAGGGCCCCGCTGGTGATGGCCACGTAATCCTCCCCAGCGACGGCCGAGGCGGCGTGGGTCTGGTAGGTCACGCGGATGCTGCCTAGGGTGCCGAGCTGACGCTCCACAGTCAGGGAAAGCTGTGAACAAAAGTCAGTTGCACACATTTGTGACCTGTTCTGTCAAAAAGCAGATGCTTCTGGGCAGAGGTTAAAATTGAGATAGGGCCCAAAAAACGCTGTGGGGGTGATTTTTATCGATTTTCTAATTTTTGCATATTTGTAATACTGAACATGTCTAAAATATATTATAAAAGTTTGAAGCCCTAATTTGAACTCTACATATACTATTTTTGATGATTTTGATAAGGTATATCAGTTAAAGAAATGTCTGTTTTGTGACGTTCGTGTCCATTTTCTCTGTTTTCTACTTTTCGACACAATGAACTTCAAAATAGCATAACTCTGCCCAGGAATGACCGGTTTCAAAAATTAAACCACCTATTAAAAGGAAAAAGAACATATGTTAACAATATGTAAAAATATCATTTTCGACCTTATGCCCAGAAATGTCTGATTTTGACAGAACAGGTCACATTTGTTTCAAAATTGTGCCGGACACAGACTAAAAAATATGGCCGAAAAATTGCTGTAGCTGGCCTGAAATACTTCTGAAGGCAACACATAAATAAAATAAAACCCATCAGAGGATAAGTTACATTTACACTCTATTTCAGGTAACTAGGTTTTTCAGAGGGCTGGCTAGCAGATATCATTTCTCAATGGCTTTGCTTTTAAATTTATTTTTAGCAACGTTTTACCCATTCCAAATGTTACAATACATACTGCTTTAATAGTCCTGTGTATTTTTTCGTTGCTCTGAGGCAGTAAGATAAGGTTTTGCTACAAAATGATAAACGTTTTGGGAATGCCATGTGTTTGATTTGTTTTCTGTTTCAATCTCAGAAAACATCCAAAGTGCACTCACCTCGCCACTACCTTCAGACACAGTGACCCCTCTTGACCCCTGAGTGAAGCCAACCACCCCGTAGGGCTCAATGGGTGCCGTGGTGTACCCTCCCCTTAGCCTGGCCCCGCCCTCAGCCGACGTCAGGGCGCTGGTCAGGTGCGCGGCAAAGAGCTCGCTGGGGTTGCCGCTAGGGTTAAGCTGCAGAACAACAACAACAACAACATCAACAAAAGAAACATGACAATAGACACTTCCGGGATGTTCATCACACAAAATGCATTGACCACTTATATCACGACTTTTGGTCTGTGTTGACCATAAGCCCCACCCATTGGTGGGTGGGGCTTGTGGTCAAGTCTGGAATGGTCCATTGATGAAGGAGGTGAAGTCATTCATGGCTATTTATCGCTTGCAAATGGGGAAAAGGACCAATACACTATATTTTTTTTTAAAAATTGGCCGCTTTTTTTGGGTAATTTCCTGTTTCTTGTGCCAAGCGCAGGCTTCTTTTTAGCGAAGTGGTTGATCTGTTCATAGTTTATGAGTTGTTTCCTTTTTGCTTTTAAACTACAATTTTAATGAATGCGAATAATATTTTTTAAACAAACAAATAAACAAACAAAGAGGATATATTTTCCATAGAATCACGATGAATAAATAATTTGAATTTGAACTGAAATCTTTTTGTTTCGACTAAACTTATTGGTCAAAAGGGAAGATCATGGAGCAAAAGGATCAAATGATCTTGAAACGTGGACTTACCACAATAGGCAGGGTTATCGTTGAGACTCCACTGCCCATGTTCAGCTGACCAGATCCCTGTGATACTGCCCCCTGGAGATAACCCTGGGGTAGCTCGTCTGATGGGTAGCCGGCCTGCCACAGGACATCAATGGTTCCATAGGATCCGATACGTTCGATGGTGAGGACAGTGCGGTAGGATACTGGGGAGAAGGTTGGGGGGGGGGGATTCCAAAGATTACTGTTAAAAAAGCATCTAAGTTGAAGGAATTTTACAACCATTATTGAGGGAAATGAGTTCAATTCATTGACACGCATTTCTGATTGGCATTTCTGAGACTTGGTAAACCAGTCTTCAGAGCAACTCTGCGTCCACCCATATAGATTTTGGTTTTAAAGTTTACTTATCAATTGTCCATTTCAGAGGACTTAGGGCGGTTATTATTTGTACAACATTCAGGATTTTCTTCGGAGTTACAACTACTCAACAAAAATTTCAAATTCAACTCATGGAAAAAAAGGGTGTATTTATGTGTGACTGGACTCACTGTCATCGACTGTGGTGGCGTCCATCTTGAATCCCACCAGTGAATTGGCAGCCTCCTGAGGTACAACAACGAGTGCGCTCTTCGCACCCGGCAGCATCACTGGAGGAATGGTGACTAAAAACAAAACAAACCAAACCAAACACGGTAATATTTACAAATCTTGCTGCAGCATCAAAGTGAGAAAAAGAAATAATATATTTTACTGACTGTTTTGTGGAAATAAATAAGATGTCAAAGAAATGCTTATCAATAGATAAGTGAGCGTTAATTCCAGTTCAAAACTGTTGGAGATTTAAAAAATGTGTTTTACCTTCAACGGGTCCAAGATAACTGAGAGATGTCAAGGTAACATTAAAAGATGTATCCCTCTCCAGGAACATGTCGTTGTTCAGCAACGGAATGTCTTTGGTGCACTGTTTGAGATCAAAAGGAAACAAATGTTACCGTTACAGACATTACATTTAGAGCTAAAAACCAATTTGAAACAACACAATAAAATACTTCCAGCAAAAGCAAAGTTTCATATATTTGGCACAAGTATAGTTTGGGCCTTAAGACAAATTGTCCAAAGGCAAAAGTGAAAAGGTTAAGTCTGGAGGCTATGGATTGTAAAAAGGCATTCCAAAAGTAACTTCAATCAAAGTCTTCTGCAAAGCATTATCGAGGCAATGCTTAGTTCCAATGACAGACAGACAAGTTACTCTCATTGCGTAAATAATAAATTTTGTGCATCACCTTCAGAAAAAAAACAGTTAAAATGTAAAACAAGAACACATCCATAGCCACACAAAAAAGGGGTTAACTTACAAAGGCGTTTCCACTTCGGCAGACGACAGAACTACTGCTCGGAACGTAAGCGCCAGTTATTCCCTGCAAATGACAAGAATTGTCAATCAGAAAATCAATTGGGAGATTAGATGGGGCATGGGGGATGGTGGTGTGGGATGGAGTGGGGCTTGGATGGGGCTCAGGCCGAGGATGAGGATGAGGTGGGGATAGGGTGGGGGTTTACATGGGGGATGGGGTGGCGAGTTTGTCTCCGTCTTCACTGCATTTAACAAAATTTGAATTCCAATTCATAATTAATTAATTATTTTCTCAGACCCTGTTAACACCAAGAGCTGTTGTCAAGTTGTTAAAAGTTAACCACAAGTCATTCCATCTCAAGACAGGAGCTATTCCAATAAACCACGATGAAGTTCATTTGAAAGTGTCATTATTCATCCCCTGTTGCTTGTGACATAAGTTGTGGTTGACATAAGATTAAACATGTGATGGTTTGTGAATGGACTTGTGAGGAACTTGATTACATCCACTTAACATACAGCATGGCCAGATATAGACAAAAAGGGCCAAATGTGTGTACTGCTTACATCATTGTATTTGAGGTCAAAGGTCACTGAGACATCGCCCTCGGTGCCTGCACCGCGAGTCACATAGATCCTAAGGTAACGCTTCATGTTTGCATTGACACCGACCGTCTGGTTCTCCTGGTGGACGCTGAACACTCCGTGGGGATTATCGTTGGGTCTGGAAGAAAACAAGGAGAGGATATAAAAAAAGAGGTTTAGCGTTAGATTAACTAAGTCGTCTGCTGCAACTGTACAAAACAGCACAAAATTAACTTCAATTCAAAGTCATCTTTATTTCCATACTTCTAACAGAGATGCCACAGGGTCTGCTTGAAAAAAACCCGGAACGGCTGCTTGAAAAAAAACGGAACTTTTGTGTGTGTGAAAAAGCCACTCCGTGTCCGACAAGTCCCCGTTGTCATCTTTATCTTGTAGCCAAGCCAAGTTCTGTTTATTTTTTAATGTTGCTTCTATGGCCTTTAAAGCTGTCGGTTCGTTCAATCACTTTGACTATTTCCATATTCCTAATATTTATTCTGCCTACCCGAATTTCCAACGTAATATTCGACACGAAACATGCACGATTCCACAACACTACTGCTGTCGGTGTACATGATCCTTGCACTACGCGCGCGATGCGCTCAACGAAAACATGGTTGGTACCCGCATTTTTTGTATTCACATATCACTGCGATCGGAAACCACCGATAGCTGAAATGATAGACTTGATTTCCAGACTGAATGCTACGTGTGCTTAGCACACAACAGCCCGCACGCGGTGAAGCACGCGCGAGGCGCCGTTGTATATTGCGTGCAGGTACGTTGGCCGCTTGTATTGCATGCAGGCTCGGCAACAACATACACAAAGACTCTTTTTAAGACTACTTCAACGAACAACGTTGTGCCATGCGTGCGCCTAAATGTACTAAATCGAGGTAAAAATCAACGCATTTCCACAGTTTTTCTTCTCTTTTTCTGGTTAATTTGACGGAATTTTGAGAGATTTTTTTTAAAAACCGGAATTCCGGTTAAAACCGGAAAAGTGGCATCTCTGTTCTAAGAGAAATATAACAGATCAAAAATATGAGAGGACCTAACGTTTCTGTACTGGCAGGACCATTTTTAAAGGCAAAATGACAGTCATACAGTGCAAACAAACAGTAAAATATAGTGCAATGAAAGCAAAATTTGGATAAATAAAATTACAAATGTGCAGAAAGGATTTAATTTAGATCACAAAAGGGGCGTTGCCACATTAAGGCGCGCATGTAATTTAGATAGCGTTTTGGTTGAAGGAGCACATAGTGTTCGCACACATCCTGCGCCCAAGTCGGGTGCCACCCGAGTACTGGCTTCTAGATTTAGCTGCCTCTTTTCAATCTTTTCTAAGTCCGCAGCTTAGTGAAGCTTATATCTAAGCTCTAGGCTTCAACAGACACTAAGTAATTATTGACTGACAAGTTATAACCTCTGGAACACTCACTGAATGTAAAATGTGGAAGTGTTAAACTGAGGATCGATCTCAGCCCCACCGTCCACAGACACTAAGACCAGCTGGAAGCGTTCCTGCAGCTCTGGTATCTGGTCTGGTAGGATGTTAAGCAGTATCTGAGTGTTGGCCACGCCATCAGGGATTCGTAGGGTACCGTTAGGGGGTGAGACGTCTGACGCCACTTGGCCTGTCGCGTCTCGTGCCTCCCAGTGCACCTGCGAAAGAAAGAAAAATTTGGTGGTTTTTTTACGAATATGCTAAAAGCGCAACTCAGAAAATCAAGAAAAATATATCACCAGGGATAACGAAAGCAACATATACAAGACCAAACCTGCTTAAAACGAGAAGTGGGGGTTTGTTTGTGAATTTCCAATAATTACAAAGTTTGTTAGTCATTTCCAGTGATTTAAGCCTATATAATTACCAAGCGGGGATCTCACTTTATGCATTAACAATGGCAATTGCAGTTTACTCTCATAAAACACTACCTCTATGTTTGACAAACTCAGCTACACCACCACAGCAGTCAAAATCAATCAAGTGACTATTTTTTCACAATTAAGAATTCCCTAGTTAATTTGATATAACCATGATTAGACGGAGGTGATTGATATGCCAGCTGTACATACCAGTTACCTCTTTTGTCTGTTGATGGAATTTGACTAGTCACAGTGTTTACAGGAATGTAATCTGACTAGTTTTTTTTTTACTAGTCTGTATACAAACGCATGGCAAGGGAAGTGGAAGAGACTTTCGACCGTTTGTGACTGATCAAACAATAGGAGTTAATTAACTTAATTAAAAATTAAATCTGGAGCTCGTTTGGACGAGACTGGACCTCATCTGACATTGGGGGCACTCTATTTCCCTTTTCCCCCTTTTCTTTCTTCTTATATTTTACAAATATATCACGAAGCAGTGGTAGGAAAGTATATGAGTAGCCAACAGCATGGATTTACAAAACAGTCATATCCACTGCTACTCTGGTTTAGTTCATTAACACCTGTACTACATTGTACTACATTGTACTACATTGTACTACATTGTACTACATTGTATATATTCAATGAAGAATTCTTAACACCATAGAGTGCTCAGGCAGCACAGGGAGTAAAAGGCAGGGCGGTTTGATTTTAATGATAAATGCTTACATTGATGTCTCCAACCACCCCTTCCCGTCGTCTGAGAGGGAAGGCCACCTTGAGGGACCCACCATCACCTGGCTCCTCAAAGCTGCGAGGGTTGATGGATTCCCCGTAGAATCGGACCACGCCGTTAGGGTCCCCATGCTTGAGAATCTAGGTGGTAAACAAAACCACACAAACAAAAGTGTCAATACAAAGTCTTGAACGCACAAGATCACGTTTTAGGGGAAAAATCTCAACATAGACACAATTAAAACCTGAATCTCCTGAGAAAATGTATGCAAATACAGTACATTTATTTTTTACTTTATTGCATTCTTAAAGTGTGTTTAACTATATAAAAGCCTTTGGAACTGACTTTGGGCAACCAGAAAAGGGCGGTATTCCAAAAGGAAACAAAATGGTGTTTGTCGCATTTTGGAAACATATGCTTCAAATGGAACATGGAGTTATCATAGTTCAATATGTTCTAATTAACAGAACATGGAACAGTGATAGTTGCATTTTTAACAGTAGTGTAAAAATGGGACAGGGCTCAATTGAAATTCATCATGTTGCATTTCTAATTGCAAAATGGAACAGGGAACAAAAAAAGTACAAAGTGTTGCATTCTCAACACCAGTGTCCAAAAACAAACACCGACTTACCTTCAATGTGGCACGGCCAGCGTCTTCACTGATCTCCCCAGCGCCGACCACCTGGTAGATCTCGACGGTGAACGTCTCCTCCACCTCCGGCCCCGGGTATGGCTTGACCCGCAAGGTGAAACTCTTGGCGCCTCGCTGGCCGGGGTCAAAGGTCACTGACCCCTGGAGCTGCCCGCCGGAGGTGGAGATGTCGCTGGTGTCTGGGGGCAGAGTTTGAGAGTTGGGGCCCAGGATTCGCCAGCGCACCTTGGAGGAAGGCATGAGTTAAATTGAGAATTTATCTGGGGAAGTTATCTGGGACGGGATTTGAACCTGCAGCCTTTGTAACTTAGGCCGCATCTGAATTACTTGGCTACGGCTGGAAATAACACATGGGTCTATGGGAAGTGGCTGCAGCCGCTTCCATAGGCGCATGTGTAATTTCCAGATGCAGTCAATAATTTGGCCACAGCCTTATTTTTCACACATTTAGGCAGCGTCCAAAACAGGCTTCCGGAGTTAAGGCTATGTCTATTGTCAGCAAGTGTCTGTAATGGGTGAAGACCAAGACAATAGCCCTAGCCACAATGTTGCCTTCAAAACAAAAACCGTTACAATTCTATACCACATACTTAAGTGCTTAAGGACAATTTCACTGACAAAAGAAATTAAATGCAGGACCTGTAAAAAGAACCTTGTGACTTTGTTTGATATTTTTGCCTTCAAGTGAATTTTTGATCTCACAAAAACACAGAGGTTTTCAAGACGATTTTCACACACCCAGTGCCAAGATAAAGAAAAACCAGTCTATCAGATTTGCTTAATATGTATAAGGGAACTTTCATTTTTGAAACAACTTAATTTTGTTAATTGTGACAAAGACTCCCAATACAAGAAATCCCATAATGTAATTGCCAGAATATAAAACTTGAAAGTCAATTTTAAATCAACAAGTTTGTCAAAGTAATTTTATTCAATAGGCCATCTTGGTTTTGGTAGAGATTCTGTCTATAAGTAGAGAGATACTGAGAATCACAAGGAACCTTCCAAATATTAAGAGAATTCCTGCAATTTATGAACGGGATAAGTTTATTAGCTGCACATTGAAGTCAATTTTTAGACAAGTCAAATTTTCAAGCCAAACTAAACTCACTTCAGCTCCAGTCAGGTACTGATCGATCCCGCCAGACAGCTCAATAGTGAACTCCATGTCGCGATTATTCTCAGGGTTAGGTAAGATCCGCTCCAGCTGGTTGAGGGAAAACCCAATCAGCCCGTCCGGTCCGTCGCTCTTGGAGATCACCACCGTGGCCGTCCGGTTGCGGCCCAGGACAGCGCCCCCTAGTGTCTCGGTCAGGGTGATCTCGAAGACCTCCGCAAACTCCTTGAGCTGGTCGTCGATGATAGTGACACTGATGGAGCCCTGGGATTGGCCGTCTAGGAAACTGACCGCTCCGTCCGTCAGCGAGTAGTCAACGCCGCCGGGAGTGGCGGTCAGGTTCCTGGAAGTGTAGGAGACTTGGACCAAGCCGAAGGTACCAGCGGTGCGGACGACGGGAATGACTGCTGTGCCCACTCCTTCAGAAACTGCAGTTATGATATAAATAATAATAACAGGTTCTTACTTGGCGCTTTTGACTAAAGATCAAAGCGTTTTATACTATTATTACCCCGATAACTGGGCCAATGAGACATTCCAAATACCATCTCAGCTCCCTTGGGAGTATACAGCTCGATGCTGACATGTCGGCGCAAGAAGGCTAAAATCAATCACAACAAACATCTCTGCCCTCACAGGTTCCATTTACTACAGGGTGGGGAGAAGCTATGAGTGACCAAGAGCATTGCCCCAGGGCACACGTACCACAACCTCAGGCTGGAATCAAACCCACAACCTGAAGAATTACCTGCAGACCACGAATTCAATGCCCCAGACCACGAGGCCACGGCACTTTAATAGTAAAGGGTAACAAGGCCATTATCAGTATTGTGGTCAAGTCCATCACAAGTCCAATCACAAGCCTGGTAATTCACAAGTCCAGTAACAAATAATAGGACATAAAAAATATGCATTTCTCACAGTCCATTTGAATAGCTTGTGACCTGACTTGAGGGACTGGAGGACTTGTAACGGACTTGTGATGGACTCAATTTCAACACTGACATTTACGAAGGACATTCAAAAGCTCTGGTCTAGTTTTTTTTTTCAAGAATGAAGGAATGACCTCAGTTTAGCAGAAAACCAGTAATATAATGTTAAAGTGTGCGTTTCTTTGGGAAGATGGTTCCTCGTCTGGGGTACAATGCTTGAAAAGCCCCTGTTGTTGTAATTGCTTACGTAACTTGTCATGAAAATTTCCAAATTTAGAATGAGAGTGAAAACATAGGTAATCTTCTCTGAGCACCCCCAAACTGTCGAGTCCCAGGTCTGCAGATGTTTCAAGTAAATATGGGAAACAAAGCCAGGCCACATGGCATGTATGTCTTCAATGGCATTTAAATTTGGGGTTCCGATTGGCACACTGGTACTCTCCTTGCCTTCCACCTCTGTGACCCAAATTTATATCCTTCCCAGGGCAACATGTTGATCGGGTTTTCAGTCCCTACCTAATTCCATGTTTTTTTCCCCTGGGGTTTCCTCCCACCACTAAAAAGTGTAATTTCTTTCCCATCATCCTCTAGCAAGGTTAGAAATAAGTTGTGGTCTCTCCTGGCCCAATACCAATAATATAAACTGTATTATTTAATGTGGGGAATTCAGGTTGGTGTAGCAGTCCTTTCCTCGCCTTCCACCGTTGTGACCCTGGTTGGAATCCCGCCTGGGCCAATATGTGGATTGGGTTTTCAGTCCCTACTTGTTTCTGTGGGTTTTCCTCAGAATATTCTTCTGAGGTTTCCTCCCACATCTAAAACTGTCATTTCTTCACGTTATTTTCTCTTTCGTAGGCCCACAGGAGACCAGTGCATTCCACTGAATGGGCTATCTGGTTAAAATAAGAAATAAATAAGTATTATTTTAAACTATATAAATTACTTACATTCAAAGACGTTCGATTGGGCAAACTCAATAATCCCCTGAGCATTGTCATTGGCTGCTATGGTCACCGTCTTCTCACTAAACGAGCCAATCACAGGAGGCATATCAAGTGAGAGACCACCACGCAGTGTGTAGTCGTTGTTCCTGTTGGAAAAACAATTACAAAAAAAAAAACCCTTTAAAAATGACTGAAAAATGCCAAACTTTACCCTATGTAACGTCTTCATTTGTTCATGCATAGAGTCCACACTGGTCTTTGATTGATTTCAAATTTATTACAACAAAATAACTTAGATGTCTCTTTTAAAAATCTTTTGTCATTCCATGACATTACCCTAATACTTTGATCACTTTCACATGAAACGGTTTAAAAAGTATTCCAAGGTCGGACTTACACTGGTTGCAGCAGCTCAATGGAGGTCAGATTCACCAGGAATGATTCCGGACCTTCTGGCAGGTTATCCGGAACCAGACTGATCTTGATTGTGTTCACGTCCACTCCCTCACTGAAAATCAGATCTGAAAATATGAACCAAAGACTTGTTGAAAGATTATTTCAATAAAAATTCTCCAATGAAATATTTGATTTTGCATTTTGAGGGAATGGGCAACAATAGATATTATGTCAATGTGTTGTAAGGATTGAATGTTTACTGTTTTATTTGCTGTGTTTTTGTTGTATTTTTGTTTCGTATTCTAGGCAATAAGTACCTCCACTGTCCTCCACATAATCTTCACCAGGTTGGGCTGAGATTTGTTTGGTTGTGTAAGTCACCTTCACTGCTCCAGAAATGCCAGCATTGCGAACAACGTCAAGGCTCACCTGAAGAAAACAGAAAATCGATGCAGAGGTTGAGATTTGCAATCAGTACAAATCCCATTATTAGATATGACAACCCCTTGCCAACACATTGAAAACCTTTGTAGGAGAAACAACCTCTTTTGTGATGGACAGTAAAACCTACTCTTTATTCAGATCTGAAGTTGAAACGGGAAACGACTGATACTCACTTGGGGCAAGTCTTCGCTGACGACCACCTCGGGCAAGCCGCTGAACTCAAAGACCCCATGAGGGTTATCGCTAGCCACGACGATGATGGTAGCCTGGTTGGCCTGTGAGTCCGGATCGATGGCAGCTCCACCGGTGATGGAGGAGAGCTGGAGGATGTAGGTCTGCTTAGTCTCAGGGATGGAATCATCAATTGTCTGTTCGGGAAAAAGCAAGAGAAAGTTAATTTCTTGGTGGTTTTCCAGACGTAATTTGACACCTGATGACATCATCACACATCATTTCCTTTGTGCACAGTTTCGAGTCAGTGTGCACGAACCACATTTGAACTCTGTATGAGCGTGCATGTGATCAAACAAGTGCAGAAAAATAGGGTGACTAAATGAAAAGAAGAAAATAAATATGAACCCAACAAAAATCAAGGTGTTGTGGCTCGTGCCTCAATGCCAAACCAAAAAAGGAATGTTTGTTCAAGGAATTCAATGTGAGAAAAAAAACGTTGGGAAAAAAAAAGTCTTCAGTCCTTTTGCAAGATACCATTTATCATTTGTCTACCTCAAGACTTTCTTGATTTTCTGAAACGTTCACTGAAATTTCACTTTCATTTAATTTGGATATCATGCCTGGCACTTCTAAAAAAAAAAAAAAAAATTATCCCAAATCCTAAAGATTTCAAAGCTCCTAAATTTTGCGATTTCCTCTTCATTTACAAGAATGTCAAAAGGGTTTTCTCTTTTTTTCCCAGGATTTTAAATTTTTTTACACTTCCATTTCTGGATCCTTGCCATGAGCCCATACTTACCTGCAACATAATGGTAGCATTCTGTTGCAGGTCTTCAAAGACCAACGTGCCCGAGGTCTGCCTGAAGGTGGACCCGTCCCGCGGACTCAGCTGCCAGTTGACTGTCACTTGGCTGAAGATCCCAGCTCCTCGTGTCAAACTGTGAAGCAAAACCAGAAAGGCAGGTTTAGGGGAGTCGGGTTGATGAAGCAGTACTTTCCTCATCTAACAATCTTGTGATCCCAAGTTTGAACCCCACCCAGATCATGTTTTTCAGTCCCTACTTGATTATGTTGGTTCTATTTTTTAACAAAAATATTTATCTTTGATTTTCCTACCGCACAAAAACTGAGCATTATTCTTTATTGTATTCTCTCCACCACGGGTTTCTTCAGGTTTATCATTGACACTTTTGGAGAATCCTTGGTATCATTACAAGAAATACGTAATAATAATGATATCAATGGTAATTAAACAGGAAACTGTACAGTTGCATCAAGTTAATGCAACAGTGGTAAAAATTATTGCAAGTTGTTGCATTTAGCAGCCAACTCAAGTCCCTGTGCTGCTGCATCTTGTTGCATTTAGCAGGGTAACTGCTCATAGTGCCAAGTCGATACAAGAGTATCCACTGTTGCAGTTTGTTGCATTTAGCAGGGTAACTGCTTGGTGCCAAGGCTGGTGTGTACTGGGTTCAGTGCACTATGCAACAGAATCCACTGTTGCATCTTGTTGCATTTAGCATGGTAACTGTTCATAGTGCCAAGGCAATACAAGAGTATGCACTGTTGCATTTTGGTTGCATTTAGCAGGGGAACTAGCTTGGTGCCAAGGCTGGTATGCACTGGGTTCATTGCGCAATGCAACAGAATCCACTGTTGCAGACTGTTGCATTTAGCATGGTTCTCATTTGAGTTGAGTTGGATATTGTTGCATTTAGAACGGTACCTGAAGAATACCCGATGGGGGTTAGGGTTGACGTAGCTTTTCTTACATGACATGGACAAAAGAAAAGTTCCAATCTTTTTTTACAATGAAAAGGGCTTATGGTTACCCTTCTGCGATCACATTATCAGCACAGATATTTTGCACTTGGCACTTTACTCTTTAAGCAGAGAATTCTTCAAAATTTGTTGTTAACCTTCAATTTTTGTTTCAACCTTCTCCCTCCCCAACCCATTCATCATGGTATCCCTCTCCCAGTCTGCCCAGTCTACTTACTGCAGTGTGGCTGTTCCGTCATGAGTAGTCGTCGGTTCTCCAATCAGGACATATCTTGACTGGGGCAGGACGGCTATCAGGCCAGCTGAGCCAGCGTCAGGCTGTATCACAATGGTGGTTGTGCCTTGACAAATCAATGACAATTTCAGATTTAAACCTGGCTCCTTACCAAATCCATTCACAAAACAGGTCCTATTTGATTTTTTATTGGAGTTCCACATAAGGGTGATGTACATTTTTTAACGTTGTATTTCATCCCTTACCAAAGTAAGCATCGTTTACTCAGTGGATTCCTTGAGTCTGTGAAAAAAAAACTTCACAAGCAAATTTGGGCTGGACTGAAACCCAGTCTGCTATTGACATAATTCCCTGGTTTTGCGTATCTGCAAGGCAAAATGGATAGGATTTTTTCAACATTCTCTAAACATATAAAACATTCCTAAGACTTTTGGAATATTGTTAATAAACAATCTATAAAAAAATAATTAAATACTGGCGATCTCCAAAGAATAGTACAACTTTAAACAAATCAGGTTAAAAATTCAGAATTGCATACCAAAGACAGGAGATATTTCTGCGTCGTCGGTAACTGACTGAATGGTGACTGTGTATCTCTCCTCTCCTTCTAGCACTGTGTCTTCAACGGCTCGGAGGGTTATCGTTCGACGAGTGGCTCCCTAATCAACAACCAAACAAAATGTTAAGAAACCAAACCAGATTCACATAAAAGAAAAGAAATAAAAAAGAAAAAGAAATAAAGTTAGCCACTAAGAGAAAACCTTCATACCTATCTGATTGAACTTCCTACATTTGACCATTAACTGAACAGAATTTGTTTATTTTTTTCATGAGAAGGGTTACTTTGTCATAGATTTTCTCCCTATTTTCTTTCCTACCTCTTGGAAGGTGAGTGATCCCTGAGCAGGGCTGAGATCCATTCTGCCCAGGGGTTCCAGGGCCCAGTCCACCTCCACGATACCCTGAGTGCCTTGGCTTCTCTCAATGATCAGTGTCACCTCACCGCTGGGATCCGAGGGACTGAGCGATTCCATCACTGTCTCCTGCAATCAAGGAAGGACAATGATTGTCAAAGAAATAAAAGAACGTACCAGGTCATTTACATTTCTCCTGTGCAGTGCCCTCGCTTGGTAGTACAAGGGCCATTCCTGGTGAGAGTCAGCACTGGTTCAACCAATACCATAACATCTCTCTTGTGTACTTCAATGCAATTTCACAATAGATTCAAAGTTTCAGGATAGCTTCAAAATATGACACCTATAGAAGAAATGAAACGCGACAGAATATTTGCATATTTCTCCTCTCTTGACCATTTTAATAGGTCGAGTTGCTCTTTGTCTTGTTAGTATGCGAGTAGGGGTGTGCATCGGAACCAGGTACCCGAGCACCCGACTGTTGATGTCAGGAACCGGTTCCAGATTATGGGATTGGGTAACCGTAACCACCTTTACAAATTACATAGTAACTTCTCAGACAATGAATAAGAAAGGTATTGAATGTCATTTGTGGAGAATTTTCAAAATGGAAACCAGGCTGCATGGAAAACAAAAAAAGATTCCTGTTTATGACGCTTGCGAAAATGCAATTTCCACTGTAAAGTTAAAGAGCTCACTGTACACACTTGTATTTTTCTGTATTGACGCACCAATGTGGTAGTATTATTGCATTGACCTTTACGAACAATGAGTACAGCAACTTCGGACGGTTAAATTTTGAGTTTGGGTTTCTTTAACAGGTACCTCGGTACCCGTACTACCCGTACTACCCTTTAAAGGGAATATACAACATTTGCAAACATCAACAAATAAAACCACCAAGTTTTTACGAAATACCTTACTAGGATGTTGGTTAATGACAGTCTAAAGCATCCTGTAAAATTATGGCACCTGGTGTAAAGTCATTTTCAAGAAAATGGTATTTTTGTATAAATTTCCAACCCTGGTCGGCCGACCACCGTTGGAAAAACCCAACTATTTTTCAACTACTGCTCCAAATTTACCATTTTTTTCAGTTAAAATTTTGTTTGCTATTGGTTACATGTTCATGAACGGGTGCAGGCCAGCTAGACTGGTTCCCTTCCCTTACAATTTTTCCGGCATCTATAAATTGATCCATTTCATCTTTAGTGGAGTCAGGGAACCAGACTACTTGAACTTTTTTGTTTTTCTTGGCTTTTCCAGCATTTCCGAACACAAAACTTCAAACATGTCAGTGTAACAATATTTGATCTATTATACTAACCCCTCAAATAGTTCATTTTTGAAAATTACAGCAAAAGCCAATGATGTACATTCCCTTTAATGCACACCCCTATATGCGAGTCATTCCACACACAGCATTGGTTCAGCCTACGACACCACAAACCCTCTCTTCTGCTCTTCAACACAGTTTCATGACAGCCTTTCCAAAATTTGCATTAGTTTCATAATTTGAAAGGATGGTGTACATTTGCTGTGTCTGACTCTTTAATATGGTGTCACCGCATTAAAAGAGACTTCCAGCCAAGTCATTGAAGCTTTACTAACACTTTGTGAAGCTATCCTAAGAACCAACATGAAACTGACGTTCACTGGAAGGATAGATTTTTGATTTTAAATTGAGATTTCTCATGGAAATTAAACAGCCTGTCATAAAAAGTAAAAGAAGTATTTGTGAGTACAATACAAGACTGATTTAAACATTCAAGCCCAATTAATATCATTACGAGATCAATACATATTGAGAAATTAGGAAAGGCAAACAATCTCCTCGGCTTACCTGCGTGTACAGGAAACCAAACAGCCCCTTGGGAGAATCGTTCTTGAGAATCTTAATGATGACCGAGGTCTCCGCACCCAGAACAGCGCCCCCACTTGGGTTGTGCAGGGAAACCGTGAATCGTTCGTCATTCTCGTAGATTGTGTCATCAATGATGGCAATCTCAATGAACGCTTCTCTCTGAAAAATAAAAGTTCAAGAAATAACAGCAAATTAGGCCTGAACCCTAACTACCAATATGGTCCTTTCCACATTTTAAGTTGAGAAAAAGTAAACCCTCTATTATTTTCCGGTTTAATTTATCAGATTATCTGTGCAGAATCTGTGGATATAAAACTACTATTCACTGCTTTCATGCTTGGTACCATTACACTGGCATATCTTAGTGATCAACTGAGTGTTCAGCAGTCTCACTCAATGAATCTCCTCAGGTTCTAATTTTACTATACCACTCAAAGCAGCCAATATTTGAATACCGTAGCTTTGACAGCAGTCGATATTGGAATACTATACCAATCACAGTAGTCAATATTTGAATGCTAAGCCACTCACAGCAAGCAATATTTGAATACTAAACCAATCAAAGTAGTCAATATTTGAATGCTTTACCACTCAAAGCAGTCAATATTTGAATACTTTACCACTCAAAGTTGTCAACATTTGTATATTATACAACTCAAAGCAGTCAATATTTAATATCCAAAAATTTGGCACATTCTTAAAAAAACAACCAAAAACCCCCCAAATGAACAGGGTGAACTTTCAAACTAATAACAGATATTAATGTCACTACCAAGTACCAGCAATTCATTGTGGAAATATAATAATAAATAAATATATAAAAAAATAATGTGTACCTGTCCCTCAATGAAGGTGACGTTACCAGACAGTGGGGAGAAGTCAGCAGTGCTGGCAGACACCGTGGTTGCCAGCCAGTTGACGCCAACTCGACCAAATGCACCTGCAGTGCGGCTCACCGGTAAGCTGAGTACCCCACTGGTACCTGAGCCTTCATAGACTTCAACATCGCCAGCAGAATTCTGCGAAGAAAATCAACTTATTTCAAAAGACGCAACAGAGTCTCTTTTCTTGAACTTTTGTCCCTTTTTGATTTAAGCTTGTTAGGCAAGAAAAGTAGGAATTCCTACTGTTTTTATTGAAATTTAATGGCAAAGGGAACTCCAAAAGTTTTTTAGAGGGCACATACATGAAGACTACCAAAGGAGATGAACATTTCAAGAAAATTTTGTTCAAGATCAAGGGTGTCAAAACCAAGATCAGTGCTCCTTGATCTCGCTTGAAATGTTTTTCATTAACACAAACGACACTCAAGTCCAAAGAGAATGTCGCCCTACCTTGGATGCATTCAGCTGCAGGATACCGTTGGCATTGTCGTTCTGGGTGATGGTGATTTCAGCCACATCCTGATCGTTCTTGATGCTGGGCGCCGCTCCGCCGACCGGGGTACCAGTGACAAGGTCAACCGAGGTCAGGTTGACTAGGAACGTCTCGGGTCCTTCAGAGTCAGTGTCCTGAGATACGTTAGGAAAAGAAAATACAACAGCACTTGTATTGAATTCTAATACAGTGTGTATATATTTCCTGATAAATCCATAAAACCATGCAGTGCTGGCTTAAAGAACTTAGAGGTAACTGCCAACATAGGGCTGGCCAGTAGCCCAGTTGGTAGAGCACTGGAACGGTAATCCGGTGGTCGCAGGTTAAAACCCCACTCCAGTCAATTTCTTCGTTCAACTTTTCCAAATTTTATTTATAATTCACCTAGTCAGTTTCCCAGTGTGGTTCATTTGAAAATGTGCAATAAAAAGCCGCATCCTCTCTGAGTGATCCCCGTTTGCTATTTCCCAGGCCTGCATCGTGACTTTGGGCGTGATCCGTGGCTGTAGTATGGCATATACGGGTTTATGGCTTCTGACTAGCACCCCTTGAACAAAGATATTGACAAATTGGAGAACCGCCAACATAGAGCCGTCCAGTAGCTCAGTTGATAGAGCACCGGAACGGTAATCCGGAAGTCGCAGGTTCAAACCCCGCTCCACTCAATTTCTTTGTTCAACTTTTCCAAACATGGACGAAATTTTTTGTGTGCAACCTCTCCATGATTAAGTCATTACCTATTCAAACTTTGAAAATTCCTTTTTCAGGAGCTACATCCGAAATGCATAGATGAGATAAATGTAGTTATTATCAGCAATTTTATGACATGAACAACCAAAACAATCAAAAAGAAAAGAGTCAAAATGGACAGTCTCAGACCCTAAATGCATCAGCCACTAGAATTTGGAGGCTGGGTTCAGACCCATTCCTGATGAGTATACTCACTGGAAGTATGGCGATAGTCAGTGAGGCCGAGGTGACTCCATCTTCCATCCTCACATAGTTGTCCTGGGAAACAAAATCTCGATTGGGTTCTGCTTGCTTCAGCTCCGGCATCTCCGCTGCTCTGGATGTCCTACAAATACCAAAAAAAAGAAGATTTCAACAATCAAAGAGTGAATCAAAAAGTTAATCACATATGGGTGATTCCATAAATTTAGTTCCCAAAGTGTGACTTTTTTTTCCAGTCCATGTTACCTTGGTACTTTGTAATTTGCCATTCAAATATCATTAATAATGACTTCATAGAATACTCGATTTGTCAGGTAGGTGGTTCGCTATTCACAATCACTCTTGGATGACGACTGCATTAAAGAGTGCAACTCAATAACAAATCATAGATTGTGGGATTTGATCCGTCCATGGTAATGGTTGACAATTTAGTTTGGCCTTACTTGTATCTAACGTTGACAGCTCCCAGGGATCCCTGCTCTCGCAGGATGTGCAAGACAACGGAAGCCGATGGCTGCGATCCCTCAGGCTCATTGACAACACTGAACAGGGAATTCAGCGTCCAGGCAAAGACGCCGTGGGGTGAGTCGTTGGCCAGCACCGTCAGCAACGCTGTGCTGTCCGTGTCGCTGATCATGGCCCCGCGGCCCGGGTGCGTGGTGCCGGGGTTGACGATACTGGTGAGTTGTATGGTGGAGGTCTCATCCAGCTCTGGAAAGGAGTCCGCCGTGACCGTAATAACAATAGCGGCTGTGGAGACCCCATCCGCAAACTCAACCTGTGAATATTTTTCAGGCAAAGTTCAAGTTTTAAGTTTCAAGTTTATTTCATACAATTATAAAGAGGTTTTTAAGCAGAATCAAGCCATTATACAGGGAAAAAAGTAATATTGGTGGCAACATCCTGCTTTACTGCAGTCAAAATATGTATGTATATAATGCCGAACTGTCATTTTGTACAAGGAATCAAGGATAAAGTGTCTTGTAGAGTTTTCGTTAACTTCAATTTTAGTTGAAAGTTTCTGCGAATAACAATTATTACTTTTAGCCTTCAACTGCATGTTTTACTTTACAGAAACAATATAGGACGAACAATTAACTGCACCAAAGTACATGCAGAAGTGGCCTTTTGGAGGCAACAACTCCATCACAACTCCATCACAAGTCTGGCCACAAATAAATCACAAGTCCCAATCACAAATCTGACCAGAGGATGAACAATGACAGAGGATTGCCATCGTCACAGTTCTTTTAAATAGCTAGTGACTTGACTTGGAACTGGAGGACTTGTGACTGACATGTGAGGACTTGTGATGGACTTGCGGGGACCTGTGGGGACTTGTGCAGTTCTTGGTTAAAACATTCGCACCGTATTGCGACTTCCTTTCAACCGAGGACTCACCATTCCTGCTGTCGGCCTCATGTCCGAGGGGTCGTGTTCCCCGCTAGCCACCCAGGCCACCACAACCACTCCAGAAGTACCGCGTTGTCTCTCCAAGGTAAAGATGACAGCCGTGTCGGTAGCCTGCTCAGTGGCTTGGATGTTGAGGGAATCCTGAGAGTTGGACATGAAATATCCAATAAAATAATAATTGGTTTCTTCCTTTGTCTTTAAGTTGTTGTGCCCATGCTCTTCAACAATTATATTTTTTTCTCCAGACGAAAAACTAGGATTTCATGATTTTCTTGACTACTTAATCCGTGCAAGTTTTTTTGTTGTTGGATTGCATATTCAAATGTGGATGTATTTGTATTGCTAGAAAAATTGCAATCTCAGACAATTTATTGTTTCTTTCATTTAAAAAGGCCTTAATACACAAGAGCAATCAGTCCTGGTGTGATCCATAGACCCCAAGACTATTAAGGAAATTCTTGTTATGTAAATTCAGTGACAATGAAAATACCAAGTGTTTACTCATGCATATCACAGAGAAACAAAGACTAGTTGATCTGGTACACAGTATCCTGTGCAGACATGTGCATAATAGAGAACAAAAGCTTGTATACGTCTCCACAGAGCAATTTCTATAGGTAAATACGTCTCCACAAGGTTATCACGAAATAGATTTATGGATTTTACTCAAAAACTAGGAATTTCAAAGGTGTGTTGATCTGTCGCAAATTGAAGTATTTTATGTGAGCGATATTAAGTACGAATTGCAGCCCAGGTGATTAATTCTGGTTAAAATAGGAGCATTTTGAAACTACACTAGCAAACTGTAAAATTTTAGTACAAAAGAACAAAGAAATGACTCCACAAGGATAAAAATTCCAGTTTATGTTCACAGATGCTTGACAAATGTGTTTTTTGCCCTGCAGCCCTAGGCCTGAATTTAGCACAAATGTTGCTAGGCACAACAAATATTTGCTTAGCCATAACAGGTTACCAGCCAAGCTGTCATGTTATGTACACTGCTTGTGACCGGTACTCCACATTTAGTTTGCTTAAACTGTACCTGAGCAAAGCCGATGATGCCGTGAGCGTCATCGTTGGAGAGGATGTCCACCATCACAGCATCTTGACGGCCCAACTCGGCCCCACCCGTCGGGTTGCTAAGGACAACGCGGAAGTATTCGTCATCCTCAGGCCGGTCGTCGTCCAGAATAGTTATGGCAACGGTCAACTCCGTGTCCTCGGGTTGAAAGGTCAGTCTGCCAGATCTGGAATGGAAAAAAAATCAACTGTGTATGGGCTCCAAGTGCGGGCGCTTTCTGGCCACTTTCGAGAGCCCCATGGACAGGACACACTGTGTGTGCGTGCTGATTGCGCACGTACTGATTTGTGCAAAGTACGCAGGGCTTATTTTATTCTGACTATGCTCAAAGCCATAGTGTCTTCGCGCAAGTGTCAGGTGTCGGCAGCAATGTGTTCAAATGTCTCTCCCAGTGGTCTCCCCCAAATCTCCCTTTCTTACCGTTGAGGGGGTACTTGTGCACGTAGCCCCTTTATAATTTTGAATGGTTTGTTGATGCTTTGGTAAGCATGCTTAATAACAGTTTACGTCTTTTCTGGGCTAGAGCTCTCTTTATATGGCATGCCAAGTGGAATATTAACTTCCTTCTGAAAACAATCATTGCTTTTACATTTCTTTTGTTTCTAACCCCCTACACTTTTCTCTATAGCCTTTAACCTTGAGTGGAGTCCAGCCTTGTATGAAACAACTTCCTAACAGAGGAACCCTTTTAAAATTTCAAGCTTTTCAGATTTTTTTTTAATGAACATTTAAAATCTTCAAGTTACTTTAATAAAGTCAATTTTTTTTCCCGAAGGAATTATCAATGTGCATGTTTAACTTTAACGATAAAAAAAAAAATCTACTTTTGGCACAACCCTCTAAAAAAGGGCTTTAATGCTTCTAACACTCTAATAAAATCTTCTGTTGGGCTGCAAATAATTCAAACTTTGTTAAGCCAATATTCCATAACGTAGGCAACATTTTATGCTTGATGTCTCATTTGAATGTTTGCTAGTAAAATAGCAATTAAAAAGAAAACGTTTTGGGGGTAAAACTTGAAAAAAGCATCGAGAGCAAGTTTAAGGAAAATAAGCCCGTACCTTGGAATGAAATCTGATGATTCAGTGACCCCAGCGATCTGTAAGATCATGGAGTCCAACACAGACACCCCATCACCAAAATTTGCTGATGCAAGCATCACCAAGTCACGGCCAGCGTAATCGGTGACAGTGAATGGCACGACGTCGTAGGCAGGAGCCAACGACAGACTGTCCATGAACATGGCTGAGAAAGGCTCCCATTCCATGACTACAGAGTCCCCCGCCGCATTGGCGATGGCCAGATAGGTGGTGCCGCTACTGGTGAGGAATGTGGTGACAGACTGGGCCCCCTGGGTGGGGATGGTCTGGTGGATGACAAACAGGGACGTGGAGGGGTTCCAGCGGTAGACGTACGAGTCAACATTTGATGCGCCTTCTGTGAATATAAAACAATATAACAGGAAGGTTTTTTTTTCTCTCATGATCGTTAGGTCCTACCCATTGCAAGCAAATGTGATGCGATCATGCTAAATGAGTCGTTTGTCGACCCTGGTCTTTATTCTTTTACAGATTTGAAAATATCACAATCTCAGCATTACTGCTTTGAAAACCCCATGCTGGTACCATCTTTAATTCAAAAATGATGGAATTTGGAACACCAAGTGATGTGAAGTGATGTGATGAAGTGGCCCTATTTTGGCCTGAATCTCCAAATGAAAGTTCTCGCAAAACGACTCATTTAGCTTGATCGCATCACAAATGATAATAGTTCCGCTTTTCTTGAAAATGACAGCAAACTAGGCCTAGCGCTTTCACAGGACGCTTCATCCTATTATTCGCTTACAATCAAGTAGGAAACTTCACAATATTTTTGCACTTTCCGTTTTTGAATGTTTGCAAAATGTTGTCCATTTCCTAAAGCTCGGAACTCAAACAGAAGCCCTCGCGACCTCTCACTGATGTTCCTGGATTTGGCCCAAGTTCCCAACCACCATTGGTTTGTGTACACTTCTCAGAACGGATTGCAACCAAGTCTGACTGAGCTATCGTGGTCACCTGACCAAAAGCTGTGATCTCATTGGTCAATGCGCTCTGTCGGACCGACAGGCAGGATGGGTCAAATAGAATGATGACAGACATCACAGGCTCCTACCATTGTTTTGGCTGTTGGCAAATACAAGATACATCGCTGTACCGACGCTGAAAGACTCGACATCCACAGCTCCCAGTGTGTCTAGTTGTTGGTACTCAGTAAAAGAGCCGCTCTCCCACTTATACACCACAGACCTGCAAAATAGTCAGTGCCAATTGAAACATGTTTTATATTTTACAGGACAAGTTATTTCAAATAATCAAGTGAATTTTTCTGATGAAATAAAACCATGCCTTCCACACAGTTGGCTGTTAAAAATGGCAAGGCTGAAAAACATTCCATACAAGTAAATTTCCTTCAATTTTGATTTCTGTTTTACTTTATTGTGATTTGGCCAAGAGAAATCTGGGCACACATTCCGACCAAATTTATTCTACTTCAAACATATGGTTCTGCACAAATGACAATTTACCTTTTCAAAGCTTACTTTTTGCACTTTTTTGTTTCAAAATTCAATAATTCAAACGTTCATATTTCAAACACCAAAAGGGCAAACAAAAGTCAAAGCAAAATTTATCAAGTTAATTTCAAGCTCTTGACATAATCCATTCCATATCAATTTTGGTGCAGTCTCAGTAAGTGTGCATGTGTAATCATTTCACTCTATGGATGGCACACAATGCAACATGTGGCATATGATTAGGTAATTTCCAAGATGCACTCACTTAATCTCATAGCTAGCCTGGCCAGAATCGTAAGAGTTAGCCACGGCCAGATACTGGTCCCCATTAATGCTGAGTGCCTCCACTCCGGCTGCCCCCGTGGTGGCCAGGCTACTAACTGCCACAAACTGCACGCCGGTCCATAGCAGGACCGTGGACTCCGTGACGGTCAGCTGGGCATTGGTCAGTCCGTTGGCTAGCATCAGGAAAACGTCTGAGCCGATGGTGAAGAACGTGGCGTCGGTTGCACCCTTGGTGGCCACGTCTTGCATCTGGGGAGACAGCAAAATGTCCAAATTAGTTTAAAACTTTGAGTAAAGCACATCACTAACCCTTTTAGTTTTTTTTTACTTCATAGATACTCACTGCCCCTTGAAAACCTGAAGACATTAATTTCAGCACTATACACAACTTACTTATTTTTTGTGTGTGGAAAAGTGGAATGAAGCAACACCAAAATGATCACTTCAATATTGAAATGAAAATAAAGTAGAAAATTGATTTTAAATTCAACAAGTTTTTTTAAACTGTGTCGAGTGTTCCGTTCTAAAAAGTCTTCACGAGTAGGATAGAAATTATTTTACTTCAAACACACAGCTGTGAGTGTCTTGTATCAATCTCAATAAGTTGTGCAATAACAGGCTCCACGACACTCAAGATTTGCTGGCAAAATAGGTCATTTTCAGGTGCTAAGCCACAAGTTATGTCACCTAAAATGACTGCGCAAGGTACCCCATAATTTGCTGCGCACGTTGCGGACTTACGCACTATGAAACTTTGGTGAAATTGTCATAACTGAAATGTTGCACATCGTGAAATGTTACGCAGCTTGCACAATAAATTGTGGCGCAAGTGGACTCATGCCATTGCATAAAGTTTCGTGAAATCTGCCACAGGTGCGCAGTGGGCGGGGTCTAGTGGATCGGTCCATTCAAGTTCAAGGTGTGTCCTGTATCAGTCAACTATATACCAATGATCCTGAACTACATACCACATAGAGCGTCCCATCCTGATTGACTCTGTAGATTCTGGACATGGTCTCGTACCGCCCTGTACTACCATGATTGGCAATCACTAGATACGTCGTGCCTTGGATGTCATAGGAAGTACAGGCCACACCGCCGTCAGTTTCAATGCTCTGTTGGCACAAACAAGAACTTTGATTTACAGTATATGATTCTCAAATAAAAATTGATAAAGATACCAGAATTTTCAAACAATGTATCCTTTTGCTTTTTTTAGTTTTACTCTATTAATAAAAAATATTCAGTTCATTTGTGAATATTATTCAGTTCATTTGTGAATATTACTCAGTATTTGTTGTTGAGATTTCAGGACATTTCCGAATGTTTAATGATAGTTTTGACAATCAAGTCTCCAAATATTGTAACCTTGCCAAAGTAAGTTCAGGCTGCTAAAACATTTCTTTATCTTAACCAAGCCTCCTTCAATTGTAACATGGCCCAAAATCTTGTGTATGTTGAAATTAAGAAGAACAAATTATAAAAAACGAGTTCAGCCTTTTACAAATGTGCTTATTGGCGTAAACGTCTTAATCACTCCATCACCCATCTTGCTAGGGTCTGCTGGCTGTTTCAAATCTGATTATATTGCAGCAAGTGGGGCTTGAACCCGTGGCCTCCTGCTTACTAAAGCACATGTCTTAACCACTCCACCACCGGGCTTGCTTGGGAAGAACTAGCTGGTTCTTATCTGATCAAATGTTACATCAGGCAAATTTGAACAAATGTTGTTGGAAAACATAACCCTACCTGTACAGGAACAAACTCCCCCTGCCATCGGTACAGCAAGGATGTCGCCCCCGGCGATGACCCATCGCTACCAATCTGGCTGGACAACTGACCAGTCTCCGCTCCACTGACCAGCACCAGATAGACGTCTTGACCGACGCTGTAGGAGCACCAGCTGCGAATGGCCTGGCTGGCGATTCTCTGGACAGTGGCTAGGGCTAGGACTTCACCCGCTGTTTGAAGAGAAAACAAATTATGATAAATCAAGCATTCTGTGTTTACAGGGTTTTATGGGGTATCTCTGGGTTCAACCTCAAGTTACTGCTTGTTTAATTTTCCCCTTAAAACAATCCTGAAAGTTGATGATGTTGATCTTCCAGTAAAGAGCACAATAGACCAAAGTCCATTTTTGTCACATTTTAATTTTTGTAGATAACATGTACACATCATTTTTGTTTCTTTTGTCTTGTTTGCTAATAACTTGAAAAGACAACCGCACTTTTTTTCTACAAACCTGCTATGCAAACATCTGACAATCTTCATATGATCAGAACCTTAGAGATAGAGGTCATACAGAAATAAATTCAACAGTTTCAGACAAAAAAAATAAATTGTTCTCATCTTTGAAATGAGGCAAAATATGCACAACTAATGTTCATCTAAATGTGCACAAACCCGTCTTTGCATGAGCACCATGCACAAGGCAGCAATACATTAAAATGTTCTGCCTATTACTCTCTACGTCAGAACTGAGCTTGGGGGGAATGAAAAATCCAAAAAATAATGGGCACAGGGTTGGGGGGGGGGTGTCACGTATGGCTCCAGAGCAACATAGGGTCAATGATATATGTTTGAATTAGGCTAAAGGCATCCCTTAAAATACCCCTTTCTTTTGTTTTATATAATAAGGGAAGAGATTCCTTTAAGGTAAAATCTCACAAATTCTAGATATCAAAAGGGATTTTTTTTTCATGCTGAAATCAAGAAAAATCCTAACAAATCTCTCCCCTATTTCTGACCATTGAGGGGTTTACTTGTACATGGAGACCATACTACAGACAAGATGCCAGTGTTTCTAGTACATCAGCACTCATTCTCACTTTCACCAGTGAGATGTTGTGTACAAACTTCGTCATCACAGATAACTCTATCTGAATCACGGCCATACCTTGAGCTGTTGCAGTATCTGGTACAGCTTGCCAGTCTACCGTGATGGTTCCGATGTGACCCCCTGACCTCTCCACAGTGAAGTAGACGGTGCCGTTCTCTTCCTCCACATCCAAGCTGGCTTGTCTGCAGGGAGAGAAGAGGAGCAAATGACGTTTTACATTTGTAGGAATTAAAGTCCAAAGACTTGTGACTTGGATAGCCGTCTGACTCAACTCAAAACTTTACCTGCTGGACTGATAAGAGTTTTGTTGGGGTTGGAAGAGTGGTGTTTGACTCATGAATCACACTGGATGAGACCTACATGACTTGACACTCGACTGATACTTGAGCCTTTGACTCAAAATTTAAATATTCACATCCAAATCCGATTGGAATTTGAACTGTGACCCCTTCTGGTAAATGAAACTATTTTATTTTGTTGTAAATTTTTTTTTGTTCTAAATATTTGTCATCCTCAACATTGAATGGTCCAGCACTTGAAAATGCCAGAGCAAGTCTCTATTTTGTTGTAATTGAAATGATTTAAAAAAAAACACATAAAAAATTAAATGTGTTTTGAGCAAAGGATGCTTAACAATAATTTGGATTTAAAAGCAGACCTTGTGGCAGGGTTGCCTTGCTGGTTCTCAGTAGTCTTGAATTATAATGAAGAACGGAGGGAAATATGAACTCAAAACCATGACCATGTCAAGATAACTTGACTATGGCTTGACAGTAACACAAGTGTCTATGGGAAGCGTCTTCAGCCGTTTCCACAGGTGCATATGTAATTCGGGCGATTCACAATGCAGAGCGCCACCAATAGTTTGCCACTTCATTTTTCCCAATGCATTGTGGGAGATAGTCGACAAATTCGCAGCGCGGGACATTTGAAGTTGTTTATTTTTTTCCGGTCGTGGTTTCGTAAGTGTATGATTCGAGGATATGTTTGCCCTTTTCTTTTCTTTTTATCAATATGGTGATTTTTGGTAAGGCAGCAGAACGCTATGCCCCAATCTATAACAAATTAGCTCAAGTGTCTACTGACACTCATTCAAATGGGCCATATTTTGTCGACCGTAAACTTGAAAAGTTGACTCTCCATGGCAAACTCTTGGTGGCGCACTGCATTGTGAATCGCCCGAATTGCAAGCCGTAGCCAATTAATTTTGATGCAGACATGGTTGACGCTCGCACTTTCTCTTCAATTTACCTGGATCCTGTAGGGAAGACCTGCATGCTGCCGTACGGAGCATCATTTCTTTGAATGATGATTGTAGCATTGTTGCTGTCCCCTAGCATGGCTCCGCCCTGGGGCGTGGCCAGAAGCACCTGAAATCGCTCCTCCAGCTCCGGGATATCGTCCGCTGTGGCTGAGATATGAAGAACCTGACACAACAGTCAACCAAAAAAACAAGAAAAATAGGAATAAGGGAGGTTTGTGAAACTTGGGATTTGTTTCCAGCTGCGACTTCAGAAGATTTCAGGCATTTGGAGGACTCCTGAACAATATTAATCTGCTTCAGAAACTTAACTTCTATGCTATGTGGTCCAAGTTTAGAAAAGTTCCATTTAGAAGTATCTTCTAAGGACACACTTTGCACACAGTTTTGAAAGCGTATGAGGATATTAGTCAGAGCAGTGCTCTTGCAAAAACAAAAACAAAAACACCCCAAAACCACACCATTCATGAGATAGACTTTGCATCAGGTTGATGTAAGATGTCTGCAGTAATAGGAAGTCGTGAGTTCGAGTCCCCACCGAGTGATACGTTGGTGAAGGGCAAAAAGCACGAAATATTAAAAAAAACACCAGACAAACAGAATATGTAAATTGATTTTGTAGCAAGGAAATGCTGAATAAGTAATGACTCTACTTTACTGTGAAAAGACTTACAGGGTTTTAAAAAACAGAAAAAAAACCAGAGATTTACTGGAGCAGGATTTAAACCTGCGACACGATTTCTTAGCCCAACCTAAAAAATTTTAAAAGGCAAAAAGCAGCCACTATGGAAAAGTTAGGATTTAATTTCAGCTCACCCCTGTGCTCTCCCCAGCAGCGATTGTGACAAACCCGTCCACCGGGGTCAGGTCAATGACCCCTCGTGACCCGCTGTGGTCTACCACGGCAAATGGGACCTGCACGTCGCCAAATGTCCCTCGACTGCGGACGAGCGTCAGCTGGGCCACGCTGTTGGACGTGTCCGTATCAGAGGGCTCCTGGATGGTGACCGTCAACGGACTCGCAAAGTTGATGATGCCAAAGGCGTCATCGCTGGCCAGGATCCTGATGGTTACTGGAAAGACAAATTACAAAAAGTAATCCCAACTCTCAAACTCTTACAGTTAAAATGTAAAAACTGGTAAAATGTATGAAGTGTGTTAACAAGTAAAGGCACAAGTTCCCAAAAGCTCCTGAAACCTCAACTTGATCTAAACATGGAGCTATAAAACACACCCACCCACACCCCCTGATATGCTTTTATGGAGAGACACAATTGCAGTCAAGTGTCTTGCTGGAAGACAAAAGCAAAACGGCTTCTTGAAAGTTTGGAATACCCACTCTCCTCACTAAAACTGTTGAGGGTGCAACACTAGTCCCTAGACGCTCCTGAAACCTCTACATTAGCTAAACATGAACCCACAAACCCTGATGTGCTTTATGACCATAAGCGATTGCAGTCAAGTGTCTTGCTCACGGACAAGAACATCATAGCTTCTTGATGATTTGGATAAACACTCTGCTGCCAATGCAGGAACACCTGAGGGTGCATTAACTAACATCAGGGCACTTAATGTAACTGCTCCACCAAGAATAAGTTCGATCAAGGACCAATGGCTAACTAGTGGTTGGTTTGTGATGCGTCTAGCACATAGGCACTGAAGTTAAATTGCGAACGACTCTAGTCAACCTATTTTGATGTCAACGACTGTGAGAAAATGGCAGTCGCACACTTTCAATATTTGATGTTTCTGTTTATTTACACAATAGTTGGTCCCCTCTGCACTATGCTATGAAAACTTGCTATTGATAACCAACCAGCGCGACCAGCCGTGGTAGGCTGGTCCTCAATAGTCAACTATACTAGTCCAACTATCGTCGACTAGTGTGCGTTCAATCAAAAGGAAAAAAGGGCAGAAAATGCAACCTTTAGCCGGGTCTCCAAGTTGCAATCCTCCCGTTGGGTTGTTCAGGATCAGTTCAAAGGTTTCGTCGGCTTCTGCGATGTCATCGTCAAATATGGCAACATTGATGGTTCTGGTTGTCTCTCCATCTCCAAAGCTTAGCACCTGGGTAGTATCACAAGTAGTTTATGGCATTTGAAAGTTAACAAGAAAGGCACAAAGAATATGCAGGAAAACGATTTCATTCAATATTTTTTGAACTTCAATGTGATTTTCCTTTCACATGTAGAAGCAATAAATAAGTGAGAATAAATGGCAAAATGTTCCAAGCTGCAGACAGAGGACTACAACACAGTAAGTCATGCATCAGTCTCAAGTTAAAAATCAATCAAAAATCCAAACTAAACAAACCTGATCACTGAAGCTATAGTCAGAGCCCTTCCTGGCATCGACAGGCTGGCTATAGACAAAGACTGTGACTGCACCGTAGGTACCTCGGTCTCTAGACACGGTCAGCTGTAGGGTCCTTTCAGCTTCAATGGTATCCAGGCTGGAACAAAACACATAGATAAAAACAAAATCACCAAATGTCTCAGAACGATCCATCAAATTCCAAGGATATGTTCAGATTGTAACCCATTAGCACATGTACTACATTGTATTACATTGTGTCCATTCACAGACTGCAAGGGCAGTTTCGGGCGCTACTGTGAATAATACGCAGGGCAGTTTCGGGTTATAGTAAATAAAGGGTTAATAATGATAACAATAATAATGTGGTGCTTGTATAGCACTTTATACCAAAGGTCTCAAAGCGCTTCACAATTATTACCCCTGTTCATCAGGTCTTGAGACCATTTTTTTAGCCCAGCAGCTCGAGATCAACGCATTCTGGTCTCTACCTTCACAGGTACCCATTTATGCTCCCAGGTGGAGAGAGGCAGATGTAGTAAATTGTCTTGCCCAAGAACACAAGCACCATGTTCCCCATTGATTTTCAACTGAATGTGTACAGCGCTGTAACAAACATGGGGGCATGCACAAGTTGACCACTGGCATTTGGCAAAAATGGTGATAAAAAGTCTTGTACACTTAATGCACAGTCCAGAACCAAATGTTCAGTGTAATGGTGCTTTTGTGGCAATAACTACAATTTTATGGGACTGGCAAGGTGATTTACAGCATTCAATGCACAATGCCTTTCGCTATGGCAATTGTTGTAGCAACAAGGGCATATTTGATACAGTTTTCGGACTCCGTGCGTGAAAAGTAGATGGCCCATCTTGACCACTTGTGTTAGCTTTGTGTGTAGGTTTCATTGTGTGGGCTCACTGGTTACACGCATACAATGTGAAGTACACAAGACTAACTTTATTGTATAAAGAGGTTGTGGAATGCTCGAAGACATTTCCGTCATTTTTTGGGTATATGTAGCCTAAGGTGTGATGAAATAAAAACGACTATTGTTTCTGTCATGAAATGAGTACAAAAGGTACTCTTGAGAGCTATTTTTCAGGTCCTGTTTCGACCCGAACGTGCAATTTGTGTAAAAGTCGTCGTTGCGGGCAGCAAACAAAACACAGTAAATCGTGACGTAATAAACAGGACTCGTATATGCTACTCTGCATCGGGAGTCCTGTTTATTACGTCACGATTTACTGTGTTTTGTTTGCTGCCCGCAACGACGACTTTTACACAAATTGCACGTTCGGGTCGAAACAGGCATAACAGGACTTCAAAAGCAGCTCTCAAAAGTACCTTTTGTACTCATTTTATGACAGAAACAATAGTCGTTTTTATTTCATCACACCTTAGGCTACTTAAACCCGAAAAATGACAGAAATGTCTTCGAGCATTCCACAACCTCTTTAAGTGCTGGACCTGTAGCATCTTTGAGTGAGCATCTGACATACAGTGGCATTACATTTAAGTATCCTGCACAGAATGCATTGTGCAGAGAATCCATAGTAGCACTCTATTGCACTTGTACACTCAGTATAAGGCCTTGAACAGACTTCTTGGCTTAGGCCGGCAACTGTACATGAGCCTATGGAAGCTGTCAAAGTCACTTCCCATAGACACATGCGATACTGCTAGCCGTAGCCACTCAAACCAGACATGGCTTAACTTACCTGCCGGTGATACCAGAGAACAGAACCACCCCCTGTGTACCATCATTGGCCTCAATGGTGACCTGGGACAGTGTTCCTGAGGAATCTACAGCCAAAGGAAAAATAAAGAAAATGTCTGTTAAAGATTGAGATGAGGAAACGTTTAGACTAAAAAACTTAATTGTCAGGTTGAAAAGTTAATTCTAAAATCATATAAAAAGTTAGATATAATCTTTGCAGATGAGCTTTACCCCTTTGCACATTTATTGATGAGTTTACACAATACAGGGCACTACCAAGTACATCCAGTAGTGATGTGAATTGAGAAGTAAAACACGGGTACCCAGATACCCGTAAAAGAAACCCAACTCCAAAACTTAAAGGGAAAATACAACATTTGCAAACATCAAAAAATAAAACTACCAAATCATTTTGAAATACCTTGCTGGACTGTTAGTGAATGAGAGTGTAAAGCATCCTGTAAAATCATGGCACCTGGTATACTGTCATTTTCAAGAAAACTGGTATTTTTGTATCAATTTCCAACGCTGATCGGCCGATCAGCGTTGGAAAAAACTGGGTTTTTTTCAAATACTGGCCCCAATTGACCATCACACTTGTTTGCAATCGATTACAAACCTATGAACGGGTACGAGCCAGCTAGACTGATTCCCTGACCTTACAATTCCCCAATGTATGTAAACTGCTCTGTTTCTTCTTATATGGAGTCAGGGAACCAGACTACAGGAAAATGATTGTTTTTCTTGGTTTTTATAGCATTTTTGAACCCAAAACCTCAAAAAAGTCAGTGTAACTATATTTGCTATATATTTCCAACCCCCCAATTCCATCCATTTCTGAAAATTACAGCAAAAGCAAATGATGTATATTCCCTTTAAATCCCAGCAGTTATCTGAAGGGCTTTATAGCCTTATAGTGTAAACTGCAACTTTCGCGAGCGTCTTTTGTCGTGCGTTAAAATGCACATAAACATGAAATCTGTAGCCCAGTTTTCCATTTGAACATTCCCCAAAAATGACATTCAAAATTTTCTTTTTCACTGTCTAAAAAGTTACTTAAGTAGTGTGTAAAGTTGGTTACGGGTACCCGATCCCATAATCTGGAACCGGTTCCTGACATCAGCGTTCGGGTACTCGGTTCCTATGCACACCCCTAACATCCAGTAACTTGTAATCACTTCCAAGTACTTGGTGCCTAGTGTACAATGCATCCTGTTTGGCGATGCCTACACACAGTTGTTGACGTTTCTCCACGTTACTTAGTAAAGCTTGATTTAAATTAGGTTTTGCCCTTCACCGACGTTTTTTAAACACTGTATACTCAGTGTGTAACACACTGAGTATACAGTGTTTAAAAAAACGTCGGTGAAGGGCAAAACCTAATTTGATTTATATCACCCCGACACAAAATTCCATCTTATAATAGTTTATGCGGTACCCGCTGCTATGTACATCAGATTCGAACCGGCCAACCGATCCCGTTAGCTCGGTGGTCGAGTGGTAAGACATCTGCACTAGAAAGCAGGAGGTCATGGGTTCGAGTCCCACCCGAGTGATTTTTTTTTCCAACTTTCACTCGGGAGGTAACACACTGAGTATACAGTGTTTAAAAAACGTCGGTGAAGGGCAAAACCTAATTTGATTTATATCACCCCGACGCAAAATTCCATCTTATAAAAGCTTGATTTGCATCTCCAACTGCAGCTCTCTTTGGTAAATCACTCGCATTGGTAAAAAGCATTGGCAACATTACGAAGTGCTACCAAATATGTGTTAAGACTGTCTTCATTGTATATCCTTACAAACAGTTGACAGACATACCTAGTCTTGGGGGAGTGTCTGTAGCCGGATCAAGAATCTGCACAGCGGTCAAGTTGACCAGAAACACCTCATTAAGCTCTGGGATGTCATCCTGAGGATAAAGGAAAAAGCACTCATATCAACAAGGAGCAATGCAGTAGTAAGAAAAACTACAGCAAACAGTGCCTTGTTTCTACTGCCAAGCTCATATTGCATAAAGTGCAAATACAAATGCTACTGGCCAGCCATTAGGGAACATACTCTGCTCCTCTTTGTTAACACAGCACTTATTGCAACATTTTACCAAGTTACGATATAATTAGGGTAAAACTCTCTCCATTCATTTTCCATTGTAAAAAAAAATTGGTAAAAAGGCATATTATTCACAAGTAGCTCTGGCAAAAACTTGACACATTTAAATTGGGATTGGTCACAAATTGTTCCTAATTACCTCATTAATAGGGACGGTTATTTCACCCACGCTCTGACCCTCTTCAAAGTCCAGGTAGTTTGGTCCGCCGATAAAATCCAGGCCGTCCTGGGCCAGGTTCAAGGCAGGCAATGATGGGTCCAGGGAACCCTCCTTGGCTTCGTAGAACACACGCACTCGACCTGTGACCGTAGGAATAAACCACAAAAATTAGAGACTCAATGACTTAAGTTCAAAGCAATTAGGGGAAAAAGTGAAATTAAACAGGTGGCAACTCGAGGTTTACCTCGAGCCTCGAGGGTTTACGAGGTTTACCAAGGTTTTATGGGGTACCTCGAGGTTCAATATCGAGTTCCTGCTTGTTTAATTTTGTATTCTTTCCTTACTTAGGTAGCACCGTGCTCACACAATGACACTGTACTAGTTCAGATTTGTTTCCATAGCTAGATCATATTATGTAGGTAACCTTAGGTTCTTTGATCAAAAACTTTTTCCTTTCATGATTGCCCACAGGGCAAATTACAACATTTTATAGAATTAGACACCTACTCCTTCGAGTAAATGTAGGATGCATCCGAGTATGTGGCTAGATTCAGCAATTAACACATGCGCCTATGGAAGTGGCTGAATTCACTTTGATAGACGTAGACGTGTGTGTTAATACTGATGGCCTTACCTCCAAAGAAAAATATGAGCCTTATAAAGGACTGAACAAGAAAACGGACTCATTTTAACAGGGTTCCTGCACCTTTATGACAATGAAAATCCATGACTTTTTCCATGACTTTTCCATGACCAAATTATGAGTCAATCCATGACCACTTTGAAATCAAAATGTTTGTATCATGGACATTTGTCACATTTTGTCAGGTATAAAAATCAGCTTTCCGATGCTAAACTCTGAATATTACAAAGTATACAATTTAAAAAAAAAAATTGGTCCCCACAAAATTCCATGACTTTTCTTTGACTTTTGTCATTTTTACAAGTTTCCATGACTTTTCCAGACCTGGAAATTGAAAATAAATTCCATGACTTTTCTATGACTTTTGTCATTTTTACAAGTTTCCATGACTTTTCCAGACCTGGAAATTGAAAATAAAATTCCTTGACTTATCTATGACTTTTGTCATTTTTACAAATTTCCATGACTTTTCCAGACCTGGAAATTGAAAATAAAATTCCTTGACTTTTCTATGACTTTTGTCATTTTTACAAATTTCCATGACTTTTCCAGACCTGGAAATTGAAAATAAAATTCCATGACTTTTCAATGACTTTTGTCATTTTTACAAGTTTCCATGACTTTTCCAGACCTGGAAATTGAAAATAAAATTCCATGACTTTTCTATGACTTTTGTCATTTTTACAAATTTCCATGACTTTTCCAGACCTGGAAATTGAAAATAAAATTCCATGACTTTTCTATAACTTTTGTCATTTTTACAAGTTTCCATGACTTTTCCAGACCTGGAAATTGAAAATAAAATTCCTTGACTTATCTATGACTTTTGTCATTTTTACAAATTTCCATGACTTTTCCAGGCCTGGAAATTGAAAATAAAATTCCATGACTTTCCAAGTTTTTTTCCAGGCCGTGGGAACCCCGTTTAACTTTTTTCAATATGTGTTTAACTCTAAGTGCTCCTCAATTTAAAAGTAATCTGAAGCAAGTATTTTTACCAATGGATCCAAATTTCCTGTCCACAAACAGCTGCACTGTAGTGTTGCCCTCGGCAACCATCACGACCTCTGACCCCTGGGCAAAGCTGAATACACCGTGTGGCTCGTCGCTGGCCTGTATGGTGACGCTAGCGGTGGACCCCTGAGGATCTAGGGTGGCGGCCCCCGTCAGAGATATGCCCATGGTTTGCACGTTGCTTAGGGTCACCTGGAACTCTTCATTTACTTCAGGGGTGTCGTCGGAGAGGACCGAGAGCAAGATGGCCTCAAGGAGTTGACCCTATGAATATGTAGCAGATTCATTTGAATATACATGATATACAAATTGAACTTCCCTTTCAGGAAACAAAACAGTCAATTTGAATATGCATTATGTACAACTAATAGTACTTTGGATATAAAACAAGGTGATTTGAATGCATATATGTGACCTGTTCTGTCAAAAGCAGACGCTTCTGGGCAGAGGTTGAAATTGAGATAGGGCCAAAAATTGAAATTTTTGCATATTTGTAATCCTGAACATGCCTTAAATATATTATAAAAGTTTGAAACCCTAATTTGAACTCTAAATATAGTATTTTTGATGATTTGTTAAGGTATATCAGTTAAAGAAATTACTGTTTTGTGACGTTCGAGGCCATTTTCTGTATTTTCTACTTTTCGACACAATGAACTTCAAAACAGCATAACTCTTCCCAGGAATTACAGGTTTCAAAAATTAAACCACCTATTAAAAGGAAAAAGAACATATTTTAACAATATGCAAAAATATCATTTTTGACCTCATGCCCAGAAAAGTCTAATTTTGACAGAACAGGTCACATATGCTCCCTTTCAGAATAAAAACAGTGTTAATTTGAATGTATATTATACAAATAAGGTGCCTGTAAATACGAAGCATTGAATGTAAATGATATAAAATAAGCTTATTTTGACTATAGAAATGTTAATTTGAATACACTTGATTTACAAATGCTGCTTTTTGATTACATATTAGGTTTTGAATATGCAAGAATGCAAGTAAGTTGCTGGCATTTAATAGCAAGAATGACCGCACACATCAAAGACAGAGATAGTGGGATGCCACGAACTAGCAATAATAAACTAATCAATTAGGCCCCACCCACTACACACATGGGGCAACAACACAATGCCACACTCTACATGTTCAACCAAGCAGGCAAGAATGACCACACATATCAAAGATAGAGATACTTGGATGCCATCAACTAGCTACAATAGACTAATCAATTAGTCCCCGCACTACACACATGGGGCAATAACACATGTGCCTCCCCAATGCCACACTGCATGTTATAGCCATGCATGTAATATGCAAGTGCACGCATGTTTTGTTGGACATAAATTATGGCTGTGATCATTGGGCAGGGCTTAACTGATAGTCTATTGATCTATTCCACTCACAGGTGCAAAGGCTAGCGATCCGTTAGTCTGCTGGAAGCTTTGTGTAGGCACTTGACCATTCACGCCACTGATTGTCCAGTCAACTGTCACTTGGCCCAGGCCTGGTGACGATCTCTCTACAGTCACGTTAAATCCCTCACCTGAAAAAAAAGGAAGAGTGCATGTTTGACGATCAGTTCAGCACTCAAAGACAAGATATGAATTCAAAATAAGGCTGTGGTTGAATCCTTTGTCAAAAGCTATTCATAAGATGGAATTTTGCGTCTGGGTGATGTAAATCAAATTAGATTTGTGCCCTTCATCGACGTATACACACTGTATACTCAGTGTGTTACCTCCAGAGTGAAAGTTGGAAAAATTCAACTCGGGTGGGACTTGAACCCACGACCTCCTGCTTTCCAACTTTCACTCAGGAGGTAACACACTGAGTATACAGTGTTTATACGTCGGTGAAGGGCAAAACCTAATTTGATCAAAAGCTATTGTCTAGGTCTCTGACACTGAGAACTTTTCAGGGTTCGCTGACAACAGACATAGCCGCAAGCATGGAAGCCCATTTCGAACACGGCTTATTATGCTTTTGCCTACAACAATACAGAAAGGATTGAAAACTTTTCCACCAATGAACACAGAGCACAGTTGAGAAAGCCCAATGATTTTTGCCTACCCCCCCCCCTCAATTCTATCAATGCCTGTGGAAATGTGTTGGCACTGCATATACACTGAATAGTTTAGCTAAGATTGGAAGGTCTGCATGGTGAAATTAGTTTACAGTAGCACCATGCGACAAATCTCATTTTTGAATTTGTTAGGTTCTGAAAAGTAACCTGTTCTATAAAAATGCATGGCACACACTTATATCCATTTTTACGTGGAGATCAGTGATCTCGCACTGCGTTCATTGCGTGCACTGAGTGCGCGCATGGAACCCGCCAGGGTGCTAGCTTTGCGCAATGAAAACTGCAACATCAACCATTCAGTCTCATGTCCGACAGGACATCAAAACTTTCAGTTATCAAAGGTTACATCGCAGTGGTTTTAAATTATTTCTCACACAGTAGGTTACAACCATTTATCTTTTTGACTTATTGGCAGATATATATAACAAAACAATTGCTGACTGCTGTGATGTGGGATATGATGTTTACACGCAACTCAGGTGTTGAAAATGTCATATCGTTGCTGAATGGCTAAATAGGTCAACCAATCCACCTTTCCCCATGAACCTTCAATCTCTTCAACTCACCTTCTCTGACGATGTACGACAGCGTGGACAGTTTCAGAATGCCAGCCACGTAATCGTTTGCCAGGATACGAACGTCCACTCGACCGTTCAAACCGAGTTCGCTTCCCCCAGTCGGGTTGTACAGCTCAACGGAAAAGGTTTCGTCAATCTCAGGAATCATATCGTCCCTGATACCGATGTTGATAACTGTGATAAGCAAAGACAATGAAGAAATGAAATGAAAATGAGCCGTTGTTGAGTTAGCACCGTGCAAATGACAAATCTGGCAAAAGACAAATTTAATATCCAACCCACACAGCATGATTAATTCCACACCAGGACAAGTAAAAGTAAAGGTAAGATCAATGAACAGTTTCTTTAAAAAAATTGGGGAGGAAAAAATGGAAAAAAAGAGAATGAATTGAAAGGAAAGAGATCAAATTACCTTGTCTAGTTTGACCAGAAGCAAAGTTGAGTGTGCCACCGCTAGCACTGTAGTCATCACCCTCGGTAGCTGTGCCTGCAACTGCCTGCCACGACACACTCACATCACCAATACTGCCACCTGGTGTAAATTGATATGTAAAGAGAAATATGTCAATGTTAAGACTCTGTGCGTATATCCCATAAATGATGACGGAGAGAGAGATATTACACAAATACTACAATGCCACTGCCACACTACAGTTATGTCCACACACTACAGGTATGTTCACATTCTTCAAAAAAATTAAAATAACTTGTATATAAGTTGTGCGTGTTCTGCATTCTTTGTGCTCCCATGCTTGCTTTTCATGCATTTTGTTAATTTCTTATAATAACACCATTAAAAATCCACAAAAGAATGTTCAAAACCTAACTTGTTGAAGTTTCAGCTCAGTGGATATTATATATTTTGGTGAAAAAAAAGCACAACCTTTTAATCACAAAAGACAGGATTATGTCCATAGCACTCTTTATTAAAAAAAAAACAGTCAATTTAAAGATCATTGGAAATCACCTACATTTCTTGATTTCTTTTAAATGACAGCAAGACAGACAGAACAATTTCACTGGATGTTTAGTGCCAGTTCCATCTTTAATCCAGGTAAGCTTTTTGATAATAGTTCGGTAGGTTACTTTTGGGATAAATGCAAATGATCCTATATGCCTTGAAATGCATCATGTCCAGTCAGTTTTCACCACTCCCCCTTTGACTGACCTTGGCGTTCCACGACGAGCTCCACGCTCACGCTGACCCCCTCCGTCTCAGTCACCAGGACCAGCTGGCCATTCACTGCCTCGGGACTGTTGCTATAGATACGCCACACTCCGTTGGCGTCGTCGTTGCTGGCGATGGTGACGCGGGTCTCTCTCTGCGTCCCCAGGGTGGGGAGGTTGTTGGGCTGTGGGGTGGGGCCTACCAAGGTGACGCTGGCCAGACGCATCTGTGTGGTATCACGGACAAGATTGACTGATGTTTAAAGGTGTCATTGTCTATAATAATCGACACTTTTCATCTAAATAGTTTTCTTTTAATAAAAACTACTTTTTACAGATTTTAAGTGTCTGAAACCGACTGAAATAAGGCTTTCAATATGATTTGCTTTTGTGCATAAAGAGATCCGCCCTGCGATTGGACTGGTTTCCGATAGGGAGGTGGGAGCCAGTCTAACCTACAAGAGCTGTACTTACTGTTGAGCCGTAAATAATGATATAATTCTTAAGTAATTATTCCACAACAATATACATGTCTGGGCCTTTTTGGTTGTTGTCTCATTCAAAAGTACATAGCTTTTGTATTGCTTGAAAAATTGCAATTTAGAAGCAAATATGTTTTGGGGAGTGACACACGAAATATAGCGTGGATATCCTTAACCTCAAAAACTCCTCTCTTTCTCAATATAGACTGCGTGCACAAGTACCCTCTCAATGGCGTAAGAGACGGAGGGATGATGGACAATTGAGAACTATTACTACTGTGTATCCTCTGTTAATAAACTTTGGGTTTGTGCTTAATCAAGACAAAAATTGGTCATGCCATCCAGATTTGAAATATTACGTAATGCCACAGCAAAGTATCATCAATGTGAAGACTTCAATGCTAATGATATACTCTCAACACAGGGAATTGTAGGCAATGGTGGAAATGACATTTGACCTTGTAACCTTTGAACTTACATTGAAGATCTCGTCCCTCTCAGGTGTGGCATCGTCCCGAATGGTCACGTTCAGATAGCCAGAAGCCATGCCGTCTGGTATCCTGACTGAGCCACTGTTGATGGGAATGTAGTCCAGTCCTGGCACCGCCTGACTGTCGTACAGAGCCTGGGCCTAAGAAAAATGAAAACGGTACAAGTTTAAACTTTTTCTCAAAGCTCCGACACTACAATCCTTAATACCACAGGATCCCCAATGCAAATGAGTAGTAGAGGGTAAAAATCAAATCAAGAAATCTACGCAACCTTACAAATGACATCTAAATGGGCAGACTAACTTAACTTATTAATAATAATAACTGGGGGCTAATCATCCTTACTTGCAGCTGAAAAGCTGAAATGCGAGGGATGCGGCTACAACATGGCTGAGCCGAAGGTTTGTAAAGCCACCTCAGGCTGCTGCCATACGACCCATGTATGACCACAGTGCACAGCCACATCGAAAGTGTTGATTTTTGAGGACGGAGAAAAACTGGAGAGCCCAGGGGAAAACCCTTGTGGCACAGGAGAGATTCCACAAACAACTCTACTCACATACGGGCCAAGCCGGGAATCGAACCCGGGCCACATTGGTGAGAGGCAAGCACTTTACGCACTTGCCACCCCTGTCACCCCAAAACTAACTTTAAGACCAGACAATGTTACACTGAGATTTCTACCTTGCTGTCAGAGTATAACAGGTATGACAGTTACATTCCATCAGTTACAGATTGAAATTAGAGTAGGAAATGATTTGTATTGTTTTTGAAACATTAAATAATGAAAAATTTCTACTCAAAAATGTATTCATTTATGGGAATTAAAAATTAAAATAGGCTGCCTCATATATGTTAATGCAAAATTGTTTTGCTAAAACTTGTAGTTTTTGCCCAAACGCAGGAACAGAATGTAGGAAAGGTGTGAGAAATGAGATTGAGTGAATGGCAATTCAATTTAATTTGCAGGCACTGAAGTTAGTTTGCTGCATTGTCAAATGTGATTTGGATCACATATCTGCACTGAATTAAAACCTGAATCAAGTACTGTACAGGAAAAAGGAAAGAACAATTGTTCTAAAACTACCTTCACTAAATCCTTCACAAAGAGTCGGAATCCAGAGGTGGCGTCCACGTTGTCCGTCGCCGTGGAGACAGTCCACAGACACATGGCGTCTCCGCTGAAGATCCGGTAGGTGAAGGACCCACACGCCCTCTCTCGCAAGCACTCCTGGGCGCAAGCCAGGAGCGGATTTGATTGGCCCGTCACGTCGATGGTCGTCATGGAGACACCCATCTGGCTGCCTGTGATTGGCAGCTGGTAGTAGTCCATGGCCGTCTCGCCGTTCTGGGTGACCTCCTGGACGAGGTCCAGGGGTCTGGTGTCAAAGGTCACTTGGAGGTCACCGAACGTGCCGGCACTGATTAAGGAAAAGAGTACAACACGTGAAGAAAGGTGTTGTGGATACCCACAAAAATGCAGTTAGACCGAAAGTACATGCAGATAAATGCACTATTCTCTAAAACTAATTTCAATTTTCAGGGTTTTTTTTAAGGGTGTCTGCAGAAAAAAAGCGTTTTATTTGGGCTGCTTTTGCACTTCTTATGCAGTGAAATATCCCCCTGAATTGTTATCCAGCTACAAATAATTCAACATTTGTGAAGTAGGTATTTTACAACGCGGGCCGAATTTTTTTTAATTCAAAATGATTTACTTTTTTCTTATTGCCAGAAAAGTGGCAATTTAAAGGTAATGGCCACCAACCTACTTCAGATTTATTGTATTGTAATTCCTTGAGTAGGCATCAATACATTTTTTTTCACCAAATGGTGTCCACTCCTTTAACAATGGGACATGTTTAATTTGGGTAAAAATAGAGAAACTTTACAGTAATATAATAGCGAAATGAATACCTCCTTGTCACCATGATGCTAGCTACCGTGTCTCCTCCCTCGACTTCCTGGACGATGTTATTAGCCAAGGTGAACTCCACGATACCATGTGGGTTATCATTGGCTTCGATTGAGATGGTTGCTGTAGGGGGGTTGCCGATAACTCCGCCCCCTGTGGCATTGACTAGGGTCAGGATAACAGTCTGCAAATGAAGAAAAAACACAAAGCACACAGATTAAAGCCAGAGTCCATCATTTGCGGCTATCCAAAAAGTAACTGGAGTTATTATTGTTGAAAAACATACTTGAATGAAAAAGTAAATAGTAAACTCCCTGTGAAATTATTCTTTCTATCAAGCTGTCTTTTTGAAGAAATCAACGAAAGAAGGCCTTTCCAATGGTGTGTCTTAAGAAGCACTGTTGGAAATATGTGTTAGTAGTTCGTTTTGTTTTTTTCAGCGAAGCGGGCACAAGCGTTGGCACGATGCAAACGCGCGCGCAGTTGCTATAATTCGTTGGATCAGTGCCCGACATCGCGTAGCTGCAATCGGCTAGTGAGAACGTGTCTTGGACGCTGAATTCAGGCCCAATTCAAAACATGATTCAGCAACTTTTGATTTGAAATCGAGATCCTAGAATGTTGTTTTTCTCGAAATATACAGCTGAAGCTGAGCTGAAACTTCATCAGGTCAGTTTGAGATTTTGAGCACTTTTGTTGCTTCAAACGAACAAAATGCACAAATAACAAATGATGGACTATACCTTTAACTTGAGTTAGTCCTGTCTTACCTTGGGCAATTAGGGCATTTGGTGGGGAGACCTTTTGAAAAGCAGTATTGACATCTACACTAGTACGCAAGAGATTGTGGGTTCGAGTCCCACCAAAGCAAGCTTGTGGGTTTTCCCCCTGCAAGCTCATGGACAGTTCTCAGCATACAGTTATATGGAAGTTAATTTGGTGAAAGCTAAGTGTTCAGTTTTTAATCTCCCTCATGAGAAAAATTTCACCAAAAGTCACAGATCGGAACAATATTACAAAACATTATTTAAAAAAATGTTTTCTCCTGTAATTATTCCTAGAAAAAATGAATTCAAAACCAACATTTGGCTGTCCTTGGTCATTATATGTATTTCCTGTGACACCCCATACATGATTTATAGATTTCATCAAAAATTTTCAAATTGTAATTAAACTCTCCTATGTGCTAATTTATTGTATTGCAGTTCTATGTTTAATCGATAGCCCTCTTTGCTATTCAGGATATTTTAGCTTAAAATTCCACCTTTGCAAAGTAGTTAGGTCATTAATAATGACAACTTTGGTTAATAATCCCACCTCTCGTTCTTCGGGGATGTCGTCTGGCAGAATATCCAGGGTGAATGATTGGCTGACGTCAAAGGAGAGAAAGTACAGAGTTCCTCCGGTTGGGAAGACATCATCCATTGCTAGCACTCCTACAAAGGACATACCGGTACACGGGATGTTAATTAATTCTTTCCGTCTGTCAATCAAACTGATAAGATAACAACCTTTGGTCAGGTGACTGGTCAGGTGACGAAGTAGCTCAGTCGAACTCAATCATAAGCACTGAGACAAACGTACACAAACCAATGGGCCTTGTTGCAAAATCCAGAATGCTCCATTGGTAAGGAAGTAAGCTGTCATGTCAGTAAACATGTAGACAAATCCGGCAGCAGCCATTTTCTGCGGTGGAAAATGCTCACGTGAGTCGCGCTCAGGTAGTACGCACGCACTCCGGGCTCCTTCGACCAATAGGAATACCAAAATGTGCGTGCACCTCATCTTTAAGAAGCATGCGCGTGAGCGTGACACCACCGCAGTAAAAGCTTCTAATTCTGGTCGCCGAATTCCACTATAAGTCAACTCAATTATAATCTGATGAATTATTTTTTTAATGAAGAAGCAGTGTAATAGTCACTGTACTTATGAATGATTGCAAAACTGCATCACAAGTATAGTCACAAGTAAATCACAAGTCCAATCACAAGTCCAGTCATGCATAACAGGGAATGCACAAGAACAATGGAATTCCTTTGTCCCAGTTCATTTAAAAAGCTTATAACTGGACTTAGGACTGAATGACTGATTGACTTGTGATAGAATTAGGAGTACTTTAGCTAGGACACTGTGAATGAGCTACACAACTGACCATTGATCCGTGCCTCCCAGATGACAGCCACCACGCCTATGTCACCTCCGTTACGTATGACGCTGAGACTCAGCTGACGAGAGTTGCCCTCCTCTGGCTCGTTGGCTTGCACGTTGGTGAATCCAAAGCCTATAACAAAAAAATATATAGCCAAATTTATCAAGGGCATTTCAATAGCCTCAAAGTTTCAAGGTATCTATGCACTCTATGTGAAAAATAGGCGGCACTTTGGAACCACTCATGCAAGTGCCAAGTGCAGGACACACCGCCTGAACCAAATTGCATTACACGAAGAATGCATAAAGAAGGGTGCTTAATTGGCTGAATGAGAACGTGTCCCAGACGTGAATTTCCGGCGCAATTCAAAACATGACAAGGCAAATTTTGAACTGAAAACGAGATCCTAGAATATTTTTTTTCTCGGAATATACAGCATACACAGAGCTAAAGCTTCCTCTATAGATTTGAGCTCTTTTGTTGCTTCAAACGACAAAAATACACAAATTACAAACAATCTACTCCACCTTTATGCATCATGTTTTTATTACTAAAAAAAATCAATCAGGTGATTTTTGTGCGCTTTTAAAACAATCTCTTCCATTGATTAAAGTCAATTAATTTAATTAAATTTAAAAAATTTGAGAAACAACAGGATTATGTGTGGATTATAATATAAAGTGTCATACCCCAGTCGTTATTGTCTTATGAGAAAATATGTTCTTACCGAAGCTGCCGTATGGATCGTCCGATGGTTCAATAGTGACCTCGCAGGTGGCGGGCGATCCTAGAATAGCGCCCCCTGTGATCTGATCCAGCAAGACCACTTGGAAGGATTCAGCTACTTCAGGCACTCGGTCATTCAAGATCTGGCAAATAATCGTTATGAAATATTAAGCCGTGTCTAAATGACTGACTACGGCTGGCCATTACGCATGCACACAAGGGAAGCAATTGAAGCCACGTCCCATCGACACCTGTGTTATACTGGCGGCAGTGGCTAAGTAACTCAGTCACCGCATTTTGAGAAAGATTCTCCTGGATCAAAATGTCAGGAACCCCAACTTCTCTACTGTTATATTTCAAACAGTTTGCAGCAGTGTTTTTATTTTTTGTTTTTTATAATATGGCTGGACAAACTCGTTATGACAAAATTGTACAGGATGAGTCAAGGAGTTAAGGTGTTACAGGGAGTCAGGTTGGCCCAGTGGTACTTTGTGCCCCTTCCACCTCTGTGAACCGGGTTTCGAATCACGCCCAAATTATTGAGTTGTTGTTCAGTGCCTACCTGATTCATTAGGTTTGCCTGGAATAGTATGCTGGGTTGAAGGGTCAGGGTTAAGCTTACTGTACTTGTACTGATCCACTATCGACTAGTCTAGATAGTTTAAAATGTTAAGCAATTTCAGGCGAGAACTATATTTAGTAGTCGACAGGAAGGATTGTTGGACTACGCTCAGTTGACTATTTGGAACAAGACCACCGGGCATGGTTGCATCACTGGTTACCAGTAGCCACGGAGCATCTTAGAGCATTATGAAGAGCTGGGACCCAGGAGTTTCATGACATTTTGATCGTTGTCTGACTAGACGCTTTCCCACATTGCTATAGTGCACAGGTGTAAGTTACGTCACAAATCAACCACGAGTCTACTAATGGTCCTTGCCAGAACTTGCTTGTTGCTGTTCCATACACTAACCTCGATAGGAATAGCTTTGTGTGTCTCCCCATCATACATGATGACGTTAGTGGACGTCACACTGTAGTCCAGCCCTTGCTGTGCCGTACCGGGAATGTGCTGGAAAGTTACTGTCACCTGTATGATTGGTATCAATAAAGAGAGAAAGAGAACACTGTTGAGTAAGCATGAAATTTTGCTAAGCAATAAAATTATTTGCTTAGCAAAAGTAGGGTACAAGCCAAAATCTCATGCAATGTGAATGATCCGTGACTGGTTCTCAGCCAATTCATTGTAAGTGCCTAAATTTGCTTAGCACTATTATTTTTTCTTAGCAGCCTCCATGAAGTGTGGGCCCTCATTCATTCAATCAAGTCTTCGTCACACTGAGCTTGACCATCTCAGTTTGGGCTCTGGAACATGGTTAGGAGCCATTCTTTTGTGAAGAGTCTTGACGAATATGGCAATAAGTATGTGCCTGGCCAGTACGTTTAAACCCGGCCAGGGATCTAGACATAAATAATGGCCTGAGCCAAAGGCGAGAGACATAAATGTGATGCGATCAAGCTAAATGAGTCGTCTGTCGGGAACTTTCATTTGGAGATTCAGGCCAAAATAGGGCCACTTCATCACATCACTTCATCACATCTCTTGGTGTTCCGACTTCCAAAATTTTTGAACTAAAGATGGTATCAGCATGCGGTTTTCACAGCAGTAATGCTGAGATTGTGCTCTTTTCAACTCTGTAAAAAAAAATTGACCAGGGTCGACAAACAACTCATTTAGCTTGATCGCATCACAAATGCACAACCACGCCCCGTACTTGATAAAACCAGACAGCCACATGTTTATTCCCATTCAGAAATACCTATTCGGTCAAAAAGTCAAAAACTGACAAAATTCCAATGATTTTGTTCAACAATTTTACTTTTTTTTGGTGTGTGAAACACCACTCTGGCCCTGTCTATGGTGTGTAGCTCATGCGCGTAGTGCTAAATAATCTCCTCATGCGGAGATTGGCATGTGCATTGGCATGGTCTATATTTGTTTGACTGAACTCAGTACTCAGTGACGGGTCACACACAAGTTCTAATGGGTTAATCGCTGCATTTAAACTCACCGTTCCAAACGATCCGGCCACTCTGGTGACGTTCAGGAACGGCTGCATGGATTCCTCAGACACGCGGACCGTGCTGGCTGACAGCTGCAGCACCCCATTAGCATCGTCATTGGCTTGGATGTACACCTCAGCAATGTGCTCGGCTCCAACACGAGGAGAGTCTATGACTGGAAGCACAGGAGGAACGAATAAAATCCATTTCTGAATGCTTTACAAGTTACTTTAAGATTGGCATTTGAGAAATGTGCTGAACTAAATAGCATTTAGGAGCAACTCAGGTCAACCCAAAATAGATTTTGGTTTCAAAAAGGCGAACGTAATGTAGTAATTTTTCCATTGACTAAACTCTGAAGTTGTTTCGAACTACTGCAACAGTCAATATTTCAAGCTAGTCACTCCTGTTTCAAACGTTTGGTGTTCATGAGTTGATGCTTCATTTTCATTCAAATCTTTGAAACGATTTGGTTCAGGCAAATCTGGAATGTCAGTTTGAAAGAGATGTAAGATCAAAAACTTTGTTTAATCATGGCCCGACAAATCTTCACTGATGACACTAACTGATTAATCACAGAGAAAAAAGACCTCGTCATTTCTCACACACTTTAAAAGACTGATTACAAAGTATAATCAGAGGTCACTTGATCTACTGTCAAAATCAAAACACGTGAGAAGATTATGTCTTGAAATTGAAGCAATTTTTTAACATTTTAATGAAGGATCATAGTTCAGACAGTTCTCAAAAATGTTAATGTGCGCACATGGATTCTATTAAACGCCTGCTTCAACTCTTTTCCATTGACATGGACTGAATCGCAAAGCTTCCAATACGTGTTGCCGTACTCATTTAGTAATAACCATAACATGATGTCTCAACTATCCCTCCTACCTGGGTTAGCCTGTGGTGATGACAGCAGACTGACGCTGACGATGTAGACAAACAAACTCTCTGCGGTCTCAGGCTCGGTGTCATCCAGTAGGACCACGCTGACGTCTGAGCTGAGCTGGCCAGGGCTGAAGATCACAGAGCTCCTGGTAGGTATGAAGTCAACATTCTCTCTGGCACGACTGGAAAAAAAAAGGAAAAAAACAAGTCAGGTGTGTTTACAAACACAAATGCCCCGCAACCGTGACAGTTCCCATGACATAACACCACTCTTTTAACATCAACTTACATGTACCTTGGTCACATGGAACATTCATTGACAGCATTAGTGTCTTCTGTAGGTTTTATATGAATTAATCCCTAATCCCTATAATCTCAGAATAAATACATGATTTCTATTGTTTTAGCCACTGTGAACTTGACCATTGACCTTTTGGCCCCAAATTCAATAGGCTTCTTAGGATTACCAAGAACAATCCACAAACCAAATTTGAAGTTCATATGTTAAGTATTTCTCAAGTTATCGCGCTGACAAGATTTCTATTGTTTTAGCCACTGTGAACTTGACCCTTGACCTTTTGGCCCCAAATGCAATAGGCTTCTTAGGATTGCCAAGAGCAATCCACAAACCAAATTTGAAGTTCACATGTAAAGTATTTCTCAAGTTATCACGCTGACAAGATTTCTATTGTTTTAGCCACTGTGAACTTGACCTTTGGCCTTTTGGCCCCAAATGCAAAAGGCTTCTTAGGATTGCCAAAAACAATCCACAAACCAAATTTGAAGTTCACATGTAAAGTATTTCTCAAGTTATCGCACTGACAAGATTTCTATTGTTTTAGCCACTGTGAACTTGACCTTTGGCCTTTTGGCCCCAAATGCAAAAGGCTTCTTAGGATTACCAAGAACAATCCACAAACCAAATTTGAAGTTCATATGTTAATTATTTCTCAAGTTATCGCGCTGACAAGATTTCTATTGTTTTAGCCACTGTGAACTTGACCTTTGGCCTTTTGGCCCCAAATGCAAAAGGCTTCTTAGGATTACCAAGAACAATCCACAAACCAAATTTGAAGTTCATATGTTAAGTATTTCTCAAGTTATCGCGCTGACAAGATTTATCCGGACACACACACACACCCACCCACCCACCCACCCACCCACCCACCCACCCACCCACCCACACACCCACCCACGGAAGGACAAGGCGGAAACAGTATGCCCCTTCGGCTTCGCCGCGGGGCATAAAAAAGAATTTTATAAAGTTGGCAAAGGGCCAGTACCATTTTTAATAAATACAATCGCTGCATAATTTCGTAATTTGTTTGTGTCAAGCTGAAGTAAATTTGTAGGCTGATGTCGTGTGAATATTCTGACACTAATATCATAAAATCCCCAAACACCCCTCTAGATTAACCACTGAAATTTTTCATCTGAATGAAAATCGCCAATGTTTCTCTCTCTAATATTCTTCCTACCTGATGTATGCCGGCATGTTGGGTATAGTCTCCTCCGCGTTGAGAGTGGAGTACACCACCTGTACGACACCCTCACTGCCAAACTGCCGCTGGATCTGGGAGAAACAAAGAAGGCAAGTCAAAGAATTAGCCCTTAGGTTTTCTTACGAAAACATAACTGACATAAATAATGATAAAAAACATACGAGCAAGTGCCTTGTTTGAAATCCAAACAACAAACTCACCGTCAGTGAGACATTTCGGAACTCCTCCCCGACTACAACGCTCCTCGAATTAGCCTCAAAGATGAAGGCTCCGTAGGGGTCGTCGTTCGCAGCTACTGTTACTGTGGCAACCAATTTGGATGGATCTCCAAGTCGACCGTCAGATGCATTTCTCAGTTGCACATAGAAACTTTCGTCCAGCTCAGGGAGCTGTGGACAAAAAACGGTCACGTAGCTTGTTCCTTAGAATGAATTCTGATTATATTTACATAAACAATGGAACACTTGCAAGCAATGAAATAGATTAATCAATCAGTCCCATCTTTCATTCAGCAGAATGCCTTGCAAATCACTCATGTTCTTCTCAAGTTACGGAATTTTAAACATAACCCCCGTTTTAAAGTTCTGTCCACAAGAAAAGGTGTGCGTTCTTTCAGCAAAACGAAAACAATTCACACACATCCCTAAGTGGTTTGTTTTCCTTTTGCTTAAAGGACACTTCCCTTTTGTGATCCGTGGACAGAACTTTAAAATGGTGGTTGTGTTTAAATTTTGTAACTTGAAAATTACATGAGTGATTTGAATGATTCTTGTACTAAAAGAAAGCTTATGTATTGGGTTTTCATATCCTAGATTTTGAAAGTGCTACATGCAGAACTTCACTAAAACAATGGTCCTGACATTTGGGTTTCGTTTTTATTAGTTCATTAGTTCAATAGTTCATTAGTACAGCCTCTGTGATCCACTCTCTTTTTTTACAAAAATTTTATATAGTTTTACACTCAGTTTTAATCTGCAATGTCTTATTTTAGCTAGTCTTAGAGGTCTGTTAATGATAATGAATAATTTCTCCCGTTATGATTTGTACCTTTTAATTTACAATTTAAAGACGTATTGATTGTATTTTAAGTAATTTTTAACTAAAACACCCGTTGTAAATTTGAATGTTTTCAGCCTGTGGGCTGCTTTTAATTCAAATAAATAAACCATAATAATAATAATAATAATTACTCACCCTGTAGAACAAATTTACAAGTTTTATAAAATGATCACCGATTGTTCAATAAAATGAAATATCAGAAACAAAATGATATCCCAGATTGACATATATCCTCAAGAAGTCCTAAATCCTCCACAGGCAAGAAAGCTTTCTGAGAGTTTGTCTCCTCACCTCATCTGATGCTATCTCCAGATTGATGTCGGCTGTCATCTCGTCGACACCAAACATGACACTGCCCCGTGACTGCACGAGGTCATTCGTCACATTGGCGTCGGGGTCATTGGGGTCAGAGGTCACAACCCAATCCACTGTGACCTCAGCCAGGGCTCCTCCCAACCGCAACACCTTAAAAAACAAAATGGGTTACGCATCAAGATCTTGGTCACTTCAAACATGGCTCTGAAGACTGCAGTACACGTCACGACTATTGCGTGTTTGTTGGATGAGAGAGTGATTACAGATGCAAAGGTTTCACAACCTGTATGGTATTCTGTATGGGATCACGCTTTATTCCCAAGTTGTTCGAAACCAGAACAGGCTTTAATTGGGCAATTCCGTAAATTTGGACGTACATGTCAGACACTTTAATGAGCTGCTTGTGGAGAAGTGAAAGTGATACATCACTAGTATGTGACATCTAATGAGTAGAAAACAATTACAGACCAAACTAAGGTACCACCACCTCAACGACCTGGTACATCATGTGGTCGGACGTAAGCAGAGAATTTGATTTTATGGAACTGCCCAATTGTCAAATAGGCCTGGATGCAATTTTCAAAAGTGTTACCTGTATTTTAACACTTAGTACACCCAGGTTGTTCCCTGCACGTGTTGGGTTTGAACAGGGTGGACTATTGGAATACAAGAAAAATCCAAGGTTTTGATGCACTTCCTAACCAGCTAATATAGGTTTCATAATCTTTGTTTTCAATCCCAATATTCCAACACATAAAACTAATCAATAATTTATCAGAAAACCATCCGTTAAAGAGAATGTACATCATTGGCTTTTGCTGTAATTTTCAGAAATGAATTATTTGGGGGTTAGTATAATAGATCAAATATTGTTACACTGACATATTTGAAGTTTTGCGTTCGAAAATGCTGGAAAAACCAAGAAAAACAAAAATGTTCAGGTAGTCTGGTTCCCCTGACTCCACTGAAGATGAAATGGATAAAAAATGCCGGAAAATTGTAAGGTAAGGGAACCAGTCTAGCTGGCGTGCACCCGTTCATGAAGCGATGGAACCAATAGCAAACAACATTTGGACTGGAACAAAAATGGTTAATTTGGAGCAGTGGTTGAAAAATAGTTAGGTTTTTCCAACGGTGGTCAGCCGACCACCGTTGGAAATGTATACCAAAGTACCATTTTTCTTGAAAATGACTTCACACCAGGTGCCATAATTATAAAGTCTGCTTTAGACTGTCATTTACCAACATCCTAGTAAGGTATTTCGTAACAACTTGGTAGTTTTATTTTTCGATGTTTGCAAATGTTGTATTTTCCCTTTAAGTGTAATGTTAAGAGTGCATCAACTTCTTGAACTTCTCTTTTGCAAGCTTTCCATCAGCTTCTCTGTACACATTTTGAAAATTCATCAGTCCCTTTCAAGACAGCTTCCAAAACTTTCACACAAAATAATGATCGATTGCGGTACCCACTGCTCCAGCAGAATCAAACCGGCCAGCCGACCCTGGCAAGCTTTGTGCGAAGATGCCTGCACTAGTAAGCAGGAGGTCATGGGTTCGAGTCCCACCCGAGTAAGCTTGTGAACTTTATCTTGTAAGCCACTGAACAGCACTGAGTGCACAGTGCTTGTAAAATCACATCAATGATAGGCAACATCCAAATACTGAATTCCACAAACCTGCAGTGTTGTTACACTGGAACCCACATCCATTTCAGTCACCGTAACAACCAAGGAGACATCAGCAAACTGGAAGGTCCCGTATGCATTGTCTGAGCCTTCTATGGTGACTTCCACAGTAGACCCGATACCAACTTCAGCTGGTGAAACAGAAGAATGAGTATTAACCAAAATTTGGTCAAGCTACATGTGTGTCTATTTTTGCTTCTTCAGAAAGTGTTTGGTGAACTGTATCTTTCCTCGCCTTCCACCTCTATGGCCCGGGTTCGATTCCTGCCCTGCTTCGCATGTGGATTGGATTTTCAGTCCATACCTGATTCCTTCCCATTTCTTTATTGTCTGCTCTCAACTTGGGTTTATTTTTTTGTCTGTTCGTTTGTTTGTTGTTTTTATTTCTGGCTGGTTGAGCTACAATGCCTAGGGCATTTTTGAGGAATTCACCAACACTGAGACACTAAAGACTGCACTGCATCTCATAAATGATACTGTGGAAATGAAATGCTAACTGTGAAGCGTGAAACTACTTTCAAACTGAAAATGCAAAGCAGAAAACACTACTTAAAACTAACACTAAGCACTAACTAAAAACTGTGGAATCAAAGATGGCTTCTTGTATTTGAATGCTTATCAAGTTAATCATTGTGAGTCAAAGAAGACAGATAATACAATTTCATCAGTTCTAGTCAAGACATTTCTGGCCAACACTCTTAGCTTATATGTTAAACTCAAACAAAAATTCTGGTTGAGTTTTGAAACACCCTTTTTCTCACAAATTACTTAGATGTTGCTGATTTTATTGCTCATTTAAAATTTCAAACATTACAAGTAATAAGGAATTCCCCCCTTTTTGTTTTTTTACTTTGGAACTTACAGCAATGAGGCAACAAATTCAGGTTGATATGCATAGGTGAATAATAGATTAATTGCTTATCAACTTGAAAGATTATTTCTAAACAAAGGTGCACATGCTGTTTTTCTACACTGATAAATAGTATGAGAGATTGTTCGGCGGATGAATATAAGGGCTGTCCATTTTCAAATACTCTATAGTGTTTGATTATTTGAAACGGCCTTTTACTGAAATTTGATTATTCAAAACTCTCTGATCAAGTTTTACGCACGCCAGCTGCAACTGCGTCGGTCAAAAGTTGCATGCAAAGCGGGCTGCTTGAAATTTGCATGCGGCGATTGATATTATGGACTGCTGGAGTGTTTTACAAGTATTTTATAACTGTCAAGAGCTAATAACCAAAGGGATGGCATCAATGAACCGCCGTCGACCAAAAAGTTGCCGTCCACAAAAAGTGGCATCTGACAATAACGCGCCGCAACTTTACGATTAACATAAATCCCAGTCGTGTGTGCACACGTGTGCGTAATGTTTTTCTTCAAATATTCAAACCGGCAAAAAGACATTTGAATATTCAGTTGATGACTGAACATTTGAATATTCGGTATATTCGGGACAGCCCTAATGAATCTTGTTCAAGTCAGTTACAAAAAATGAAAGGTGCTGCACTTTGGCACAGGAGGATTCTTTAGGGGTGAAAGGTGAAAGGTTAAGGATTAATGAGATGGGCATGTATATACTCACCGTAACCATCTATCATAGCGTGGTTAGGAGGGTGGGTGTAGTGTGATAAATATAAACAAAAGGGGGAGAACGTGAACGTTAGTAAAACATATGGGTTATTTGAAAATGAGGGAGAACGTTAAATGAAGACAAAATACAACTCATTTATAGTTCTGCATTATAAAGGCTTTTGTCGTAAGCACACATTTAAATATAAGCATGGTTATTAATGCAATAGATTAATGCTCTATTATCTGAGCTGTCTAGCCTAAGGCTGGTTAATAGTTAATAGGAATGGGAATGGGAGGTGAACTTCAGGGATTAAAACATTGCGTATATTTCATTTTGTTGGGTGCACCACGAGGTGACGGATCAGTATGGACTTTGTGGACATGATACATCGCTTCGTGGTGAGGCAACTATCCACGATATGTCACTTTGTGGTGCCATCCACAACTTGACATCACAGATTTTGTTCACCTTTGTTCAGAGTGGGCACTGGGCCAATTTTTTATTCATCTTTGATCCAAACATTCAAGACAAAGACCATAACAACATACACGCCCAGGAACACACCTCAAGACAAAACCTTACCGGCATTAAAAAATGTCACAAACCTGGGAATGACATTTTTGGATCATTCCAAGACGAAAACTTTATATCTTTCAAATCATCATGTGACAACACATGCAGAAATGACAATGAGGTACCTAGTCAGTGTTTGATGGACCCAAAGGGCCAACCTACTTTCCTCTGACCGACTGAGTGAGTGACTGACTGAGTGAGTGACCTACTGAGTAACTGACTGAGTGACCGACTGAGTGAGTGACTGAGTGACCGACTGAATGACTGAGTGACTCACTGAGTGACCGACTGAGTGACCGACTGAGTGACTGAGTGAGTGACCGACTGAGTGAGTGACCGACTGAGTGAGTGACTGAGTGACCGACTGAATGACTGAGTGACTCACTGAGTGACCGACTGAGTGACCGACTGAGTGACTGAGTGAGTGACCGACTGAGTGACTGACCGACTGAGTGAGTGACTGAGTGACCGACTGAATGACTGAGTGACTCACTGAGTGACCGACTGAGTGACTGACTGAGTGACCGACTGAGTGAGTGACTGAGTGACCGACTGAGTGACTGACTGAGTGACTGACTGAGTGAGTGACTGACCGAGTGACCGACTGGGTGACTGACTGAGTGAGTGAGTATACATCATGTCATAAATTGAGGCTTTCAGTTTGAAGTTCTGTGAAAAGTGAAATGTTACTGGTGTGAAAAGACATAGAGTCCAGGGATGCAGTCGAGTCCATCCGAAGTCCCTGCAAGTCCATCACGAGTCCTCCAGTCCCAATTCAAATCACAAGCTATTGAAATGATAACTAAGCCATTCTTTGGTTATTGCTTATTTGTTATTGCTCAATGTCACCGTTTCTTGTGACTGGACTCGTGATTGACTTGTGACTGGGCTTGTGAGAGACTTGTGATGGACTTGACTGCATCCCTGACAGAAGTTGGGGACACATATATAACATACCAGAAAAAAAACCTGTTAAGCTCTCAACCTACCCAGGGGTGTGATTGGACAAAAATGAAAAATCCACGAACTTCGGTTGACATGTAATATACATGTACATGTAATATACATGTACATGTACATGTACATGTATTATTGTACATGTACTTGTATAGATGTACATGTATACATATGCATGCACGTATGTCCATATATAGGCCTAGGGCATGTACATTTTATGTACTGTAATTTCTGTAATGTTAGCAAATTTTGTCGCTTCAGTAAAGAAAACAAATGGGGGAAAAATTAAGAAAAAACGTCTGGTCATTTAATAATATTATCCATATGTGATTGATTCATTAAGGCTTTTTCTGTGTGTGATGTTATTACTTTTGCATGTTGCAGAGAGAAACGATTCACACAAAACAATATGAACGGTGCTGAAAAAGTTTAATCTTACTTTAATTTAAACTCCAGTCCCAGGCTTCCAAAACATTTTTGAAATTTGGTGTTGGTGGTGGCTATTTTTCAAAACACTACTGCAGCTCAAACTGATTTCCATCCACAGTGACACTTTATTACCAGTTCTTCCAGCCATACTCTTGAATTCCTTGACAAAATCGCGGCAATATTGACACCAATGTGTTTGCGAATTGCTAGCACACGATCGTCACTGCACAATACATGCACAAATACACACACACATCATATCCACACGTGATATACAAACACGAGGTGCTGCAAACCCATTGAAAATTATTTTTAGTCTGGTCCTCAAGTACTCCACTGCGCATACTGCATTAATGTCTACTAGGTTCTTGACCGCACTGCATTAGACTTGTCACCAGTCCATCCATTATCGTAAATTAGAGCCTATATTTCGCCAGAAGTTTTTGGGCAATATTATATTACGGAAACAGAAAACGTTAAAAATCCGGAATCCGCAAAAAAATTCCGCAGGCGTTAGATTAAAAATCCGGAAATCCGGATAAATCCGGAAAAATCACACCCCTGCCTACCTCCTTGTGTAGGGCTGGATAACTGGACCTGGAAAGTTTTATCCAACTCGGCGATATTGTTGTCATTGATGGCAATGGTGATGTAAAGGAAACGTTGCTGGTCAGCGAACGTCAAAGTGCCACCCCCACTCTGTCAGGCAGAAACAGAAGAAGAATTGTGGTAATGTTAAGAAATTCGGATTGGCAGTTATCTTAATAGGAACATCTTTGGCTTCGGATCTGTTAAATCTTGTGTATTAAACAACTTTATCAGTCAGGACCTTTTTTCAACAGAGGGTACTTTTACCGGACTGGGTGAAACATCAGATGTTTATTTTTGTGGTTTTATCTCATGTTTATATTTCTTGTCAATTGAACTTCAAATAAGTTTAATATCTGGCAACACTACTTAAACACCACTTGACACCAGCGGGGCAACATTCCTCAAGTTGACTTTTGAAAGTAACAAATTCTGCTTCATTTAAGAAAATTATCCATGAGATTGAATTTGCACCAGGGTGATGTAAATTCAATAATGGGTTTTGCCCATCATTCATGCAAATATATCTTGTGAAAAGTTTGGTTGTGGTACCCGCTGCAATATCACATTCGAACCAGCCAGCGACATCGGCAAGCTCGGTGGTCGAGTGGTAAGACGTCTGCACTAGTAAGGAGGAGGTTGTGGGTTTGAGTCCCAACCGTGTAGTTTGTGAATTTGTCTCACAATCACTTGGGACAATACTGAGTATACAGTGTTTATAAAAAGACATCGTTGAAAGGCAAAAGTCAATACTGAATTGAGAAATATTCATTCATTAATGAAATGCGCAATACTGCATTTATCACAAAAGGGTGAACCAAGCATCAGCTTGCACAAAGCTGTTCAAACGTACCACGAAATCCACCGGATCCTTGCCAGCAGACAGCGCCGACCCATCGATGGTTCTCCACTCCACCTGCACCTCCCCCAGCAATCCCTGGGCCCTGACCACCAGCAGTCGTACCATCCCTTCCTCCTCCCTCACCCGCACCCTCACCATCTCTGCTGCCGGGGGTATGAGGGGATCAGCGGTGCCAGGGGGAGGACCGGTGGCAAATTGAAGCAGCCCGTAAGGGAAGTCGTTGGCTTGGATGGTCAGGTTGTTGGCGCTGGCGTCCGGGTCGATACTGGCCCCGCTGGTGTCGGTGGTGCCAATCAGGCCGTCGTCAGATAGAGGGAGTTGGGGTAGGAGGATGATAGAGAAGGTTTCTAGGAGCTCTGGCTGCATGTCATCAATGGCAGCTAGGGCGATGGTCTGGGGCAAGAAGGAAAATCAAAGTAAAGAATAAAGGGTTTTGAGATTGTACTTTGTTTAGGTATGTGTATCTTTTTTTTTTTTGTACCTCTCTTGATTTCTGGGCAACTCAAAGAAAAAGAAAGCATGAACTTAAAAATGTTGTTGTTTACAGACCAATATTTTTATGAAGTGTTTAACTTGTAGAGTACACTGAAGTATAAAATAATGTCACAGTCCATTTTAGTTTTAATGTGCCCTTTAACATATATACATATTTTTAAAATGTCAATTCCTTCAGGCCAACTTCAGAAATCAAAAGATTCACAGAGGGCCTGCAGATAAAAGAATTTTAACTCCATTTAAAAAAACAACTTCCTGAAACCTCAATCAGTTTGATTTGAAAAAGACTAAAACCCACAACCAAAGCTCCCACTGACCTGCGTGCGAACCCCATTTGGGAAGACAACTCCCCCAGTCGCGTTGACAAAGTCATCTGATGCCACCTCATCCGTCACCAGGTTACGCACCTCCCAGGGGATGGTGACAACGCCCTCATCGCCACGGCTACGTATGACTGAGCATGTGTACTGCAGGGCTTCGTTTGACTCTGGGTCAAAGCTGGTAGGGGTGCATGGACCATCGAACCCAAACAGACCATTGGCATTATCACTCTTCAGAACTGAGAAGACAAATTAAAGAATTAAATTTAGGAAATAAACCTACAATAAACAACTGACTACAATCACTTTAAATCAATATTTGTCCAAATGTAACAATTCGTCACCGACACCACAAAGTAACACTGTACGTGTAAAACCATATTTTTTTATCGATTTTCAGTTTTTTACATTTTTAAACATTATTCATTAAAGGCCTACCATTGCAAGAAATTTCAAAGCTTCAAGAGCGTTACTTTAATAATTACGCTAATTATCCATGGCAACTTTTGCGCAAAAGTGATAATTTTCGTTTTCACGAAGTAACACTCAAGTTCCATTTACCATTGCAATGCATGGTGCGCACTCTGCTCAAACGTGCTTTTTCAGTTTCACGAACTAACACTCACCTTTTTTCTCTTATTTCTTGTTGATTTAATACACAAACGGGTGAAAACAGCAGATTTAATAAATTCAATTCATCAAGTGTCCACAACGAGAAATCCAACTGAAAATACTCTGCCATTTAGAGGCAAAGTGTTGTTTTAGAAGGCGTTCAACTTTAGATGCCATTTTCACCGACTGCTAGTTTTTACTGGTATGTGGGAGGGTGTTACTTCGTGGTGTTGCTGACGAATTGCTCAGGTCAGCAGAAAATATCGCTCAACAAATTCATGAGCTAAGAAAAAAATTAGCTAGTAACCAGATTAACCAAGAAATATCTACTCTGCATTCATGAACGGACTCTTCAGAAAAGTTCAAATTTACGTGCTAAGCATAAGACTGCTTTTAACCACTCACAACACATATACACTGCATTACATTTTGGTTGTTAACCATATTTTTTGCTAAGCAAACTGTTAAAGTGCTCAGCTAATTTGTGCTAACAGTGCCATGAAATTGACCACCGTTTACCGACCATTCATGCCTGTCAATCAAACAATGCACACTGACCACGAACTTTGGTCAGGTGACCGTGGTAGCTTGGTCAACTCGGTCACAAGCACTGTGAGAAATGTACAATAAACCCAAGGTGGGCGGGGCGCTTATGGGCAAATCTGGTTTGTCCATTTACCTGTCAGCAGTGCGGTAGCATCGTCCCGTCCAATCCGCCCACCGCCGCTACTACACAGCAGCATGACGGTAAACACCTCGTTGCCTTCCTCCTCCGTGTCATCTAACGACTCCATGGTGATGTCAGCCGACCTCTGACCCGGGTCAAAGGTCAACTTGCCTGAGATGGGGGTCAGGTCCTGCTTGGACGGGGAGGTCCATATTTCAACAATTTCCCTGGGATTGGAAGTCGAATAAATATCAACAAACGCTGTAAGCCATCGTTTGAAAATTGTGTCTAAAACTGCCTCCACCCGAAAAAAACACATTGTCCATATTGCTGAAGATTTATGCTTACACATACTTTTTGCATCTTGACAACAAAAGTGTGCAACACAGAATCTAATATTTTAAGTGAGCTTTTACAAAATTGCGTATTTTGTTTGTCATTTCCTGATACAAGAGGGTGCTGTAATGTCAATTACAGTCAGTGCTGGAAAGTTCCTGTACAAATAAGCCTGTATTTGAGGGGAAACCAGCAGTTTAGGGGGCTATAAATATGCACGTGATGCATTTTTGAAGATGACTTTTACCTTTCTTGCAGCTTCCTGGCATACATGCGGACATCTTGCAGTAATCCCTTGTAGCGTTCCGTCCCAGGCTGGAGAGCACCAACGTACAGCTCCCCTGCCCCATCACCCTGGGCCTGATCCATGGTGCTGGAAAACAAACAACCACACACAGATCATAACCTCTGAAGGTAAATATGTTTTTGTCAAACAAAATTCAATAAAATCAAGCAATCACAAGTCAAATCACAAATCAAGTCATAAGTAACACGGGGTAAACATTAACACCGGAATGCCTTCGTCACAGTAATTTGGAACAGTCTGTCCCTTTCAATTGAGATAAGATTAAAGATTAGATTAGAGCAAAAAAAACCCCAATACCCTTGCTCAGATGGGACTCCTGCTAAGGTACCGTGCCCATTCAGCCCTGGTATGGAAAGGGCCCCCCGGTACCTCGTCCGGTCCAAAGCCAGTCCGGTCTTCAGCCCAGTCTAGTCCGGTACATAGGCCTGTCAGACCTGAAGCTTTGAAGTCAGAGTTCCTGATCAGCCACCGGACTAGCCTCCTGGGCCGGTAGCTGGGCCAGTAAGAAAGGGCTTTTTGGTAGCGGGCGAGCTTACCAGGGGCCCTTTACAAACCACGGTTGAACGGTCACCGGCCCTCATGCAGGTGTCTTAGCCACTCACCCACTAAGCTTTCTGAGGTAGGCTGGCCTGTTCTTTAATCTTATGTAGCAATTATGCGATGAAATTTTTGGTGATTATAGTTTCTTACCGTTCAGCTATCAGGCTTCCATCCACATAGAGAGTTGCCTTTAAGCTATCGATGGTCAGTATGATGGAATGCCACAACCCATCGGCCAAGTCAACAGAGCTCAGGGCGAAGTCAATAACTGTATTGGTCTGAAAAATTGAAGGTGGAAAATAAATTACAAAATACTCAACGTGCCCTGAGCACAATACCATAACAACCCTTCCTAGTGTTCAGGGATAAAGGACAATTGTCATATGAAACTTGGACTCCGATGCCAGCTGATCTTTTTCACCTTATATGGACTCTAACCCTCACATGTGACCGGTCACCGTCCTAATTATCTTCACTTAGCCATGTGCAATGCGAAGACGTATTTCACAGAGTCCAAGTTTTGCACTGCACCGTCTTAAAAGTTGGAATGCTGGGAGTTCTCTAGGGCCAGAACAGATACCAAGATACCACAAACTGGACTAAAATTGGCTGGTACATGGTTAAAATTTTTGGTTTCATTTATCTGAAACCTCCTTTGTATATTCCAACAACAAAAAAACCTTACTGAAAAGGGAAACTCAAACTTTCATTTGACACAAACAAGAGCACAGACTTACAAAGCTACTTCCAGAGTATCTGTAGTGCACCATGATCATGCCGCCTGGCCGGGCTGCTAACTTCAAGCCGTAGTGGACCGTTATTCCGTCCGTTGACAGTTTGGACAGCACGAAGCCATCCACGTCCGCGTCAGGCCGGACCCAGGCGCTGAGGGAGAAGCCACTGACGATGTCGGCGGTTGGCAGCTGGTACTGGGAGGGCACTCGTAAGTAGGAATCTTGGAAAGAGAGAAATGTAAACATTACAACTCTAAAACTGTCATGGATATTCATAACTCAGGAAACATAAACAAGACTTGACTCTGCCAGTGTTGGAATCGAGTCCATCACAAATCTGGTCACAAGGAATTCGGAGGTCCAGTCACAAGTCCAGTCACAAATAACAGGAGATGAAATTATCACAAAGGAATGCCTTTATCACACTTCATTTGAATAGCTTGTGACTTGACTTGGGATTGGATGACCTGTGATGGACCTGTCATGCCTGTGAGGACTTGTGATGGAATTAATAACATTTTTTAGACATAAACCAATTGGCTATGATCTTCCAGCCAACAAATTTTCTTGCTGCTACCCCAAATCTTAGGTTGACAGTGGATTATTTTGGGTGTCGGCTTATTGTGTATTTTATTTACTCAAATTTATTAAATTGCAATAAATATGTGATAAAACTGTGTAAAATTATTAAAGAAGATCCAAACTCAAAAGTTTCGAAAAAAATCCACAGAAATCTGCGTTTATGATCGCCAACACTGTACTTGCAGTGCTAGCCTAAAAACACGAAAACTATGAGCTTATCTTGTCAGCATAAACCCTTAGTTCCTGTGAAAAAAACTTCAAAGTTACCATAGATGTTCCTATGGTTTACAATGATTCTTGCCTAACAACAAGCACAAACACAAAATTGTGCCCACCACACATGTACACTCCAACTTTTTGTTGACAATTTTGTACGATTTTCTCAGTTGGTTAAAACAAAGAGTCATTGTAAAGCACAGTGGAGCGTCTCTTATATCAGAGTAGACTTACTTGTGCCACCGTCAAAGAACATGGCCTGTGTGCCAGTGTGGAGTCGTCCCGAGCTTGGTTGGGGGCTGACGCTAGGGTTAGGCTCAGATAGGAAAATGAGGTCACGCACAGTCGGCAAGATACCGGATATGGAATCGGAGAATACTTCCCAAAGAACCTGTGGGGGACAAAAAGCAACAATGGATGTGATCACCATGGAATTATCCCATCAGTACATGTACTACATTGTTAGTTAAGTCTGTCATGAGCCAATATGACACAACAGGCTGGCGTTTATCCCCGGTTTCCTTGGCATGAAACGATGGCGAGTATCTCTATTCCCACCAGATGGGGTGCCGGTCCATCGCTGGTTACTCCCCAGCTAATGACCTTCACATCTTTTACATAATGATGAATCTGGTAGGAGCAAAGTTAATTTTGTACTGGTTGTAATTTTGGTTGTGGTTATTGTTTTAATTGTATGGTATTTTAAATTGAGTCATTTTTATGTGAGTCCAACATTACAGATTACTGTGATTGTTTTTTAATCGTTGGCTGAATAAATCAATCTCTCAGTCTTAAGGACATTCATTCGGTAGGCTGAGATTGAAACAAAACTCTGACCTCTACTTCTCCAAACGACCCCTGGGCCCTCTCCACGGTGAATACGGCCCTCCCCGTGGCATTGTCTTCTGGGTAGTAATCCTCAGCAATGTCTCTCTCCGTGGAGGATGAGGGGAAGACGAGAACGCCGTAAGGGTCATCGTTGGCACTGATCTCCAGACTGACAGAAATGGGATCCGTGTCTGACAAAGCACCATCTGTACAAATGGAAACAATTTTTTTTAATTTAAGGCTATCGCGGAAAAAGTTGTGGGGGGGGGGGTAAGAGTGACTCAGGTTTACCCGGTTTTGGAGAATTGAGGCTGAATGGTGTTTGAAGATTGGAGGAGGATTTTGGAGGATGGAGGCCGAATGCATTTTGAGAGGCAGGGCTGTTGGAGGATTTTGAAGGATTGAGACTGAATGCAACATACTATTTTGGAGGACTGTGGAGGATTGAGGGCACATGGATATTCAGTATCAGTTGATTTTGGAGGATTGAGGCTGAATGGTGTTTGAAAATCGGAGGAGGGTTTTGGAGGATTGAGGCTGGATGCACTTGGAGAGGCAGGGCAACTGACAATGGCTGCTTGCATAATGGGCAACTCTAGCATTGTGTAATGTCTGTGACAGAACATTAAAGAGCTCAGTGAATAAACCTGAAAACGTACTTTTCACATCTCTTACATGTATGTCCAACATCTTAGTAATGGTCAAGGAGATCACAGACCATGAGCTTTTGGATCATTTCTCTGACTCATGAATTAAATATCCTGGTTAATTGGCTCAGTCACGGACATTACACTTCCTTTCATGGTGCTGGATTTGCCCAGGTGCCAATCCTTGGTCAGTTTTCACTCACCAGTGACGTTGACCAACACCAACTCGTAGTACTCCGCAAACTCCGGCACCCCGTCCATCCTGGACGTAACCTGGATCCGTTGCAGGGACTGCTGGTCAGTAAACTCCACCGTTCCGGCCACGACCTCAAACTCTGTCCCCGCGGGCACGGGCTCCGAGGTGCCGTTGTAGACAATCTGCCAGTGGACCCGGACCGTGCCAAAGTTCCCCCTTGCCCTCTGGATCCTGGCAAAAGAGGGTCAATAAAATAATTACAGTAGAACTTTGCTATTACGAAAACTGCTACATGCCAAAGAATGGTTTGTGGATCATAACAAACGTTGTTAGGTCCAGACCACAAAAGATAATTTAGTGTATCAGTCATTTGTTATAGCAATTTGTGTTTACCAGCAGTGCTAGTTATAACTGTACCTAGAATTTGAGAACCAAGGTAGGTAGTTGTTAAAGCTGAATGTTCTGCATATTGGTGTACATCAAGTGGTGTTCTATTGTATTAATGGTTCGGATAACCTGATGGGTAGGCAGTTAGTAGTTGTATATTTTCTTTGAAATTGCTTTAATTCAAGCCCAACTGAATGTGTTAGGGGTGGTTATTGAAATTTCAAGAAATATACTATATGGTCTTTATCTCATTTGAGATTCTGAACCAAACAGTTATTAAACTGTAACACGTTTTAACTTATTTGCTCCTCTCCTCTGGATATATGGTATTTCTGATAGCCCATCAGACTTTCTTCATTTGGCTTTTTTTGGGATTAGGCCATCAGGCCAATTAGGCCATTGGACTGCTGTTTATTAACATCAATAACTTGCGACAAATCTACGTTTAAAACAATATTCTCAAGTTCTGGAAGGAAACAAAGTCATTTCTTACTCAGTGAAAACGGACGTTCCTTCGCTGGCAAACACCCTTGTAAGAGGCTCTCTGAAGCTGAAGATGCCGTATGGATCATCATTGGCTGCTATGGTAACCGTTGCCGTGGGAGCCCCATAGACTACTACATCACCTGAAAAAGGGAACAAAATGCACACCGTTTCAAGCACAAAAGCACATCTCCTTTTTGTAATCTTGAAAACAAATTTTTTAAAGTTTTTAAAACTATATGAATTTATCATTATGATTAAAAGCCTCTAATCATTGTCAGTCCCATTTTTTTTAACTGCTCTCAATTATTTTTCTTTGTTAAACTAAGTATTAGTATTTTGTTTTATAAAAATATTTTGAAATATTTCCAAAAAATAAGAATATACATGTACATGGGAACAATCAAAGATTTAAAATATACTGTTCTCCTCTACATTTTCTCAAGATAAAAATGACCAAGCTATTTCCGTTTCTGTCTCGTAATGAAGTTTTGAAAGTATCCAACCTTCAAATAAATAATGTGTGGGAAGAACACTGAAACCCTAAAACATCATTTAAAGTCTATACTAGCCGTACAACACATCAAAACGGAATGCCAAAAGTACCATCCATTTTGGAGCAGTGTTGACTGTACACTGGCAGCATGCACAGAGTTTGGCCATGCAGGCATTAATTAGTGCTCTCACAATCTCTGTGTTCAGGCAATATTTGTAGCCACTCACTTCAAGAAAGAGGAAACAACATTGAAAACGCTCACACCCCGAGACTGACTTAACAGCCATTTTCTGCTGCCTTTGAATAATAGTTGCGTGTATTTTGCCTCCGAATGCAAAGTAAATCCTTATTTGTAAACACAACAGAATTGAAGACATCATTTAATTAAAAGCACTGAATGTGGTTGTTTGTGGGTTTGCACTTGGGAACTGCAGCAAGATTCAGCAAGTTCAATGAAATATTTGGCGGAAAAGACCACACATTAGGGACAGCAAAACCAAAAATGGGAATAAAAATTGCAAAAAGTAAGCCTGTCTTAAGAAACAGCAATGGTAACCGGGTAAATTTAAATTGTATGAAGCAGAGCAGGATTCACAAAACTGGTTACCAAAACCAGGTGCAAAAATATGGGGGAAGAAAAGGAAAATACCAGATCAGCATACCACAAATGTCATAATACTGACAAGATCTTAATGGCGAAAGCAGGTGAGCCCCAAAATAGCAGAAACCTGCGACAACAAAGCCATATTGTGCTAGTGTCTGGAAGTAATGCTGTACAAATCCATACCGAATGCAGCACCAATTCAAAAGGAACCAGCCTATTTTTACAAAAGCAAAGACCACAGATCTTGCAGAGTGCACCAGCTAGCGGCTACACTAATGTGTGGGGTCCAATTTCTTTTTTGGCAACTTTTTTTTCTGGTGTTACTTACGTGCACCAAATGAGTACACTGTATCAGGTGTAAGAAAGAAAACCAAGAATTGGGTTACCTTTTTGGAAGTAGTAAATGCTTTCCAATACCCAGAAGATTCAAACAAATCTTTAAGGAGTGACTTTAAGTCAGTCACTAGTGATGGGTTTGTCATATACTTAAAAAAAAATTGTTTTTGTTCGACTCAAATTTATGGGAAGTTCAGAAAATTCGGGGCGGGCAAAATTGGTTGATATGTGATTAATAAAAAAGACAAGCATATGACCTTAACCATTTTCACTCATACCCACTCATACCCACAGATGACAAAATTCCTACATAAAATAATGAGATGAAATATCTCAGGAAAAAACTGATGTGGATGATCCCTTACCCATTGGATTGTACAGCTGGATGGTGAAATACTCGTCGTCCTCCGGCGTGTTGTCGTCCAGTATCCGGACGGCAACCCGCTGGGTCTGAACACCGACCCCGAACTGCAGGGTACCAGCCACGGTGGCGTAGTCAAAGAGGCCGTCAGTTGCTGAGCCGGCCACTGTGCGGTAATCCACGGAGGCGATGGAGGCTGCAGTGCCATTCCGACGGACGGTGAACGCTACAGCACCGGGCTCTGCGACTGTCTTGGCAATGGGGTCTGTGAGGGATTCATACAAAGGAAACTGTTTTATTTTCTAGTTAAAGGCGAGATGAGGTTCTCTCTATCAATTCTTTCTCCAACCAAACAACTTTCTACTTCACAAATTAAATCTTAATAGTTGCTCTATGTACCCATAATGTCTGAATCTTTGGGTGAAACAAAATGTCATAATTTGTAGATTATTTTTCATTCATTTGCAGGTCTGAAATTCCACAAATCATTGTGTGAATTGAGGAGATGTCATCACAAAGACATTTCAGACATTTGGCAGTTCATAGTGTTGTAAATATCATGTGAAATTAGCATTTAACAGTTAGAACAAAACTTACTGTAAAAATCAAGAATGCACAAAAAATGGGAGCACTGAATTACTAAAACTATCCAACACCACATCTCTAAGAACATCTTCGATGTGATTTTTTTTTAAAGTTGTTTAACAAAGTAGTAAGCTAACCTTCAAAGAAGATGGCATCATCATTCTTATTGATGTTGAGCGTTGCCGTGGTAACACTACCTAAGCGACTCGCCCCAGCAGGGTTGGTTAAAGTCAGCTGGAATGTCTCAGGATTCTCTGGGATCTAAATAGAAAAATAGAGAAACAATTTGTTAAGCTTTTGTCTCCTGACTTATGTCAATTTTTTTTTAACCAAACAAACTATGGTGGTATCACTAGCACTCTTGTAATGTCAAACCTCTTACTCTGGTTTCACTAATACAGGATTTAAAATGGCACATCCTTAAGAAGGACTTAATTGTTTAAGTTTGGAAAAGTCTGGCACCCACCTCGTCAGCCCTTGCGGTAATTTCAATCTCCTGCAGGCTGATCCCATCCCCATAAGTCAGGACACCAGACAATGGAGAGATATCTAACGCAGCACCAGTGGTAATAACAGCCCATGAGACGTTGGCTTGACCGAACACTCCGGCGTCGCGCAACACTGGGAAACGGGCCGAGTAGATGTCCGTTCCTTTACTCTCATCAATGTGCCTGATCGTGGGATCTTCTGGGAAGGTGAACACACCGTGAGGATCGTCATTCTCCAACACCGTGACCTGAATGGTGGTCAGGTCGCCGAGGTCACTTGGCGGGTTGCCAAAGGTGGCTAAGGTCAACTGGAACATCTCATTGAGCTCTGGGATTGAGTCCGGTGCAGCCACAAACGAGATGTTTTTCTCAGTTTCTCCCGGGTTGAAAGTCACAACCTGGGGCAGGCCGTAGAACTCCGGGGATGTCATGCTGTCCCCGGCCGCAAAGTATCGCACGCTGCGAGTGACGAGACTGCCACCGCGGCGCAGGATGGTCACCTGGACTAAGTCTCCGCCCTCTGATATGACGAACGGTCCTGGGGTGAGAGGGGAGAACTCAAAGTACCCTCCAGGTCCGTCGTTCTCGCGGATTGTCACGACCGCTTCGGTGTCGCCCTGCCGCAGGATCTGACTGCCTGGCTGGACATTATAGAGTTGAATGATCATGGTTTCATCTGTTTCGGCAAGGTCGTCTGGCAGGATCTCCAGAACTATCTGGGTTCTTGCGATACCTGTTGGTTCAGGTGAAAAAAACACAAATTGTTACTCATATCTGTGCAAGTGTGCAAACATTCTTTATCCATCTGATCTTGTGGTTTATTTTATCTCAAGAAACCTTCCTGTAATTGCAATACAGATAAATGTACTAAGTCCTAAGGAACCAACACGTCACTTGTTCACAAACACAATTAAGTCCGTCATTCACGCTAAAAAGTTAACAGCTCACAGGGATGCTCCTTCCTAAGAAGACAACCAGCAATTTCATCATAATTATTCACAGAGTTATGAGAAATGATCACTAACCCATCAAGCAGGAGTCAAAACATCAGTAATACTCATCATTCATGAAAACACATTAACAGTTTGTGAAATTTGTCTTCAATTGGTCCATGTTGTAGAGGAGTCAGGTTGGTGTAGCAGTCCTTTCCTCGCCTTCCACCATTGTGACCCGGGTTCGAATCCCGCCTGGGCCAATATGTGAATTGGGTTTTCAGTCCCTACCTGATTCTGTGGGTTCCCCCAGAATATTCTTCTGGGATTTTCCTCCCACCTCTAAGAATTTCTTCTCATTGTCTCTGCTCTACAGGCTTCCTCAGGCCTGCAAGCTACATCGCTTAGGACCCTTTTGAGGAATCCTTGGTTTCATTACCAGAGGTAAATAATAATAATAATAATAATAAAAATAAAAATAGCAAGTTTGGTCAAGAGTAATTCATTATGCAATTCACAATTTCAGTCAAGTCTAAAAAGGCATTATCGACTACATATGAATGCCTTTGTAACAGTATATTTGAATAGTTTGTGACTTGACTTGGACGTGGATGGTGCGTGATTGACTTTTGATAACTTGCGATGACTTGTTAGGACTTTATGATGACTTGTGAGGACTTATGATGGACTTGACTGCAACACTGCTATTCACCAATGAGAAACAGAGTCAGTGCTGAAGTGCTCCAACCATGCACAAAGCTTTGTATTTCACCGTGTCCATCACAAATTGCTCTCATGTCTGGCCCCAATTTTGTGGCTCTGCTTACCGATGCCGATTAGCAAAAAACTCTGCTTACCGTACCAGAAAAATCCATGCTAACAGTTAGCATATTTCACAGGTTAGCAAGGAATTTTTGATTATGCGCATGCGTAAATCTCATAACTAAGGATTCTGTTCTAAGGATTCTGTGGTTAGCACAGAATTGTTTCGCAAGCACTGTTAGCACAGAATGGTGATCGTAAGTGTGGAATTCTGTGGTTAGCTGAAGCATGCTATTTGGGCCCTGATCTGTCCATGACTTACCTGAGGCAATGAACACTGAACCAGAGAATGCACTGATGTCCTCTTGCGTGGGCGTGACTGGGTAGCTTGGGCTACTGACGATACGCCAGTAGATGGTGGCATCACCGGATGTGCCCTCCCGAGTGATGTCCAGTGGAAACTGGGTTGAGGCAAAAGAAAGTTATTAATGCCTTGAGGCATCTGCGAATGGCTGGATCCAGATTTCTTGGCTACGGCTTGATATTACACACATGCCATATGGAAGCAGCTGAAGCCACTTCCCATAGACTGCCTGTTACTGCTAGCCATAGCCAGGTAATTCTGACACAGCCTACCTCGCTAACTAGGGATGGGCAATTAGTTTGAAAAATCGAGTGTCCAAAAATCATTAACCCCAAGTGGGTATCCGGGAGTGGTTATTAAAGACATGTTGCTTGCATGTAATTCTCAGATTAGGGCTGAGCATTTAGTTTTGAAAAAAAAAAAGGATTTGAAAATAATTCAGGAAAAGCATCTAGGTACTCACAGGATTGCTTAATAACAAGAAGTATACATTGTTAATTAATCAAGTTTTGTTGCAGTATTTGGCCAATCAACATTACTGGTAACTTGTAAAAAAAGAAAAGTTTCATTTGATCTAAATTCTGCCTGTTCTGCAGTGTCCAGTTATGCCAGAGATGTAATCGAGTCATTCACAATGCAAATCAGAGGTGGGATCACAAGATATCAGAGAATGGACAATGACAAAGGACTGTCTTTGTCAATGTTAATTTGAACAACTTGTCCCTCAACTTGAGACAAGACTTGTGATACAACAGTGTTTAACTTGTGACTGACTTGCGATGTTGGATTACAACTCTGGGCCATGCAATAAACAAATCTCTTGACTACATACCAACGTTGGCGTGGTACCATCAGGTTCGTTGACAAACAGACGCTGGTTTGGCCGCTCGAAGCCAATCTCCCCATTGGCCACGCCACTAGTGACTTCCAAGCTGACCGCCGTCCGATCCCCAAGCCTGGGACTGCTCGGAGGGAGTAAGGTGGCATGATCCAACAGCCGGACACTCAGCAGGGTGACCAGAAAGGTCGCCCCTAGACTGAGGAAGGAGTCGGCTTTGATTGGGATCTGGAAGGGATGGACGGTGGAGCCGCCGGGAATGACTGTAGTCTGATTTTCCGCACCATCTATAACATCTGAAACCAAACACACATGTACAACAACCATTGGAAATGCTGAGAAGAACTTTCACTTCTCATTCACCATTGCATGCCTTCACCTGCTTGACTGCTTTCTTCAACTACACACATATTTGTCTTTTGTTTTTAAACAGAGAGCCATTTTGTATGGGCGGCCATTAAAGACATAAAATTCAACGATGGTTGGCACCAGATTTTACCCCTGTCAAATGGGACATGAAAACCCTAAGCTATCAAGAGATATATTCTCAGGCCCCCAACGAGTTTTGATAAAGTGATTTTTAACTACCGTGATATTTCAATTTTTGGGATAGCAGTTTGCAATTGATAGAATGGTAACATACCTGTGCTTCCCACACTGCTTGGGTCCTGGGTGGGTAGACGATACACAACAGAGAAGCTAACAGACACCTGACCCACTACACCAGCCGCTCTAGTAAGCATAAGCTGGAGTTGTCTGGGTCTGGTCGACGATACGATACGCTGTTCGACATCTGATGAAAACTGAATCACGCCGTATGCATCATCACTGTCCTGGATGGTCAACAAACCTTCGGTGACGGCACCAACGCTGGCGCCACCAGTAACCGAATCCGGCAGCAGTGAGATGATAAACTGCTCCGCCTCTTCTGGCACGGGGTCGTCGATGATGTTAATGGGGATACTCTGTGATCTTTGACCTTCTGGGAGGGTCACCGTGCCACTCGCTGGTGCAAGGTCCGCAACGATGGGCGCGGAGCTCGAATCATTGCGGGTTATGATATAATCAATGCTGACTTCCCCAAATGTGCCCCCTTCACGGACGACGGTGAAGCTACTAGTTGAGAACGTAGTGTCTTCGTTGATGACGGCTTTCGGTGATGATCCAGAGTTTTCTGATGAAAGGGACAACACGCCATGCTGGTCGTCATTGGGTAGGATCGCAACCACTGTAGTCACCGGCTCCACCAGCACTGCATTTGTGCTGGGATTTGCAAGGCTGATTGAGAACTCCTCAGCTAGCTCTGGAGTGGGATCATCTAAGATGGCGATGCTGATGGTTTTTGTCATCTCCCCCGGTGAAAACCCCAGGCTGCCGTTGGTCACTACGCAGTCCACACCGAGCTCTGCGCTGCCGGAGTAAAACCAATACTCAACGGTGACCGTCTGATCAGACGGACCGAGGGGGGTCAGTCCATCAGTGTCCAGGCCTCGTTGGACCTCCACCGTCACAGTCCCAGCATTCTCTGGGAAGCTGTACTGAGGCTGGGCAAAGCGTAGCGGACTGTCGTTGGCATTTATTATCAAGAGAACAGACTGGGATGAAGAGTTGAGAGTAGCACCACCACTGACTGATGTTAACTCTACAGTGAATTCTTCATCATCTTCTGGTATCTGCATGTGGAGAAAAAAATATGAATCGTTATCGAAGTAGCAAGTTGAAAAGGTACACAGGATCATTTGCTTTTTCAACATATTTCAAATTTGAAGCAACAAACATGATCAAAACCTTAAGTAGAGTGCATAACAATCAACCTGCTTTAGCTCAATGGCTGCTATACATTTTGAGAAAAAAACAGAGAACACAGATTTTTGGGGTTTGTAACTTGATCCCATTGCTGGTGCATGTAAAAACATGCATGCAGACAGCCTATGAAAAACCTCCATCAATGTTTGTTTTCTTCCAAAAGACACCACTTCAAGTGGATTTGGCACCAGTCCTATCATGACATTGAGCAAGGCTTCTGTCATTAAATCAGTCGGTACGTTTCCGGATAATTGCAATGATCCTAATAATGGTTACCAGTTTCTGAGATAAGTAAGGTGTGGTGTCAAAATCAAGCAGATTGCCAACTTGCAGTCTACTCCCTTTCTAGCAATATATGATCAGCTCACTACACTTACCAAATCTGCAAGTATGACGATGCGCAATGCATCCGTTGAGATACCTTGAGATATAGTAACTGATCCTGTTACTGGTGTGAGATCCCCACTGGCTGTGCCTGAGCCTCCAGTAATCTAAGAAAATGTTAGGTACGGTTAGTCAAAACTCAAAGGTTTTAACTTAAGACTCGGGCCAATTCTTGCTAAAACAATAAATTTTGGGCTAAGCATTTTTTGTTCTTAATTTCTGCTTTTTTTCTTCTATCCATCATTTACAGATTAATGTCAACCCTGTATTTTTTTAAAATGGAAACAAAAATATTCAATGATATTTGCATATGTACGAAAAAAAAAATATATATATCCAAGAAAATAATGTACAAATACTAGCAAAAAATAATGGGTCTGACTCCAATTGCAAATTCTTTAACAATTTCAGCAAACGTGTTTTGTCAAACTTCCTACCTATTATCGAAAGCCAAAGTACTGCGAAAACACCACACTGTCTATTCACACAGGTTTAGCCTGTTCCATACCAGTTTGTAAATTTCATCTGTCCAATCTGTCAAATTTCGGCGTTAGAACAAGAATCTGGCACACAATATATGTAATAATCACTAAATCATTCAGTGGAATCCATAACATTCATGGCCTTACCTGGTAAGTCACAGCCACGAGGCCAAACGTGCCCCTTTCTCGCTTTAAGGGAAGCAGAAGAGTAGTGGATGACTGTTCCTCTGTTACTCTCATTGGGGAAACCTGCTGGATTAAAGGACCTAAAAATTAGGTCTGAGTTTTGTTTAATACGCTAATTCAATTGTCAAAACTCTGCACAGACATTTTTTGCCTAAACACATATAAATATTTGTGAAGTTACCTCATGTGAACACCCATGATTTGTTCATATCTCTATTTGTTTAAATTAATGCACTCCACGGAAAATGTTTTAGAAGCTGAAGTAGCTAGGGCTGTCCCAAATGTACCGGATATTCAAATATTCGATCATGAACCAAATATTCGAATAGCTTGTTCGCAGGTTTGAATATTCAAAAAGAAAAATCTATGCATGTGCGTGCATGACTGTGGTGTGATTTCAATCGTAAAGTTGCGTTTTTAAAGGTCCCTCTCCAATGACGTCACTTTCTACCGATTGCCACGTGCATCTGCATTTTGGGCATCCGTATCGGAAATTTCGAGCAACACGTGTGCGTGTTTAGAACATTTTGCACACGCTCCTTATGGCGTGGACATGCAGTTGTACTTTTCCTATGAGGATGGCGTCCTATGAGACAAGGCTATTGTCAGATGCCACTTTTTTGTCGATGGTAACTTTCTTGTTGACACCTTTTTATTGGTCCCATTCTTTTAGATGGGTAAAAATCCCTGGTCAGTTATACAGTACTTACATGTACTGGAAAACACTATGACATACCACTGTCGCATGCAAAACAATCAAAGTACTGTTCAAAAGTGTAAAACTTGTTCTGTAAAAAGTGCTGATCAGAAACACACAAAAAACAGCAGAAAAAAAGCAGAAACGTCTTTTTAAATCAAAATGCTTGTATCGACAATTTGTCGCATTTTGTCGCAAGGTGTATCAATCAGATTTTCGATGCTAATAAAGTGGTCCTCACTAAAAAAAAATTTCATCACTGTTGTCATGTTTACAAATTTCTGTGTCTTTTTTTCATGCCTTGTAATTGATAATAAAATTCCATGACTTTTCCAGGGTTTTTCCAGGGTTTTTCCAGGCCGCGGGAAACCTTACTGGCTCAACAAAACCCAAAGCTCACACTGGTGCTTCATAAAAAATAGCCTGAATATTAGACATTCAGATATATTCTGAATCAAACCTTGCTTACCACATCAAAGCCGATCACGCCAAACGCATCGTCGTTGGCTGCGATCGTCACGGTGGTCGTGCTGGGATCGCCGATCACGGCACCGCCGCTGATGACAGTCATAGTGACCGAGAACGGCTCATCTGGTTCGGGATTGTCGTCATCAGAGGAGTAAAAAGTCCCCTCTTGGACTGACGTTGCTGAACCGGCAGGGAAACTCAAGACGAAATTGTTGCCAACAAAATCAGCATTTGCGGCCATCTGATCTTGAAACTGAAACAAAAATGTGAAACAAATACTAATAAACTCTTGAGTGTTCATGAAATGCAAATTTCATCATCCAAAACAGGGGAAACCTCACCCTTTCAGCCCAAATTTAGTTGAATGGTTTATTTGAAGAAAGTTCACGATTCATGATGAAGACCCTTTATATTTGTATATAAACTGAAAATTTTCCATCGACCGAGGTTCAAGGTTAAAGTTAAAAAACTATTAGATTTTTTAGTCTGGTTGACTTGTACCTGAAATATAAGCCCTCTCAAACAGACACTTTTTTGCTTGAAGGGGTTGACAGTGTGAGACGCACATCCTCTATTTTGATGTATGTGTGCAAATGGTTTACTTGTCCAGGGATCATGTTAGCGCATAGAGTACTTTCCACAGCCATGAACTGTTGAAGTTGCTGTTCAGATTGTCTATTAAGGTACGCACGATCAGTGTTCTAGCCAGGGCGAAATTACAGTGTTGGGGTAATTTGGTTCGACAATTAATGTGAGCGCGGAGCCCTTACAGCATGGGGTCTGGGGCCTGCTTAAGGGCCCCGGAAAATTGTGGATCCTAGATGCTCTGTGGTGCAATCTGAGGCGATTCCTGGCCACTTTCCCCTAATTTGTTTTTGAGCAGAAGTGTAGTATTATTGCCTGCTTATTGCTTTCATAGCGAATGCGTACGGACGTATTATGTTCGTATGAATCGGGTATATAATACGGGGTTCGTGCTGTTGGATCGTTGTTTGTTTTCGCTGTGTCGTACGGCCAGTGCACAATTTTCGAAGCTGCCGCGCTTCTTTACGGAAGCAGATATTTTTGTTTCGCAACCAAAATTTATAGCGTAGCAAAAACCGTAGCGCTTATTTCCGAAAGCGTAGCGGGTGCTAGTGCTATCTAATGCCTGGCTAGAACACTGCCGGCACGATAATACTGCCACATCAGTGTGTCAAAACAGCAAGATACAAGAGTGTTCATTGAACTTTACAGCAACTTTCGCGAGTGTCGTAAATGTGAAGTATGTTTTGTTTTGCCATGAAGCCTGGTTTGTCATTTTTCAAATTCCCCACAAATGGCATTGAAAACTCGTCTAAGAAGTTACTAAAAGGCACCCAATCCCATAATCTGGAACCGGTTCCTGACAACGGTTCGGGTACTCGGGTACCCAGTTCCGATGCACAGCCCTGCTGGAAATAAGTCCAAAGACTTCCACTGGCTATCCTGGCCAAATGCAGAAGTATACCAAAGGTCAACTTACCCCGACTACAACTCTAACTTCACCGGGACTATCTCCAGTCTTCTGCACCCTGACTGTGGCAGCCCCTCCTTCCTGTATGGTGATTGCTGACTCCACGAAGGATACTGTGGCTGATTGGGAACTTACTGTGCTGACCAGCAGCATGAGAAGGGCAAGGTGGGCCAGCATGGTCCCTCTGTAGGGTCTGGATAGGAAGAATTAGGAACATGGGTCAACAAAAGTAGAAGGGCAATTCCATGGTTACTCACGTTACATGTACTTTGTACTTTTGTACTTTTGAGTTTCCTTGGGCTGTAAGTACCTTACTGAAAAGGTTTAATAACTGTTATCCCCATGGTAGATAGAGTAGACCTAGACATCCAGAAAAATGCGTTATGTATGATAAACAAGACGACAAAATTGGTTACTCACGTTACGAAAATGTAACGTGAGTAACCGTGGAATTGCCCAGAAGCCATTTTTTTCCCCCGAACATACATGTAATAATTTGCGAGCAATCTACAGATTTAGTAAAGTTGCATTCTCCATACTCTTTAAAAAAAATTAATATTTAAAAAATAGATGCTTTTTTTTCTCTTTCATTTTTGTCTTTATAAATAATTTTCGAGTTGTATACAAGCTTTCTCAACCACAAATCTCCTTTTTAAAACTGTATTGGGCATCTCCCTCTGAAAAATAGTTTTAATTTTGGTAACAAACAAATCCACCGTCTGAGCTCCAGGTCCATGCATTATTGATACTGATTTTTGGGCAGGAACCAGCCCGCCTCGCGAGAATGCAATTATTGTCAGACTGCTAGTAATTCAAAATTTGTAAACTAATACTTCAATAACTAAATGTAGGCTGATTCTTTTTCATTTTAAGAAAATGCAAAACAAAATATAGTTTTAAAGAAATGTATTACATTGGGAGGTCAGAGTGTGGAATAAATTGGCAGAAGCTGTTATTCGAAGAAAGGAAATATCTTTGGCAAAGAGGCACTTTAATTTTTTGAATAACCAATAAACATTAAAAGCAAAACTCAGGGAAAAGAACAAAAATTGCAAAATTAAATACATGCACAATAACACATTAGAGAATTACAAATTTCAAAAAATTATGATTCAACAGCATGTGACAGCAGTGCTTTGACACACAACACAGAATAACTAGACAACTTTTTAACTGGGAGTGGGGAAAAAAGCCATGTTATTGACAAAACGGTTGACTAAGTGAACTGAGCCGGGCTACGCCTAACATTAATTAAAAACCTTTTCCGAAGCCATCTGTGTGTATTGAGAGCCAAGTGCGGTGTGTGCATCTATGATTGCGTTAATAATATGATCTCAAGGACAATAGGCAAAAAAGGGAGTTCCCTGAATACACACAAAGGCAGCTGATGGATCAATTATTCAGCAGGTCTGTTGCCTGTATTAATCATAACAGACTATGATGCATGCACAACGGCGGACAGTGAAATTATGGTCATACAGCAGGCATTTTCTGACAATTTGTTGATTTGTTGAATGTTGTTTCATTTGGCAAAAAGAGTTTTAAAATAAGGTGGATGTCATTGCAGGTTGCAGCATAAAATAAAACGATTGCTCCTTTAGCTTGTGTCAAGAGAAATGATTAATTAGTACATGATACACGAAATTAAAAAGAGCATTTAACAGCAGGATAGTCCACACAACCATCCTTTAAAAACTGTCCATTTTTGTGAACTTTCTTGCGATAACCATCCAAGAACGAATTTCGGGGGTCAAAGTTTTGACTCTCATTAATCAAGCTGTTGAGTACTACTACAGGTACATGTAGCTGTGAATGCTGCTGCACAGAGCATCGCATTCTGTGGACATGGTGGATGTGCAAGAAACTGCATATATGCTGTGTGTATTATGTGAAACACAAACAACGTGTATCATACATTGAATAGACACAGCTGGAAATATGTTCATGTCTGGGTATGCTATAATGTAATGGTATGTCCGATGTAAACAACCAAATAATTTTATCTTTTCTAGAGATTGGTAAGACGTAAGGTAACTTTTCTTTCAACCAAACCTTTGAAATAGTACAATTTATAAGTAACCAATCCAAAACACAACATTTTCGGGGATTTCAGGCCGTAAATGCCCCAATAAAGATAATGGACACCAGTTTCAAACATTTCAACATCTCAAAATATCATGAACTACATGTATAATATTTGATTTGTTAGGATCCTGCATGCTAATGAATCCTTGCACCTACTTTGCCGTCATTTTCAAGAAGAGAGGAATTGCCATGATTTCCTTGCAATGTTTTGGGTCAAGAACAATGAAGACACATTTCACAGTTTCTCCAAAAGTGTGTCTACTGAGCTGAAACTTGGATAGTTTAGTTTTTTCAAAAGCTGCTTCCCAAGTACATTGTATTGTGTTGTTCCTTGAATCTGCAAAAACAAATCTATGTTTTGCAAATGGTTACGTCAGGAAAAGGAAGACGCATTTTCTCAAAAAGTATATGGCTATAAAGTTTGACACCTGGGTTAGGTTTTGAAAAACCGGCTTCACGTTTATTGTGTTGTTATTTTTGCAAATTGCAAATGGTGTTGTTTACCTTTCATTTGGCAGGACATTAAGGTAAACACACAATTACCACTTTTGGTCTTTCCCACATATTTCCAAACAAAAATGAAACTGATCAGTAAAATTGTGCACTCTAACTGCATTTTATGTCAATGAAAGAAATTGGCACTCTGCAAGGATCATGGTTCAAAAAATTAAGAGAATTACATGTAGTTAGTTTTTTTCTGACCATGTTGTGTGTGTCATTTTAACCTCTGCAATGGGTATTCTAAATGCACTACAAAATGCAAATTAAACCTTTTTTATTGCAATAGAATGAAATCACACAATCCTGGTGGAAACATTACAAATTTCTTAAAAAGTATATTAAAAGTTGTGATTTTTTAAAAGGTTGCAAAATGACACATTTGTGATGAATGAATTACTTAGTCTGATAAACTCAACTGGTTACTGGTGAAGCCCTTTTAAACAGGAATTTTATTCAGTTCAATTTGGAAGGCTGATAGTTTGATAAGCCTACTGTAAATATTTACAGCTAGTAATTATGGACAGGGTGAGTCAAAAAAAGCAGAACCCAAACCCCCAAAATTATATTTCATATTTAAAAAAATATTTAGCACCAAAAATTATAATGACTGGAAAACCAATTTCATAAGCTACTTTTGGATGAAAAAAATTACTGGAATTGGTCAATCCGGTCAAAAAAATCACCATTTAAACACAATGACCCTAAAACCTGTCTCGTTAAAAAAATGCGATTCAACAATCGTCGTCACAATGAAATCTTAGTTTAAACGTTAACAATATGCAACAAAGTCCTTTTGAAGGCCCGTCTTTATATAAAAGTAGATTTTATACATCATATCGTTTGCCTAACCAGGGTTGTTAATCAAAATATTGTGTGCTACAGTTGGCGACAGTTATTGAAACAAGTATTCCGTGTCATTTTCTTTGTTGTTCCAACAGTCAAAACGCACAATAAATTGATTTTTTGTGGACGAGACAGGTTTTAGGATCATTGCGTTTAAATAGTGGTATTCTTTGAACGGATTGAGCAATTTCAGTAATTTTTTCATCTACAAGTAGCTTTTGAAATTGGCTTTCCAGTTATTATTATTTTTGGTGCTACATATTTTTTTAAATATGAAATACATTTTTGGGGGTTTGGGGTTCCGCTTTTTTGACTCACCCTGTATTTCAAGGCTGATCCATTTTTTTCATGACTTAAAAATCCATTTCATCTATTTGAACAATGTTCCAATTCAATTTTTAATTTTGTTCCAAAAGGTTCCAATTCATTTTTCTTTACTTTGACACAGATTAGGAGCTGAAATTATTTCCGTCCGTTTTTCCCAAGAACCCTTCGTGTTTTAAGAATTTTGATTTTGAAAAAAACGTGGGCCTACATGTAGATGTGAATTTCATGAAATAATGACAATTTCATGTCAGAACTTGAGCATAAATGTCTAGATAACATAACAATTGTTAATTTGTAAATGCAGACCAAACCTAAATATATATCCAAATACTACAGTGATGTAAAACTTGAAAATGAAGATCTGTTGCTGTTGTATTCAGGCCTACTCTGACCCTTCCTGATTCACTGATTTTTATGAATACATGCATACGCTTACTGTACTTCACAAATTATTGGATTGAATGTTAATGCTACAATCATTCTCATCAGGCATAATCAGTGTAAAAAAAAAATTGAAAGAGACATAGGCCCCCTATGTATTTTATTTAAATTGAGCCAGTTCACACAAAAGAACTTGTGCTTTTTGAAGTAGCCTAGGCCAGGTCATAATCATTTCAGAATAAATTGTTTCACAATCACAGTCACAAACTGACGGAGCTTAAAAAAAAAAAAAAAGTTAGGCCTAATTAAACAATTCTTACTTCTTATTCTCAGACTAAAAAAAAAAAATGGGCTTGAAATACTGCATATACATTTTTTCCCCCTTGTATTTGTGGAAATTCCCAGTGCTAAAAATGCAGTTCACAGATTACTCAACTCTACTTTACAATCGAACAATAGTCATAGTCACACATACGAACTTGGCCTATGCATCGTGCGGGAATTTGCACGCCTGCGCACTTGCAGTCATTTTTAGAAAAAATATGTCGGTGACTTGCCTACGTCACAGACAACCCGAACGTTAGCGGGTCAATCCAGGTCAATTCCCGCGCGGACCATCTATTTTTGAACCGATCGATATTGCGGTCGGCCGATATGTAATCTGATACGTTCCCACGCCACGGCCAGGCACTATGCATACATGCTGCATACAAATACGTATACGTGTATGTACATGTATTGGATGATCCAGGGGATCGGCGAGCTTAAGTTCAAGTCAATTTTTTCAAATCGGAGTTTGACTCGAAGCTTGCTTCATTTTATTTTTGACCAAAATGCAATTTGGGATTACATGTATATTCAAAGTTACATAATAATACAGCAAATATGAAAGACCGTTTAGATCTCTACATCATTTGTTGTGAATTAGCCACTGGAAAACACAGTACAAAATAACTTTATTTAAGTTTAATAACTTTTCAAAATCTGCACCTGTGGTTTTTAGTATTTTACGACGATGGAAAAAAAACATTTTTAAAGTTCTTTATCCTTTTTTCC